TGTCATTGACTGGTGACTTCTAATTATCAATCGAATTCGCGATCTACAATGAATATTGGTCCCTTAAACAATATTTATCGAGGACAACAAGAAGTATAGGATGTTCAGATGTTCATTTTGTAATAATAATCAACAAAACGATTGATTATAGGACCTATGTTAATTACACATTTTTTTACTCTACACAGTGGATATTATAAGCACCTAAATTTCTTAGATCCTTTCTTTTTGAACTCCCTGTACAGTAGTAAAAAGCACGTCAGCGAAACTGAAGGTCGAACGAAGTTGTAGAAATTCGAAAAAGTCCGATTTAGGAATCGATAAATTATTTTTGAAGAGTGTGCTACAGGTGCGCACGTAAATACTTTTCGCGACCAGTGTATTCGAAGAGATTAACGGCAGCTTGGCTGGACTTGCTCGCGACCAGATTAAACCGACTGTTCGTCACGGTGTGTCGACGAAAATGGATTCGTCGTTCGACTACGGAAAGCTGGACGATGGTCCCCCGGCCATCAGTTCTCATTACTTCGCGGAAATGTCGTCCCGCGAAAACAGACCCCCCTTGTGATTAATGAGAGATTTAATGGCGCTAACTCACCGGTTACTGCACGCGGCCCCCTCGAGTTTGGGTGTTCCAGATTGCACGATGTCCTCGTAATCCAAGAAAGTCTGTTGCACAGGCCACACCTGGAAGTTTGATTTGAAATTTTATTAAGACACTCCATCATTGTCTTGGCTTTTCGATGCAATTTTCAAATTTCTTACTCTAGAGTTACTGAAATTATAAGGGCGTGTTTTTACATTATGCTATATTTTATTACATGTTATATATATATCAATATGTCATAAACTTTAGTTCAGTGTATATTCGATGCATGGTAGTTCCAGTGTTAATGAACATCCAGTCAAGAAAATATACAATAGTCACATGGTTTTTCGGCAGCAAGTAGTGTTACTCGAACACGACTAAAACGTTAACAAACACGTTCAAACAGAAATATGTTAATATCCCACATAGCGTGATGACTTCGAGCTCTCGATTAGTTCACCGGTTTGTTTGAACTTCATTAAAATACACGTTCCTATGGTGCACTGGTCAGACTCCGTATGTGTAACGAAAAGCTATGCCGTTTCTAAACATAGCCGGGAAATGCCTGGAAATTGTAGGGATCGCGTGTATAAACTGTATCGATTTTGATTGTTTCTTTTACACTTCGGGGATAGAGGTCTGCGTAGCATTCGCTTTCGACTCAATTACGGTAATTTTCATTTCGATGTACGAAAGAATTCGGTTGGAATCATAATCAGAACATTCATTCAATAACAAAAATAACAATGATTTACTTAAAACCGGTCATTTTTTCATTCACTGTAGGGTGGATGTACCAGTAAATGAACACGTATCAGTGAGTGAACATTGCAATACAAAAATGAATAAATTAAGTCATTAAAATAAGCAAAAATTAAATTATTGATTTTTTTCAATTCTTTGTTTCATATGCAAACAATTGTATGTTTCCTTTATAATTCAACTAATTACGTATTTCCAATTTTTCAAACTGAAATCTATACGTTATAAAAAGGTGCAAATATTAAAAAATTTAATTCTCATGTGTCGAATATTTAGTAATATTATTATCATTTAAAATTCAATTTCAACTATTTTCTGTTTTCTTATTGTCTATTTTTCATTTACCAGAAACGAAGCTCCAACAAAAATAACACAAAGATCTAATATTTTCCAAAAACAATTTCTCCACGACCAAAGCCCCGCCGCTATTTTCCATTTCGGCGAAACTTCGGTTCGACGCTCGTACGTTTCCCGATGGATTTTCGACCAGCACGTTATTCCGTTCTAAATTGGACCGGCTTTCGCCCGCGGAAAATATTTTGAGAACCGGTCACGACCGTCTCGCGGAAGCGTGCACGCGCGTTCTCTGCGCGTTCGCGCGAAAACTTTGAAATTAATTTACGAGCGACGCGTGCTATTCCCGATAAAACCCGCGCGTCGTAGGAACACGGAGGCTTTTTCAGACGATCGAGAGTGATTTATCGAACGTAATTAATGTCCCGTGGCCCGTGCCGTATAATATCGTTGCCCTGGAACACAATGTTATCGGTTGCTTTCTCACCCATGGGTTTAGATAATCGTGGCGAACACGATCGATCCAAAGTATCGAGGCGAGTACTTCTGAATAAGGTGAAAACTAGCGGGTAGATAAATCACTTCTGGACAACGGCTATCTAAACGCCGAGAATTAATTGGACTGGCTGCTGACTTCGTCGTTTTTCTAATCTTCTGGTTTCCAGGTGAATCATTAATAACGTCGCTGAGATTCTCGACTTCGTCGAGGAAGAACTTTCTTTTTTCACCGTGGATTAATGGTTCGATATTTCCACGTATCTTTGGAATTCGAGAAATACAGATATATTCGTAATGGAATGTAGGAAATAACGATTTCAATTCGAATTAAAGAAACCTGAAACGATTCGAATTGTTTCGAGAGGTGTGCAAGAAATTAGAACCTGTACGACCCGTGTGAGATCTGACACGGTTCTTCGCAAGAGGATCTTGCATGAAACAGGTAGCGAAACTCTCTTTGATCCTGTTGACAAAGAGAAAATAGGAGAAAAGTCACGACCTACCGCAGAACGATGGGGGTAAAAAGAGTTCCCGAAGGCGAGGACACGAATAAATAAACGACCAGGGTAGTCGTGTTGTCAAACGAGGGACTCGCGTAGCCGCCATTAGCTAATGGCTGACGTTCCTCCGAAGCAAACGTGCAGTCTGCAGAGCCTATTCCAACTGCTTGTACTTTTTGAAACGAAACTATTTCCTACCACTGTGACCGTTTAGCCCAGGGACCCCTTTTTAACCCTTGATTACCATTTACAATTCGTTTAGATCAGATAATTGGCTAAAACAATTGTCTTCCCATCGGATCTATTATTTGGTAAAACGATTGATAGCTCCTAATCGTTATTTACCAACAAAAGTTTGGTGTTTGCGATTAAATCGTTGCTTTCGCTTGTTACGAGTGCGTATGTATTTCGGAACGTTGCCCATGAACGTTGCCAAGCTTTGAGAGACGACACACACGTGACGGACTCGTGTCCGAAAAAAGAAGAAGAATCGGGGGGGGGGGAACGGAACTTCCCGGGACGAAAGACAATAAACTCGATCGACTTCCGTCGAGAGAGAGAAGCACTCCGGGACAATCAGTCATTTGTACGGACGGCAGGCGAGAAGGATGTTTAAAGCGCCGCGACTCGGGTTTTAAGAAAGGGAATGAAGATCTGGGGAGAGACCACGAGGCGGAAATTAAAGCAGTCGTCGTTGTCGTGGAGGAATCGGATGGAACACCGAGCCTGTCCAGGAAATCGTGGGCGAGGTGGAATTCAGTCGTTGCGTCCGATTGGATGATATATATACGTCTCCGTGTTAATTACGCGAAACGACGGATTCACGGCGTTAGCATAACTATGAAAATAATAGCTTGAACGGGTACAAGCCGAACTTTAAATGAAAAATCACTCTTCGATCTAGTCTCCGCTGACTTTGACGCAGGTATAAAAAAACACGTTTCCCTTGTAAATAACGTGTAACAAGTATAATCGAAATTTATTATAGAAATTGAATTCTTTTGAATTTTAGTATAATAAAATATTTTTTATCATAAAAACCTTAACATGGAATTCTAATCTTTCGAAAGGGTTTGCTTTTCAAGGGTAAACTACTGCCATGTTGAATTTTTCTTCACCACAAAAAAAATCTATATATAGTTTTTTGAAGTACTACAACATATGTGAAAACGAAAAAAATCGGAAAGGGACACATAGCTAAGGTCCTCTGTGAGTAAAAGTTACCCAAACTGACGGTATATAGAATACATTCGATTTATTTTTATGAAGGATCGTTTCCTGTGAAATTTATTTCTCACTTTATTATTCATCGCGAACGTTTATGCCATTGAATAAAACGTGGCCCGAAACTGGTAGGAACCGCAATCACTGCGCAAACCATAACCAGACGGAGAGAGAGAAGACACCCTCGGGGCAGAGACTTCTAAATTTAGTCTGACGCGTTCTACCGACGAGGAAGACGCGAATTCGACGTCGGTAGACGAGAAGGGGACACGGACGGCAGGGGGACGATACACGATTCCAGATGGAACGTCGGGACGATGGGGTCGGTTGTGTCGCGATTCGTCTTTGGCCAGTGTCCAAAACGAGACGGACACCTCGGTGCCGAATTCATGAATGGACCAGCGTGGAAAATTAGTTCCCATGGGCAAGCTCGACGATTTTCGTTAAACGGGGACACGTTTCCTTTCTGCCGTGTCCAGTCTTTCGTTTACACGAAATCGTCTCTTTCACCTTGATGTCTCGAGGTCAAGTTGCTCAAGACGACGAATGATCCGTCACGCGATAAACTGGACGCAATGAATTTTTCCATTAGCGATTCGTGGTGGCCATCCCTTCCGCCGATTCGACACGTGGAATATATGAAATCGCGGCCAGAACGCGTTTTCCTCGCGCGGTTTTTAACGTGTTATGTATCGCAACAACGGTTCGCAGAAGAATCGAATTAGACGAGGCCGAACGCTTGCCAAGCGGCGGCCACTTCAATTTATCTTCGTAATGTCAGATACAGTCGGCCGAAGAAACTCTGTACAGGGTGTAGAAAAGCTTCGTGAAACTCAAGGTCAATCTTTCTTTTTTGGTACCAAATAATAAGCCCTACGATTCTAACATTCGTCTTTAACGAGATGATGGGATCAACGGTGACCCATATTTATACAATACAGTAAATCTTCCATGAGTGTTCGAAGGTTCCTCAGCACTGACCATTAAATATTTCATGAACTAATGGCCATATTTGATTGAAACAAATATCATTGCCTTCAGAATTTATGCTCTATCACTGTATTGAATCTTATTAAAAAGTCAGCCTTCGTAATTCGAGGAGTTTTAATACGAATTTATTGATTCTGTTACAGATCTGAATCATCCGGACGCGGTGATGGTGCCGGTCGACGAAAAGCTAACACTACGGTGCTCCACCAACGGGAAAACGACCTGGTACAAGGATAACGAAATATTACGGGCGACGTCGCCGAGAATACGGCTGATGAAGCAGTCCTTGAGATTCAAGTACATCGGACCCGAAGACACGGGCTCGTACGCCTGCCTGGTCGAATCGAACGCGACGCTCGAATGGCGGAACGTGACGATACGGATCGAGCCGTTGCAGAACGACGGCTACCAGCACGACGTCGACCGGCTGGGCAACGCCATGGGGGCCCATCGAGCCGAAGAGGAAACGAACGAATTGGAAATCGAAGCGAGAAGTTAGCATCCCTCGGATAATCATAATTTATTCTTATCATTCCAGCATGGTCGGTCGTGTTCAAATTTCCATATCGCACCAAACGTTCACTGTACAGGGTGTCCCACCTAATGTGAACACCCTCGACGTGTCACTTGTTTTTGAAGAAACAAAAAGACGCGAGGAGAAAGTATTATTCGGTTAGAAGCAAACATTTTTTTTTTAATATGAAGGTCGTTTTTTTTTTAAATGGGACTGCATATTTTTGTCAACGTGACGTAAATAGTTGAGATCAAGACCAATATAATGACCTATAATAGTGTGACCTTCTTGTGATTTTGTATACGAAAAATCCACAAATGTATGAGAGTAGATTTAAATAATAACATAACTACGATAGAGGGATTAGCGCAAAAATATATCAAAGTTGGTGGACATCACTTTGAGTACTTTATGAAAATACATTTTCTAAGGTACTCACTTTAGGTGGAACACCTTGTATAAGTAAATAGTCCAACTTTTGTCCAAGATTCAGTTCATGACCGACTCGAAGATTAGATCTCCTAGGCAATTACCCAGTTATATTCCTCAAATTCTTCGTCTAGTTTCTATTACTATTAAAAATTCTTTATCTAATTTCTATTATTCTCGTATTCGATTCAGATTTGCCAGAGACCAGGTCGCTACACCTGGACAGCGATAATGGGGACAGCGATCTAGAGAACGAGACGGCTGGTGAGCACAACAACACCGCTCCAGAACGGGCACCGTCGTTCAATAAAAGCGTGGAGATGCCCAATGTGGTCGTAAAACCAGCTGGTAACATGCTTCGGCTGAGGTGTCCTAGCTTCGGTAATCCTAGGCCGAACATCACCTGGTTGAAGAACAACGAGGAACCGAAGCGAACTTTGGGTACCATTGTGATCAGCAAGTGGACCTTCAGGCTGGAGGACCTGGTACCCGAAGACAGTGGGAATTACACCTGCGTGGTGTGCAATTACCTTGGCTGCATCAATCGAACCTCCAAGGTGGAAATTATCGGTGAGTACTTTTTTGATATATCATCGATGATGATTCTAGAGGATGTAGTGTCCAAGTATGACAATGTCATCTAGGTTGTTGCGTGTGGAATATCGATCTAGTTTCGATTTAAATGAGCTTTGTACAACTTACGATCTATATTTAAGATCATCGAAAAATGTTCAAAGTGTATAGATTTTATGGTAGATATTTTACACGCGACAACCTAGCCGTACCCGATTTGGGCGAAGCGGTCTAACACGAAACGACTCTGTAGAGCGTTTTCCGCACAAGCCGTACATCAACGAGGATTTCCCAAAAAACGTGACGGCGATGGTGAACAGCACGGTGACCTTCAAGTGTCCGATCGTGTCTGATCTCGAGCCTTTTATACAATGGCTGAAAGTGGCCGAATACCCGGGCGACGAGGAGAATTCACCGAAGGGCAATCTGCTGCAGGTACAGGAGTAGATCGTGTAAATCGGGGATTCCGGTGACGTTTCTCTGTTGCTCTGGTGTGGAGTCTCGTAGTGACTAACTTGATGGTGGAGGAGCTGTCGATCTGAACGATCCTTTCGTGTATTTACAATAATCAACTTTCAGGTGGTGTCTGGCGAACTTCCTGGCGACTTTGTGACTACCATTACTTTCGATCTAGCGTTTCGTGTTTCAGTAAAAAATCGTTTCACCTGTTCTTTTATTCTTTGAGGTGCAGGTCTATTTGATTGTAAATGTCCTTCGAGATCGAATTCATTTTTCTAGGAGAATACGAACTGTTTCGAGTCTGATCTTTTTCCATGTATTCGATCTCGAAAGGGCATTCGTATCTTTCTTTCTCGACTTTCTCTTCTTGTCTTATTCTTGAGCTTGGTAAAAAGACGGTGGTTGGGTCTATTTTTCCTATAGAGAGCGTGAAACACCGGCCGATACTGACCAGACCGCCGAAAAACACCACCGTTCTGATAGGAGGCAACGCAACGATGACCTGCGAGGTACTCTCCGATGCTCATCGTCACCTCGAATGGTATCACGGTTATCACACTTCTTTCGACACTGTCAACAAAACCAATCAGAGTTTCCGGGTGGAGGTCAAGGTGGGCACGTAGAACTATTTGCATGATTTATTATTCTTGCTTTCACATTCTCAGTGCTTTCGCTGTCTGTGCTTCTTCTGTCGTCGATTAAACCATCTGTCCTTCAATGAACCGACTTTCTGTTTTATTGTGAGAATTAATAATCACCTGGAAGCTTTATAGTATCTATACAACACGTTCACCATGATGTAAATGTACAATGATTTGTTTATGGAAGGCTAGTCTTCATTAACTTCTTCGGAGACGAATTTATTAACACCACAAGAAATATATTTTATTTTACAGGTGTATTTAATTAAACTATATTTATCAATATTAACAACTATCACTTAGTTGAATATCCTGTTTTGCTGGGAAATTTCTTAGTGAATATTTAATTACAATTATAATTTGTAATGATGCTTGAATGAAAGAAAAACTAAACGTAACCCATACGTGCCAGTATCCCTCAAGAGGTTAAGCAAATTCAGAATTAAAATTAAGAAATTAAAAATTTGTTTCTTAATATACTATGTACAAAATGGTAGAGAAAGCTTCCACGGTTAAATGTCGTATTAAGGTGCTAGCTATTCTTCTAGTCAACTCCTAACTATAGCTTTCCAATGTGTTCGATGAACTCTTAAAGAGTTATACATATAATAATCAGTACCATATTACTCTTACTGTAGGACGGAACCTACGCAGATAATCCAGAGGTGCTAAAACTGTACAACGTAACCGAGAAGGACGAGGGCTGGTATACATGTATCGCCCAGAACACGTTAGGCGAAACGTTCAGCAGCGCCTACCTTCGAGTGGTCGAATGTGAGTACGAAAAAAGATAGATTTAATATCGACACATACTCCCAATTACTGGGAATTATAACAAATAATTTGTATCGACAAATCATCGTTTAATATACACACTTGTAGCTCTCGAGGACCATAGAGTCCCCATCCCAGCGAAGCCACAGATTCTCGTGAACATTCTGGCAGCTGTACTGTTCATCTTCTTCGCTGTTGGCGTCGTGGTGGTGATCTATATCTTCCATCGACTGAAACGCGAGAAGATGAAGAAGCTGCTGGCGATCGAGACAGCAAGAGCTGCGGTGGTCACTCAATGGACGAAGAAGGTGATCGTGGAGAAGCAGAATCTGGTGAACGCTCAGAATGTTCAGGAGCCGTTATTGATGCCTGTGGTGAAGATCGAGAAACAGAAATCGACGGTCGCCGCGGAGGACAGCAATGGAGGCAGCATATCGGAATACGAGCTTCCAGTTGACAGTGCCTGGGAGTTACCTAGAGAACACTTGAGTCTGGGCAACACTCTTGGTGAAGGTGCCTTTGGAAAGGTTGTCAGGGCGCAGACGAACACTGGTAAACCTGGGATACCTAGCGTGGTGGCTGTAAAAATGTTGAAAGGTATGTGTGCTCATTGAAATATACCTCAAACATCTTTAACCCTTCAACGCCAGGTGTTGCATCGATGCAACACTCAATTGAAAACTGCGTCAAATTCTGTCGTTGGTTAATACCTTACTTTTGTCCTAACATGTTCAAATACCTGACAAAATGAGCTTTCGTAATTTCCGAAAAAAGGAAAAAATCCAATAACATCTGTTTAATATCAAAATTTCCATAATGTTGAAATAACAATTCAAGGGTCGAGGCGTTGAAGGATTAAACGTTTTGTCGAAAACATTTCCAAACGCAGAGAAATGAGACGATTCCGAATCTGTTGCAGAGGGTCACACGGACGCAGAGATGATGGACCTTGTGTCTGAAATGGAGATGATGAAGATGATCGGCAAACACGTGAACATCATCAATCTATTAGGCGCCTGCACCCAAGGTGGGCCGTTGTACGTAGTGGTGGAGTTCGCGCCCCATGGGAATCTACGTGATTTCCTACGTGACCATAGACCCTCGTCGGGATACGAGCCGACGATTGGCCAAGAACAGAAGGAAAAGAAAACCCTGACGCAAAAGGACCTGGTCTCGTTCGCGTATCAAGTGGCCAGGGGTATGGAGTATCTGGCAAGCCGAAGATGCATCCACAGGGACCTGGCCGCCAGGAACGTCCTGGTCAGCGACGAGTACGTTCTGAAGATCGCTGACTTCGGTCTTGCCAGGGACATACATTGTCACGATTACTATAGGAAGACCACGGATGGACGGCTGCCCGTCAAATGGATGGCACCCGAGGCGCTGTTCCATCGGGTGTACACCACTCAGTCCGACGTGTGAGTATTTGAAATGATCTAAGGTTTATTGACCCCTTGACCAGAATATGTGATCTAGCCAACAATATTAACGTCGATTTCCTTTTTCTGGTTCTGTCAACGCTTTTAAGCTTTCATTGAAAATTTCAGGTTTAGTTTCAGTTTTAGTTTTTCTTTTTGTTGTCAACAGTTTCAGAGATTTTCGAGTGAGTCGATTTAAATGAGACACTCTATATATGTTCCTATATTCTTCTTTTCTTCTTTTTAAGTTTCATTTTATTATATGTTCTTTCTGTTATTTCAATGTATATTGGGCGAATTTACGACCTTTACAATAAATTATTTCCTTGAAGCAAACAGATATTTTTATTATTCGACAATTATTAAAGAGTTTTTCGCGGCTATGTTGCAGCTGGTCGTACGGAATTCTGTTGTGGGAGATCATGACGCTAGGTGGAACCCCCTATCCGTCGGTACCATCGGTAGAGAAATTGTTCCAGTTACTGCGAACTGGTCATCGAATGGAGAAACCACCGTGTTGTTCGATCGAAATGTAAGAATATTAAACTCTTCACATTTTCTGTGTTATTGCATTCTGTAATATTAAAAGTACCGATTCAAACGATTCGTTTCTTCCAGATACATGTTGATGAGAGACTGTTGGAGCTATCAGCCGAACGAAAGGCCAATGTTTGGAGAACTGGTCGAAGATCTTGACAGGATACTAACGATTACTGCAAACGAGGTAAGAGAAGAATATTTCGAACTAGATCTTCACGTGTACGTTGGACTAGATTTAAGTCCAGCTCTTATTTTTATTCTCTACACATCTAATTAATATATAAACTTCGTCAACTTTAGGAATACTTGGACCTTGGACTACCACAATTAGACACCCCACCCTCCAGCCAAGAATCCAGCGAAGCCGAGGATGACGAGGGCGAAGAGAAATTCCCCTATTTGCTGTGAATTCAACCGGACCGTTTTGGTCGTCATCCGAGACTAACCATCCAAGAGGATCAACGAACGAAATACGAAGATGAAGAAGAAGAAGGGAATAGAAGGAACGCCGGGTCTGAAATCGACCGATCCAGCGAACACGCCAAATAATCTGAATCAGTATTGACCTGTTAGCGCGTATTCTGTAGGGTTAAGGAACAAATGGGGATGAATAACTGTCAATTGAAAAACTCCGGCCTTCGTGGAGACTGATTTTCTTAACGAGACTACATGTATTTATTATACTGTATCGTTATACCCTGGGACGCGTTTACGTTCACGAAGAATCAAGGATCGTCGTCGAACGGTCTCAGTATTGGAACGCGCGCTCCTGTTCCCAGATATTTTTTGTACGTTTCTCAGGTTTCGCGGTTCGTTATCAGGAACGAACACCACGAAGACTTCGATGCACACACTCCCCGAAACCAGCATCCGAAGTATTTGTGTACAGATGGAGTGGACAAGACACGAGGGGTGATAAAAAAAAGAAGCTAAAATGCTAACAGTATCCTTCGAAGCAGTCCCCTGATTAATATGCACTTGGTCCCACGTTCCTGCCACTTCGAAGAATATCGTCGGAAGTTCTTACTAATAGCTACTTAGCTCTGGTCGCGTGAGTAGGCGCCAATCAAGGAGCTAATTTTACGAGTTAGCTAGAATCTTGTCCATCGAGCATAAAAGTGTTTCTTCTTTAGACGTCGTCCGATTTGTATTGTCGGTGGAACAAATATAGTGACTATCGTGGGAACCCTCTGCAATGGCCACATAAACCACATATTTCAGAGAAATTTGGTTCACATTGGCTGAGGTTTAATGCAATAACTGTCGTGGCCTCTAATCAGAGACTCGAAAGGGGCCTATATGTATCAGCCTGATACGAATTCTAGGCTAACCCAACCTCGCATCCCTAGAAAGACTTTCAGACAAAAAACTAGGGTTTCTTACTCTTGTTATTAGTGATAAGAATTTAGTCGAGCGACTTCGTGCCTAAGGGCGACCTCACCTGGGAATTAGCGACCCAAAGAGATCGACCCAGGACCTCTCCTGAATTCTGGACCCACGATACCCAGAAAAAAACGCTACCTCCCTGCGGCAATCTACGAAGTCTCTGTATTTGTTATCCCGATAACACACATGTTATACCGTGCCATTAATAAGTGCCTTGGGAGGATCGCGTAAGCCAGAGGCTCCACCAGAGCTTCTCCATGGGGAAAAGGAAACAACGAAAGAAGAAGAAAGAACTAAAAGCAGGTGCGGAAGACTTCGAATCCTCGAAACGATGCGTATCTCGACGCAAACGTGTTTGTAACTAGTCAATCAATGAAACCCTGTAAGTTTTCTCTGTAAAATAGCAAAACGACGAATGTACGCCAGGCCTTGGAACCCCGTACATTTATCTGTTCTTTTGTTAGGTTATAATTGTCTTCTTATTTTTTTGTAGAAAAGCATTAGATCGTAAGCGAAAAAAACACTGGTTGGCGCCACGACGAGCCGACACCGTTAACGAATCGGGTGGTTCTCTCTTGTCCAATCGGCTCGTCGTCGTTCCACCAGCGGAAGAATGTATAATTCGACGATGAACACCGATGATTATTGTATAATTTTGTACGAGAGCATTTTGCACGCGAACGAAATCGGTTACATCGTCGTCGTCGTTGTCCCCGCGTTGTTGCACGTGCAACGAATGTATAAATGGTGCACGCGAGCGAGAATATAGGTGCTTAGTAGTAGATAATTTATTTCCTGTATATTGTTACATAGGACGATTAGAAGGCCTTTTTTCTTCGCCTGTCTCCTTCGTGCCCGGCGATTGAAAACGCGCGTGTCGCGCGCGGCGATTATGTAAAATACTGCACACGCCGATTGAATAAGGAATCGCGACGGCCGGCGAGCCTCTGTATATAGCACCGACTTGTTTATTTAAAGAAAAAAAAAAACATAATAAATAACGAACGTTTCTTTTTGTTACCCAGCACCTAATGGTAGCCAGTAAACCAGCATTTACCAAGGTAGACACATGTATGTATAGTTTCTTGCGTAAAATATTCGATTATTATTGTACCGTGAGTTTCATGTCGAATAAAACAATTCGAACTGTATTTCATCAGTGTGTTTTGATACACCAAGCACGACGTTTCGAGATCTGTTTTTCCCTTAAATCATTATAAACCGTCTGATCTCGAGATTGATTTTACAGGTGGGAAATTTAATGTTCGATTTGACCTCTACGATTTAAATTCGTACGCTCCGTCGTGATTTCAATGGGAGAAGTATGAATGTGAAATGAAACTTCTTTTTACGGAATTACGGTTATCGATCGAACGTTGTGGAATTAACATAAATTGCTTTTTACAAGCATACGAATATATATCCAGTCCCCAATTATTACTATGAACGCTAGCAGCCATATGTCGAAGCGAATTAAATTACACGACGTACAAAACGGAACGTATAATCTGCTTAATGAATATAAACGATCAAACGAGCAGTATTTAAAAAGTGTGATTGATCGAAAGAGGATACCAAATCCACCCCCACCATTAGACGGAACCGCGTGTCCACAGAAAAGTTGACTAACCAGAGACCGATGGCGCTGGAATCAGTTCGTTTTGTTGTCATCAGCCACATTTACGCTAAGTTGTTTTTACCAAGTTTTTAATGGAACGTATAATTTTCTATTCTTCCACCTAGCTTCGATCAAACGACAGAAAATGCGTAGGATGGTGGGGACCGTTCACACAAAATTTCCGAACGAATAACACGAGTGACAGTTGCCGTTGTGGGCTACACCTAGACATTTCAGGTTAGAAACCGTTAACCCACTTATTTCCGGAGCACTGTACATTCTTCTACCTGCCGACCGGTGTTCTATACATTTCATTCCATCCTCTAGGGACTAAGCGTCGTAGCATTAGTATGCAAACCAATACAAAGAATTTCATTCACTTCGTTCATTCCACAGTCATTACACCCTCTGACAAAACACAACTTCATCACAACACTTTTCGGCTGAAATTGTTTCAATTTTAAAACGAATGAAAACAATGGGGATTGTTGCATATTGTCTGGCTTAGCAATTGTTATTGTTTTGGTATAATTTCATTCTGTCGTGGTATAACCGGTGTTGTACGAATGATCATAGGTAGCTACAGTTATTAAATGGTGATTACCAGTGCCATGGAGAGGAGAATCAAGCTGAAAACACTGAATAGCCACATAACGTGCAAGATATGCAGAGGATATTTGATAGATGCCACCACTGTCACGGAATGTTTACACACTTTCTGCAAGAGCTGCCTGGTGAAACATTTGGAGGAGAAGCATACCTGTCCGACATGCCAAATAGTGATACATCAGTCACATCCCCTTCAATACATAAGCTTCGACAGAACTATGCAAGATATTGTTTACAAATTAGTTCCTGATCTCCAAGAAAGTTAGTGATCTTGTTATTCATTGAAGATAATGGGAGTCAGATGTGTTTTACTAAGTGCATTTCTTTTCAGATGAAATTAAAAGAGAAAGGGAGTTTTATAGAGCAAGAGGTTTACCATGTCCGAAAGATGTGCTACCCAATGCTGGTGATGTGGAGGAAGAAAAGGCAACAGCAGATGCACATGCAGAATCAGATTATCATCGTGCAGATGAACAGGTAAAATACGTCAGATAAAGCCTCTTTAGCTTTATCAGTATCTCACAGGATGAATTTGTTCTATGCTGATTCCTAGGTGAACGTGTGTTTGGAATGCATGAATACAAACTTGAAGACCCTGAAACGGAGGTTTATCAGGTGCTCTGCCCAAGCAACTATTACACATTTGAAAAAATTTATCGCGAAGAAAGTTCTCAACGGGATGGAGAAATATCGAGATGTAAGTGAACGATTAATGGGATTCTCGATATGACTCTTAGCTAACTGGTTAATTCGCTTCTTTACAGATTGATATTTTGTGCAATGACGAACTCTTAGGTAAGGACCATACATTAAAATTCGTGTACGTGACGAGATGGAGGTTCCGGGACCCACCGTTAAGGCTACAATATAGACCACGAATAGACATCTAAGACTAATATTTCTGTGTTCGATAAAATCACAAAGAATCTGTACCTACTTTATACATTTCCTAGTTCTATTCGTGTATCGCCCGTTGTAGTACTTATTTCTGTGTGCCCACGCAGCTGGGACATCGGGATTGAATTTTTGGAACGCGGAGAGACGGTTTCTTGCGACAGAAAGATGAAAGGAAAACGGCTTTAGACTTATATCTTTCTACCGTATCACTTTAACCAGAATACCAATAGTCATTAGCACGACGTATTTGTATAAAATAGGGAATCCCATCAGTATACACACTTGATTGTATCTTTCTTTGTTCTCTTCGAGTAGCTAGTGGTTCGAATCGTTTGCATATTGTCACAAATGAGTTACATTAACTCGACTCCTTATTATTAATTCGGTGCGTTACTTTTCACTCGAGCATAGGTTTTTCTGTAATTGTAGTAGTTATAAGTAGATCAAGTACGCAATGTGACACTGCGCGGGTGTGAGAATGAGAGAGTGTGAAAGAAATAGAGAGGGTATGTCTGTTCACTTGCAGTGTCGCAGAACGTGTTTCACGAGATATTTAGTTTGCAACGTTTCACACCGCAGTCATGACTTCGCACACTCTGCGTGTTCTTGCGTTGATTTTCCGTGAATAATTCAAGCATTCGTTCCGTGATACAAAAACGCCGGTTAGTGTCTTTTCGCGGGTATGCGGGTTCGTTGCGTTTTTTTCGTAATCGGCCACGGAGCAAGGGTCCCCCTTCTATTCGTAATCGTGTGAGACGCGGATTGTTCTTTTCTTTTTTTATACATGCCCCAATTGTAAATATAGAATATTTTTGACAGAATTCCAAGTAACATTGCGCGTAGACGCAGCTTTGTATTAGACGAAAACGGGAAGAAGAAAAAAATAGAAGGAAACAAAAAAGAGAAATCGGGCCCTAGACAGGAAGATGTCCAGGGCCCCTTTAACTTTGTATGTTTACGCACTGTACACACATTCTAACCCGGCCCCGAATTTCTCTCAATGCCGGACGACAAAATGAATTTTATTAGATGCGACATATTTTCTCGAGGGATTTGATATGGATAACGACGCGTTGAGCGGAACGCGGGGCATTTATCGCTTTGTAGTAGAATGAACTTGTTTCATCGGACAGCGTAAAGCGGGACAACCGTGTGATTGTATATAAATATTCTAGGAAAATGAAGTGAAGTCGACTTTACAAAGTAGCAGCATTTCATGAATGCTAGGGCTTGTACGTTGTACACTATGTGTGTATCTCCATAAATTATTAAATAAATATGTTTTGTACAGTACTAGTCCATTTTATAAATATCCATTCGCCTTTTGCCATTAAGATTTACTAAATGTTAGATACTTCTTTAGAAAAAAAACTATCACCGCGCATCATAATTTAAAATTTACCGCCCTTTTTCAAATCGAAATCAATATGTCGGATACAATCGAACTCTGTATCGAAGTCGATATCTCGCAATAAAGATGGACGTTTCATCCGAATCACGATTCCCGCCGAAATTGATACCGTTAACCGACATGTGAATGTCAGCAACAATTTAAACTATTAGAATGCCCTACAATCATTACGCGATAAATGCATTAGAGAATTGAATCTGACACTTCATGAGTACCCAAGAGAATCGAAATTCGTAAAGTGACGGTTAGATTATTTAACATCGGGCAGTTACCAAACTGTCGTTATGAGGGATCATCGGTAGAATACTAATTTCGAACAAATGATTCAAGGCGACCCTATCACGTAACATCGAATTGAAGAAAAGAATTTTAATCAGTCAGGCCAGAATTATAATCGCGTGACAACGCTTTTAACAATGCCTAAAAGAATCTGCATGATCATATATGCAACGAGCATACTTGCAAAGAGGGCATGCAAATTTCAATTTTTCGAATGATCATATATTTCAAATAAAACAAGAAAAACAGTTACAAATACTCACAAAATGTAAAACTGCCATTCGTCCGACGAACACACACAAAAAACACTAATTAGAACACAAAAAATTACGATAATTTTCTTTTAAAAAACGGAGCAAGGAACGACACGGCACCGGGCAAAATTTCGGACCGAACGCGACTAACGGTCGTCGTAGTGCGCATGCGCAGACGTTGAACAGATTAAAACAAGCCGACGCATGCGCAGTATATACTGAAGTAGTGTATAGTCAATGCGCGATTACTAGAGACCGTCGCTGCTCTCCAGCAGCACGGCAAACGCGATTTTTCTCGATTAATTTCCGATGAATTTGATTCGTGGAATTGGTGTTTTTTCGTACGCGTGGATCACGCACAGTCTCGCCAATAAATGAGCTTACAAGACAGCCTCTTTTCCCAGGACGTGGAGCACGACGTGACTCTGTTTTCGAGGGACAAAAGACGAAAAAGGTATGTGCCAAACGATCACGTTTCGTGATGCAGCGTCGAGCCTTTAAAGGTTAGATCAGTAGCTTTTTTACAGCGTGCCTTTGAACATTATTCGCCACTTTCGATTTCTTTCAACATTTACAATAGAGAAAACCGTGAAGCTTTCCCCCAAGAAGTCACTGAACTGCTGACTTCAGAATTGCAATGAGATACTTGACGTCTGTCAATGACACGAAAGATGAAATAGTATGCACCGTAAATAGCATCAGTTTTATAATTCACGATTTTACAACGCAAACGTATTAAATTTTATACGGTCCGGTTCATCTAGGTTATAAATCCGTTTGCATCCTTGACATACAATTTCATTGGTATCTGAAGGCACTTAAGACAAATCTTCAGGCCTTGAGGAATGAAGATGCCATAGAACCATTGAAAAACGAGCAATGATTTATCGAATTCTTTTACAGCCCCCGAGTAGACCGTTTATAAATATCTCAGTCCAAAGGAACATGACTAATATCATGGTTATCTCGGCGACGAACGTTGACTCCTATGTATTTTCGAGGATAGTCCCGTTACCTTACTGGATTTGATGGTTTCTTTTTAATTTTCGAGTAATCGGCGAACTTCGAACACCGGTACTTTTTCTCATCGTACAATTCTATTCTTAGCAAATGCATAACATTTTGAAAAATACAAAAGAGCCGCGAATCCACTGGCACTTTGCCGGAGAGAAATAAAAATCGCATGTCGATCATTTTTATCCCGATATTACGTTACGGGTGACGATCAGATCTGTTTTTAAATCGCCAACATTGGTTAAATAACCGTCTACATGCAGCGGCACTCGCATCCGCCGTGTGGTCATTAAGGAAAATTTGCACGGAATGCAAAGTTTAATGGAACGTATTATCTTCATCGACGATAATGGAAACAATGAACTCTGTGCTAATGGGTAGAAATATTGTGCACCATGAATGGCGATAGAAACATATAAAATAGTGATAAGCACAATAAATTTTCAGGTTTTCCTGTACAAAATATATTCTACGATTAATGCGTATAGGGTTAAGTACCAAATCAAGAGGTAACGAGGTCCAGTATGTTACATAAAAGGAGGAAAAAATCTCATAAACGTTAATGTTACACACGGCATTGCATAATTACCGAAACCAAGCAAAAGGGAAATTCCCGTTGCAGTCTGGTTTAAAAACAGGCCCTCACGAGTGTTATTCGTCGAGCTTGCGTCGCTTACCCGGAGTATGTCGCTCACGTCTACACGTGATTACGTGAACCATGCAACACTTACGAGATAGCATTCTGTTTCTTTTTTGTGGTTCAAGGCTCGTCGATTTGGTCGTCGTAGATCGTAATTAAAGAGATCAAGCCTAACGATCGGATCACGGGGATGGTCGTTTTGCTTGTCCTAGTCGATTTCTTTTTCGTCCAGACTTTCATCTAGGTAAGGGGTGGGGGATGGGAGGTGGAACCGATTTATCACGCTACACGGTCCGTTCCACCTGAACGGTTAGCGTGTAATTTAACTATCGCGTAACATGGAACGCCTCTGGTGATGGTGAAAACTTATTTCACTCGAGCATCCTCGCCAAATCGTTTATTTACGATAGAAAAACAAGAAAACAACGCGAACGTACGCTTCCTGTTCATCTTTTTCCGCACGCTTGGCTTCCAACAGGTGCAACGCGTGGCGCAGGTCACGTACGTTAATGCTCCAGTGATTCTTACCACTCTCGCAACTGTACAGCTTACGGTCCCTAACGGGTATGAATCATTCAAACTGTACTGGGCCCCACTCCACAGACTAAATTTCGGAAATACATTCTACACTGCGAAACAAAATCTGACCACTTCTAATGATCACCCCAATGATACTTCATAACTTCGACGTTATCCTCGGCAAGTGCAATACGGTAACCGTCGTGAAACACAATGACGGTACGTAATTTAAAACCATTGTTACCGGAACACTGTAGTCGCAAGAAAGAATAGGTGTCCTTGTTTATCTGATTCGTCTACTCTATGAAAGTCTTCTTCGTGCTTACAGTAATTCAAGATTCCACCATGCCTTATCGATTGTGTACACACTGCTCAAACGATTCTTGCCGTTCAAGCCACCTCGACTATCCGTAACAGTATTCAATCCCTTCTGTGTTTGTCTGTCGAACGCAACGACAGTTTTGCTAACGAACACGATTATTATGTAAATTCGTAACGGGGTCGTGTTGTGGGCCTCGGAATGCGGCCGAAACGCCGGGTATCGGGGAAGCAAGGATGGCTTCAGTTTGAGGAAACCGAACGAAGGAGAAAGTAAACGTTACAACGTTATGTAAAAGTCGTGAGTGAGCCGGCGTGTTCATCTGACGACGGGATACACGCTGGCCGAGTCGCCCGGGGCAAAAGGCGGTTACGTTCACCCGACAGAGCGCCGTCCTCAGTCCAGTCTCACTTTCAACCGCGTTCGTAACGTGTTCTTTTCACTTTTACAGGGTACTCGTCTTTCCGCCTGTAAACAACTATCGGAGGTTCATCATACACCAGTTTGTGCAGGATCGCTTCGACGACCTGCACACGTTCTCGATCGGTCAAGGCGTGGACAGACGGACCGTCGTGTGCTTCAAAAGTGACTTGATAAGGTACATCAAGGTGGTTCCACGTTTATTTGAGTGACTCGATAGATCAGGGTCTTGTTTACCCATGCAACGTCTGGTTGTACCTTCCGACCTGGTCGTAAATCTGTGCATTTTGCTCCGTTCGTGAATCCGGTGAGAATATAGATGCACGTTTTCAGTGGTTATAGTTAGATAAAAATGTACATACATATTTATATACTAGTCGTTAAAAGATTGTAAATAAGTATCTTTTTTGTGTAACAATTAGTATTTAATAACATTGTATATAACTATTTAACTGTATTATGAAATTGCATAAAATACTGGAAAACTGGAAATTTTAGAATATTTTTCTCCGTAACGTTTTGTGTATCGTAAATCACTGTCTTATATGTTAGTTAGTAATATACATATATTCTATCGTTATGTATGAAAACATATAGTTTAATGCGCTTAAAGTGAACTGTCAGATGAGCGTGATTTATGCGAAATTCGCTAACAGACTCGAGCGATTACGAAACGGATATACTGCTATGGAATTCTTACGACGTAGCAGTGGCAAACGAAAGTGAAACTGACCGCCTCAAGGTCGCGGTGGCGTACTCTGGATTTGACCAGTGGGCCCACCTTTGCGTGTCGTGGAAAGGCCGGACTAAAGTCGATCTACGTTTAATTCTCTGTTTTCATGATTCAAGGGATCCCAAGTTGAATGGTGTGCAGTGTAAATCGAGTCCGAAAGTCGCTGATTCGCTGCACGAGATGGGCGTCGAAGGACAACGGTCGCCCTCCGCATCACCGGAACGTGTACGAGTTCAAAGACCAGGTGATTAAAATAAAGCAGATTTTATTTCGAGAATAAAACGATCACAGAGAATGAGATATTTTACTTTTCTATTTGCTTTTTAGCGAAGGTTGTGCCAGCGGTTGAGATCTACAGGCCACCAGCTGCCAGAAGAGCCAGGAATGAACAGACGGTCACAGAACAAGTTCAAGCACAACCAACTATCGATTCGCCTTCAAATGTAAAGTAAGTTACAGAAATGATAAGTTAAAGAAATATTTAAATAACTTTAATACGTTTACGAAGGACTACCCGCCAAAAAAGGCCAGACCGTGCCGTTTACGTTCCGAGGGCTCGTAGAAGCTTAGAAACTGAAGGAAGCCCGCAACCATCAGAATCTGCTCGTGCAAACCGCACAGCTAAAGATGCATTAACATCCTCCTCCTCCCATGGGCAACCGAAGTCGAATTCAAATCTAAAAGAAATAGAGTCTGATAGTCGGCAGAGTGCGGAATGTGTGAAAAAGTTATCAAACACATGCTCTGATAAATATCAAAACCACCCGGAGAGTGAAATTAGTCAGTGTCTTCGGGTAGATTCGAAAAATACAACCACTTCAGGCCCTTCAGTGGTGTCTGTTGCAGAAGTTTGCAACGAAGTAAAATGCGAACAGCTGAACAACACGAGCGAGGACGTGCCAAACAAATCAAACGAATCCGCTGTTCCAGACGCTGAATGCGAAAGAACTGGTGTATTTCAACCGCAGACTGTTAAAGAGGATGAAATGTCTAGTAATTCTAGTGAGGATAAGACTAGTTTAGATTCAGTTGAAGCGTGTGTAGATAACGAAGTTAATGTTGACAAAGACTTAGAGAGATCTGATAAATATAAGGACGATGTTGTTGCAATATCCACGACGAATAATAATAAAACAAACGAGAAATTTTCGTGTAAGGATGAAATAACGAATAAGAGGAACACGCAAATAATAGATGACAGTGGGGTATTAAACGTTTTAATTATCTCAGATGTTGTACAAAAAGACACGCCGCCTGTCAAAGAAGTTACCCCTACTCCCATAACGCCGCCGGAGAAGAAAGTGAAGAAAATCGAAAGGCAAAAGAGCAAACCGGCGTCACCACCATCTCCGCCAATTAAAAAGATAAACCGAGACGAATGTGACTGGGATAGTTTGTTCGACGACAACGGTGATTGTTTAGATCCAACCCTGATTGAAGAGGCAAGCATTTGCACATGTATTTTCTTTTTCTTTAATTTCGAAACATGACGATCGTTTTAAGATAACTTCGTTTTCAGTTAACCTCGGCCGTGGGTGACGTTATGATAGAACAACCGAAAAACGATTACAAATCATACACACGACACATCGAAGTGTCCAGCGACGAATATGCTCATGTTCTTGAAATATACAATTTCCCCTCGGAATTTAAGACCAGCGACCTAGCTGCTGTTTTTAGCCCTTTCAAAAACGGCGGGTTCGAATTGAAATGGGTAGACGATACGCATTGTCTTGGTGTTTTCAGTAGCCCTCTTGTTGGTAATTACAAATACGCAATATTATCATCTACACATATTGAAATGCAACAATTACTCACGTGTTTAACGTTTAGCCGCTGAAGTTCTGGCGTCGGATCATGCGTTTGTGAAAACGAGACCATTGAGTGAGGCAACAGCCCTGAGTAAAACGAAAGCGAGGAGGAGCGCAGAATTTTTGCAACCGTACAGAAGTCGTCCAGAAACTTGTGCGGCGTTAGCTAGACGACTAGTTACGGGTGCGTTAGGCGTGAAATTAGCCACAGCTAGGCAAGAACGGGAACACGAGAAAAACATTCTTCGCGAAGCTAAAGGTAAGTACCATCTTCGTTTATGGATCGAGTGAGACACCGTTGCCTGTGCAAGTGCCAAGAATTCTGAACCTTCTGAAAATTAAACGAAGATAGAATTTTCACATTCATCTGTATTGTGTACAAATTATATTTTCTTTCAGAAAAACGAAGATTAGCGAACAAACAGCGGGATGATGTCTGGGAAGGCATAATTCCTGAAAAGTAGCATTATCTGTGAGTAATGTAATGTTACATTGGTGAATTATTTACACGAAATGTAAGTGTGGCGTGACATTTACATGCATTTGTGCCTTACTCATCTATTTTTCATCTTTGACAAACTCATTTGTCGAGAACTGATTGGGCTATTGGTTACGGGAACACATGGGTTGACTTCTGCCAATAGATGAGTGCGGCATGACGGAAATACCGATTACGGATCATACTCGTTTGGGACTGGTAAATGAGTTTCTAGCGTTCGTTTCATTTCTATATATGTGCATATCACAATTGTCCAGACCAGTTGAGTACGAGCGTGCCTATTGCACTGTTTTTTAATTGAAAGAAGGTATCAAGTATTTTAAGTGATATTCTTAGACACAGGACGGTTTACCGTGCCGACATTAGAAAAACTATAGAGACAGAAGTAGGAACGTTTTATGATATGGTTATATTCTTACCTCGACAGTTGCCTCTGTTAGAAATTTATATATACGACGTCAAATAATGCTGTGTTGTGCAATGATAATACGAGACAATAAGTTAGAATTCGTAGAAAATAATACGATATTTCTGTATCATGTGCACACGCGCGTGTGCATGCGCATACATCGATTTTTGCTACAGTGATATGTAATCAAAACGTGTCTTCACAGAGTTATGATTTTCACTACGGAAACTATTAATGAAATACAAAGTGCATAAATCGTCTGTACAACGTAAAAACATATTGTAGTTGTGAATTGTATTGCTACTTATATACATATATATTTCTGTTATATGAATGTTAAAATTTGACGCACAATCACGATATCTACACATATTGCAGACTTATTATGCCAGAAAAAAAAAGGAAAACACAGAACTGCAGATTGTATTTTTATATACAATTGTTACCAACAGAGGAATAAAAATATGTATCGCCAAATCCTAGTCAATGTACGCAAGGAACATGTTACCTATATTGTATGTTATATTGCCGAATTTTGTCCACGAGTTGACAAGAGGATGCAACAAAGCAAACAAAAAAGGAATAAAAAATATTTTATGTACCATACTCTTTTTACATTATATTTTCCTTACACTTAGAATCTGAATACAATTTTTTAACATAGTACCAAAGAATACAAATTTTAACTGATCAAAGTGGTTTTAAAAATGGCAGCAAGTACACTGTACGTAAAAGGTACATATGTAATTGAAAAAGTTGATTATATGTACAGAGTGTTCGGCTACTGGTGTCAGAAACTCTTTAAAAGATGATTCCACGTGTCAAAATATAACGAATGCCAGAAACGACGAAATTGTGTTGGAAGTTTCATTTTATTTTGACACGTAAAATCAATATAAATATAAACAACCTCGATTACCATTTTCCTCCCTTCTTTTTCTTTTTCTGTTGCACTTTGCGCTGTTGTTGTCGCGGACCGGTAGTTTCCACCGCGGGGCTAAGTCGTGGATTAGGGGAACGCTTAGCATTCGTAGGCATTTTAGTGATATCGCTGTTAAAATAATAAAACCTTATTAACACCATTTGTCCAGAATTAAAAAATAATATTTATGAATGTATTGCTTTTAATACGTACTACAGATCGCTAGCTCCAGCCGCAGCACCCTGAGTACCCTTCATAGCAACATCTCGGTTTCTCCTATCACGTTTCTTTCTAAATCCGCTACGCTCGTGTCTCGGTAACCATCGTTCAGGATGGGGTGGAACATTTGGATCATAATTCTTAGGCAGTTTTCCCTTGCGTTTACGTTTCTTACGTTTCTTTTCTGTGAGATCAACATTAGGTTTGCTAAACAAGAAAAAGATTCACGTAAGATTCCATGAAAAATGTTTTCCAATTACAGATCGTTACTCGGATAAGAAATAATTACCCCGGCGATGGTTCGATCTTTTTCTTGATCACCTTTGTACCTATTACCCAGTTACTACTCTCCAAAGCATCCACATCAGTTCTCTCGGAAAGATCATGAAGAGGCGGCAAGCGTTTGGATAGAAGTTGCGCCTTTTCAGGACAGAACTGTACATAAGCCACTACTAACTGTGCCAATGTTTTCGTGTCTGAAGGCGAAGCATCCACCATTTCTTGCAGAATATCTGCTGCTACCTTGATTTCACCTCCACGAAGGTAGAAGTCAGCGGCCTGCCGCCATAGCTCTCCCAAGTTAGCAGTAGTTTCCTAAAGGGAAACGTTAAGTAAGACCTTTGGCTCTTATTTTGATAAGAAAACTAAAGAGTAATTATGAGAGGAGGAACACATTTACCTTATTTTTCTTATAATAATTCACGGCATTCTTAAGAGCGACCGACGCTTTCTCACGAGTATTATTAGCCATGTGAAGAGTCACAAGTGCGCTGACGATACCAGGTAGTGATCTGTCCCTTTCGTTTAAATTTTCAAGAATCTCAATTGCCTCTTGTCTCTCATCCTGACTTAGCAACAACTGGACGCACACCAATTTCATTTGCAACTCTTTTTCTCCAGTTGCATATTGAATCAACAATTTGGCTGCTTCCTTTGCTTTGCCCTCTTTACCAAGCTGCACTGCTTTAACGAACATTGCATCTGCAGCTAGTGCTGGGTGGTCCTTTGCAAGCTTGTTGCACAATGATTGACACTGTTCTGCCTGTGTAGGTATAGAACATGTCATGTAACATAAACAGTGATAGTATAAAAATATCATTAACAAAGTTCATACCTGATCAGTATAAAAAGCAAGTAGGCACTGATTGTATGCAATGTTCCTTCTTTGCCTGGTAGTTAATTTGTGTTCTAAACTATCATGGGTAGCACTCTTCATCCTCTTTTTGCTGTCAAACACGTTTTGATCCTTATTGTGGCATACAAGATTATTGCTTGCAACTGCTACCAGAGCTATGTCATCTGGTTTTGCTTTCAAAGCAGAAGTGTACAATGCTTGGGCTTCTTTCTCGCGACCTTGAAGCTGAAGACAACATCCAAGCTGAACTCTGATAATTCCCAATTCATCTTCTATTTCTTCTTCAGCTACCCCATCTTCCTCTAGACCTTCCTTGCACATTTTCTCAGCTGCTCTAAGCTTCCTCTCTGCTTCTATTAAAATTGCTCTGTCCCCTTTGTTACCTTGAGCAATTAAACGACATGCTGCATTGTATGTCAATTCGTATGTATCCTCACGTAAGCCAAGCTCTTCCACATTCTGTTAATCATTTAACCCAAATTAAATGGTATAAAAATAATGCATTACTTCCAGTTAGTACAAAACTTACAGAGCCTTCTATTGCTAAGTTAACAACTACAGCTGCAAGGTTTGCTTCCCTTTCATCTTCATATTCATGACTATTTTTTATTATATCCCTATATAGGCTGAAACATTCTTCGTATCTCTCTAGTCGGTACAATATTTGTGCCCTTAGTTCCTTAAGCTTTAATGAAGTATTGGATGCATTGTCTACCACCTTCAATGCTTCGGGCACTTGATTCAGTCGATATAAGCAATAGGCTTTTTCAAAATCTAAGTTACTGTAGAAGAACAAAAATTAATTCTAATAGAATATTAAACATTAGCAGAGTAAGCGAATTTTTGTTCAGTTCCAACTTCCGTAAATTAATCCATAAAAATCTATATCTGCAGAAATATTAGTCTACTAATAACAGCCACTAATCGCTTCTAAATGATCAAGGCCATGTAATAGAAATTTCATAGGAGATGGTCATCAAGAGATAGAATATAGTATTTATCAACATAAACAATCTTACACAGCCACTTTAGGGTTCTTAATAATAAACTGAAGGGCATCATTGAATTTGGATAGTTGAATGCAACAAATAATTTTGCAGTGAAAAGCAGCTTTTTCATCTTGATGGAGACCTAAAACTGAATAATTTTCTGCTTTAAGTATATGTCATCTTGAGAAATTGAAGCGCAGGTTATGTGAAAAATAAATTTACTGAAATCAATTTAATTCGTGGATTCAGAGACACTTACTTTTATTCGCAATTTTTAAAGCCTTCTCGTATTCTCCGTTTTGCCCTAATTTATTTAATTCCCCGTAAAGCGCGGGCAGATTAATCTCTTTAGTAGCCATGTTGTTCACTTATCAAGCATGTCCAACGTGGAACCAATTTGACGATAAAACATGGCATATGCCTGCACTTTCTTTATGGGTCCCCTTCTTCAAAGTAAAATTATTCCCTAAGCATTAGTGAATTTATTCATTAACTTTATGAATGAAGGAAGAAATTCGCCAAAATCGAGGACGACAAAAATAAAAAATATATTTTACTTAGGTATTTCAGATTGTTCATTGCAATCTCCTGAATTGACACTGGTAGATATATAGTAGGTGCAATTATAATTGAAGGATACGCCTGGCAAGTAAAAACTAAAAAAAGTATTAAAAACATTATTGTCAATCTGTAAAAGCAATTGCACAGCTGCTAGATTGTTTATTGAACTTTATCTCGACCATACTGAGCAATAAACTCCCGCAAAAAAGCGTGCAATAATTAAATATTTAAAAAAATTAATTAAGTACCAAAAGTGCAAAGCCATTTACAATCATAGATGTATTAACTGTAGTTATCTGTTTCTGAAAATTGTTGTCAGATGGCACCACATTATCGATTTCTAAGTATCTCGCGCTTTTTTAAAAAGTTGCAGAATTCATTATTTTATTTTTATTTATTGTTTTTTTTTTTATTAATTTTTGACAAATTGATGGTAGGAATAGAAGTGAAAATATATACTGGGATTGATGAATAACATGCAAGTATCATTTAAGAGTTGTTGACAATGAAAAAAAACTTGTAAATTCAATCTTAATCACTGTTTATTTATACTAACATAATACAGAAACCAATATAATCTTCGTGTTATATTCTGACTATTACTTAGCCTTTAGAAGACTATTTAAGACACATTACACCGCTTCCACGGACTTCTTACACTCGTTCTCTCCAGCTAGAATATTATTCAATGATTAATATATATTATTACATTATTTACAACAATCATTGAACACATTATACATAATACTTACTGACGTTCTCACATTTCTTTACAGCATTTAGAATGTCATCTGTGGACAGATCATCCAAGATTACCTTTTTGACGGCGTCTACATTTATCGAACCATCTTCCTTCATTTGCAGTAAAAAAAATCATAGAGAAAAATAGACGGTCACCCATACATTGAACAATTTGTTAATTTCTACGTTAACCTGCGATCAATTTCATTTATAAATCATCACTTACGATACCATCCTTCATCGTACAAGCAGTCATGCAATCGAGCTCCTTCTGGTCCACCGGATTGGTGACCATTTTTTTGACGATGTCTAAAAAATTGTCGATTTATTTTCTGCTCTCAATGAATCATCAGCGTGCATTAATTAACTGGATGTTTATGCAAATTGCAAAACCGTATTCTTCAATATCAATGCATAACCGAATCGTTAATATTAGCAACAATTTAAGCTCACCTGCCATGATTCCTATGGCCCTCACACACTCATTGTATTTTTCGTATTGCGGTTTGTCCGTCCAGTTCTGTTGCGCCTGCAATTTATAAAATTTATCGAAAATAGGAAACTCGATTCGTCAAATATAGAAAATACAAATGGCGAGTCGTAAGTTTTGAATCGGTGTTAATGATCCCGGGCTTCTAAGTTTCTAAAACGCGTGCAACATATGATTTGCAAGCGGTAAGTAATATTAACAGGAACAAAAACAAACGTTTTGATTAATTACGAAAGTACGGAAATTCTGAAATTTACTAGGGCGCTTCCGATACACAGGCACAGGAAAATGACAATGGTCTTCATGGTTGTTCGTCGAAAACTAAGAAACGTTCACCGACAACCAAATAGGTACACGATCGAACGCACACCGTGGTTTGAATGATCAATCTGTTTCAACAGTTTTTATAGTCCCATATGAAACTACGATTCGCGTTATCACGTCGTATGTTTCTCGGCTTCCCATCGCCATGTAATTACTTTTCTGTTCTACGAGCACGATTTGCATCACTTTTCACTAGCAGTCGATGATTAACAATACCCTAATATACGTGATGATTACATAACAATTCGCAGAATGACAATGGAGAACTTAAATTTTTATGCGTTTGTTTCTTCGGCGAGCAAATGGCACGGGCCAACATTAGTGCTTTTTATAGAAATGTACAATTAATGTCAGTCTATTGGATTTAGTACTAAATAACTATTTACCACCGACAGATTCTGTCTGGATTAACATTTTCGCGTTGGGGGAAGATTTTATCGATTGATCGGAATGGAAACACAATTTGATAAAACAATTGATACGACACGGTCGACGGTTTGTTCCTTATCGGTTTTTATAAAAACGATTTTCAGAACGACTAGCCAACAATGGTCGATTCATTTTTATGAGTGGCAGGAAGATTTATCGTCGGTTGGAACGATTACCCCGGATCGTAAAGAAATAACAGTCAAATGTATTATGGGTGTGGACCAGAGGCAGTGAAGGGCAAGCAAACAGAATAGCCAGTCATTCGCTCCACAGCTCTGTTAACGTTCGTTTCCTATTGAACATAAAGTAAGAAGACATTGCTTTCCTTTTAAACATAAATTATGTACCAAGATTATACCGAATTGTGATAGATTCCGTGATTTTTGAAGAAACGAAAGAGTAAATCGGAGGAAGAATCAACTGTGGTGCCTCGATGGAACATCAGATTCGAAGTGTTTATTGCTCAAATTCGATAATATTACATATACAAATTGATGCGTGGGCCCTCACAATTATTGACTCAAAACTGCCATCATTTTTTCGAGAAAAGATTTACCAACTACCCAAGAAATACTGTAAGTGTGTAGAAAATGATGAGGAATATTGTTAAAACTAGACTGTATTTTGTTTTGTAAATTAACAATAATTCTATGGAAGGAAGGCTATGAATTAACTTGTACAATGTAAGCCACTCATAGCTCTTCAGAATCCTCAATGTACCAAAACCTTTAATTTCGAGTAACCACGTTGAAATATCGAAAAAGTTTAAGCATCGTGCAGCAGAATATCTTAAATTTATGTTACTTGTAGAATACTTTCTATTATCACATATATAATACCAAAAAACAATGAACAATTACTTGAAGGTTTTGCATTTGACAAAAAAAATTATGTTTATATTAATATTTTGACAACCAATATTTCTTTGGCAATATTTATGTACACATTCACGGATTGTTAATGTTTTCAGTAGAATGGGTACAGGAATGGATCGACGAAAGTGGATAATCGCATCACGGATCAGACAAGCAGAAAATCTCACGTTACAAGAAAACGTTCTATCCTGTATTTCGAGCATCAGGGTGAAACAAGAAATAATACATCAATCATTGCTAGCGACTAATTTATTAATTTATATCTACACACGTTAAACAAATTCGCCACATACATCGGACATCGGTTAAATCAATGGTTTACAATACAGACTATTTAGTGAAGTAAGGTGAACTGTTTGTTCTCCTTGAAACATTTGATCAGCTTGGCCGCCTTGTCGCAGTCATTGGCACCGGCTGAAACGAGCATTAACAATTTCATTAATTCACGTAAAATGAAGCGAGGTTCTATCTATTATTGAGCCCGTGGTGTTAACAGAAAAGAAATTGTCTCCGATCGAATTTCCGGAGGATCTACTTACTGGTATCTTTGCACTTGTTGATGAGATCATCGACCTGCTCTTTAGGAACGCTGGCGGGAACCCTCTTCCTGGTGATTTCTTCGTTGACGGATCCGTCTTGGTTCATCTGGTGCAGAAACACGAATTATTAAATTGTTTTCAATTATTAAAATTCATTGACCAGTTGTGATTCAGGCTTCTGGTCGTAAATGGAGTCATTTGGGAAAAGTCATCGCAACGCTTCGCCATCTTTGCGACCTGAACTCATCAAGGATTAGAAAACACACCAATGGCGATAAAGTATGCGTTGGACTGTATGAATTTTTCCAAGTGGTCACGACGTATTATTTTTTAATTACCGAAATAGTCTCTGTACTTACGATTCCAATCCTCTTCAGCATACAGGAGCCGAAGCAGGCCAGTTTCTCGTCGTTCTCAGCGACATTGCCGTTCTTCGCGTCTTCCACCGTCTCTGAAGTAACAATATTAATTATTATCAACTGATGATCTCGCGGTTGAAACTTGTAGTTTAAAATTGTACGGGACTCGAAAATCCAAGTAAAAGTTCAGAAACTTTTAACAATGATGAAAACTCGGATCGTGGAAGTCGTAAGTGGTTCAAGTAATTTGTATTTTTGGTATATTTATTTTATAATACTGAGTTTCAGACTTACGTGCGTCAACACCGGTTTCTGCGAGACAGTGCGTCTTGTGCGCTGCAAGCTTGGCCTTTTGCTCATCTGAGAGAACCTATGGAAAAACCAGAAGTACAATATTAGATAAGAACACAATTAACCACAAAAATAATTTTGAATAAGTATTCATTATCGCCTCCAATATCAACGTAACAGTTCGAACTGTTGACGTCTGACTAGCCGAAATCCACACAAAGCAAGTCTCTATTAGCAAATCTGTCCCATAAATGACGAAACCGTTGTTGGAATTCAATTGCAGACACCGAGATCTTGTCGAGACTACACCAAATTCTTATAAATTATAAATACAGAATTACTGATAATTCCGAACAGTGATAAAATTCTTCTCCAAACGTAATCGCACAGTGTCGGGTTTCGGGGTTATCGATTAATTCGACTGGAAACATCGGAAATCGCTTGCTTCTTGCATCAACAGTATGTCACTCTCAACAAATATCTCATTTATATTAATACAACAATAAACAAAAAAGAAAAACAGTCTATTCAACTGTTTAATCCCTGTAATCAAAATGGAAGGAGTCTCGGAAAAGACAATCTCAACATTGAAAAAGGCACCAATTTTTGTAGCGTCTAAGGATCTACCGATCGTACAGAAAATTTTACACGGGAGAGGAGAATTCGTAAGAAAACGAGTATTTTACCGCCGACTGGACAGCGACGAAGCAGAGGGCAGCGACAACGAAGATGGCCTTCATGTTTGTTTTCGGTGGTTCTTGTGTGACGTTCAGTGGATGTTCAACACGGTGATGCTCGCTGAGGAACTGTACGCACGTTGGATCCTCCTCGCGTTTTTATAGTTCTAGATAGGATCGGCCACACATACACGACACTGACGTGTCACAGGTTCTCCTTCCATCAGCCGGCGAACCGAGCTGACGACTTTTAATTTTTCGGTCAAAGGCATCCAAGTGTATTTGGCCTCTGGTAAAACGTACCATAATATGTCCGCTTACGCAACACACGACGAAGGATGTACATAAAGAATTACACGTCTGCATAAAGGACCGGTATACCGGCTTTTTGTCTGCTCCAATTAAAAAAAAAAACAAAAATTTATCTTACTTCCCCCGTCCACTCATCGATCTTCTTTTTCTTTTTCGATTATTGGGAGACCTTCGGTGCCATATTCGACTAGGTGGACAGGGGAATATTTCGCTTCTCTTGTCTTATCTGTCGACTTTCAACGGAGACGTTTCTTTAGTCGCAAATAAAGTGGCCGTTACCAGTGATCTTGGTCGAGAATGTTTACCGATTAATGTTCATTTTTTACGTAACAGTACTTTTTCTTTTGTAATGCGTCACTTTGTTAACACTCGAATGGTAAGGTGGACTATAGAGACGGGTAAAAAAAATCTTACCGTTAGAGGGTTAAGATTATACGATTAAGATTATATAGTCTTCGAAACTGATTAGCATTTACGACGAAATTTAAAATTCCCTCCGCGTCTTGCCCGCAGAGCTTCCTTTACGATCAGGACAAAGGTTTCTGACATTTTTGTATTCTATTGGTGACGGATCCTTCGACCGATGAATTAGTAACTATTTCTGGATGCTTTACAGTTGACATACCCTGGAAAAAAAAACATTGATAGAGAGGAAATAAGTGAAATAGAAACGCTGAAACGGAAAAATTAAATCGCTCAGAAACACACAGAATTGTACCTATTTCCACGGTTTCATGGAAACGTACGCTCGAATTTCATTTAAATAATTTACAGATCATTCTCATTTTTTATCCTCACCTCGTCGACGATCAATCCCATATCCTGCAACGCGAGCATATTAATAGTGGAAATGTTTTGTTGGGCGGCGTCTATTAAACCGCCATCGCGGATTGGTCGTTAGGATCGACGATGGAGGGAACACAACTCGATCGATAATATCCATTTTTTTATGTTTTCAGATGCAATAACAATGTTTAGCATTTTAATTGGCTCTGGCGAGCGTGATTAAAATTTATGAGATCGTTAAGAATGCCTACGATCGGACTAACGAGAACCGTTTTTAATCTAGGCTTTGGGTTTTACAACGTTTGAACAAAGATACTTCCCTTGGATTTCTTCTGTACTGCATGAAACGCTTAGATGACGTTCGAATTCGATTCCAAGCTCCTCATCTCTGAAGTTCGAGGTTCAGAGATTTGGTAGAAGGTTCTCTGTAGATACGAAATAAAATATTAGTATCATGTATTTTTTCATCTCTTTGAGTATACAAATAATAGTTTCTTCTAGTCTTGTATAGATAGTATGGCAGAAATCTGAATATGCATTTAAAAGCTTATCGGTATAATAAAACATTATAGCCCCTTGTCATTTTTAAATAATTTGGGAATGAAAGGGTTCAGAGATGTAGATGTTCGGTTGATGAACCAACCTGTACACATTATTTATCCGTGTTTCGCAAACACAAAATACCGTTCCCCGATAAATAATACCATTGAAGTGGGACGACGGGTCATCGATCAACGCATCCCATTCGAAATTCATCGCAAATGACCCGCGGGGTTTTTCAAACAAACCGATATTCCCGCCGCGCGACGAAACGGACTAGAGAAAAAGGGTGTGGAGAGGACAGCATTTCGTCCGGAGTGACATCAATAATTCATAAGCACCGACGGGCCCGGTGTTATTCTCTGTGCACGTTATCGAATTTCATTGCTGGATCGAGGCACGACCACGTGTGATCCGATCTTCCGTCCCGATCCACTCTCCGTCTTACCGTGGTCGTACCGTCGAAGGTCACGGTGAAGTTTGTAACTTTATATTCACGCAGAAGGATTGTCGGCGGTTTTCCTGAATCAATCATTTGCTTAATACATACGCTTTAATTAGCCGTGTACAAGACATTTACGCAACAAGTATCGCGGAAAGCGACCGGGATGCTGCAAGTCCGGTGTTACTACACGAAAAATTAAAAGAAACAAAAAGCCTCGCGGAGGATCGATGGAGGTGCCCAAATGGTTGCCTCCCACGGGGGTAATGGACTTTCATGATTGCTCATTAACGATGCAGATACACAGCAACGAGAGTGATGCAAATAGAAAGAATCCACGTCCGAAGTTTAACTTGATTTACAACCAGTAAAGTCCCGTATCGACGTTCACACACCTTTTATTAGTAACTAACAATACTGCTGAGTCTTTTAAACGTATTGCTTTATCATCGTCACGTAACGGTTCACAATCACGCTTCCACGAAACCTGATGATCCCAGATTTCTTCTATTCGTGTGTGGAGCGTTGAACTTGAGGACGATGAGTCTGCAGAAAAGTGAGAAATATTAATACTTTCAGTGAATGTAAAAACGCTATATTGGTATAATGTACGATTTCGATGCAAGAAATGATACAACGAAAGGTCGAACTTGACGAAACGTTAGACTGTTGAATTTAAAGTAATAATATTGGTAGCAAACTGGCAAATTACCTTTCGCCGCATGCGGGTAATTGTTTTGACGTTGTTAATTCACATAATTATAGACATTACACAATGGTGCTGTAATTCTGCACCTCGGATCATGTTGTTCCCAGCGATTTATGGCTTGGTTAATACGTCGAAAGCAATTAGACACCGACGTCCGACACTCGGGCATGGTAAATTGAATACAAATTGCAGTATACTTGCGACAAACATCTGAAAAGAGTTTCCCGACTAGGTGTCTTGTCATTAGTTCGTTATAATTGGAAATCTTTATGGAGTTAGTGTCTATAACGGTTTCATGGAAGTTTCCATATCGGTGCAATGGGAATTACTTTTTTTTCCGTCGACAATCGAAACGAAATTAACTCTGGAGTTTTGTCTAGTGTAAAGATTAGGGGAAACACAAGGTCTACAGAAAATTAGTTTGAGAACAACGTAATTAGAATCTATATATTTTACTGATTATAGTTAACTAATAATAGTAAAATAGAAAAAATAGTAAACTTCGTAGAGTCTTTCACTTTTGACCCTGTATGACCTTGGGCACTGTTATGTCATGTATACCTAAACATCGCTTAACGGGCCTTTCACGTTATTTTGGAGGAACTCTGGGTTTGCTGTTGTAACGTCCACGAACCCTCTTCAGAATCGAATATATTAACAGTTTTTTTCTTCACAGAAAGAAATAGTTAAGCTTGCGCCATCTTTTTTGTCAGATGTACATCCAAAAAGGTATACATAATCACATTGTGTACGATACTCGTTGCGTTATTAACGTTATTCTTTTTTTTCGTTGAATGGAATCTATAAAAAACGATGTTGGAAAAAGTTAGTTGTTTGCTGAAACGGAAATAATAACATAGTTGCCAGACACCACAATTGTTCGTAATTTTAATTACCGTGATTATGTCTGACCATCATTGTCACACAGGAAATTACTAATAAACTGGGCAATCGGGGTTACATATAATTTAATCAAAGCATTCTATAATGATGATTTATCAGACACTTCCACGACGATGCAGGCCTACATGCATTGATGATCAAAAGGATGTACGAATTAAATAATTACTTTATAAATGTTCATTAAGTATAGTAGGTAGTAATGAATAGGTTTCAAATTACAAGACTTCGTTCATATTTATAAATATTTCGTAAGATCTTTCTGAAAGGATTCGACCCTACTTTTCAATTTAATAATATTTTTTTAAAATAATGCCTCCAACAAATACAGTATATATATGTTATTTAACGATGCAATTAAGGTTATCTCGCACTTGTTTCCAATATTTTTAATCGGAAGAAGATCAGAGGTCAATTTTTCTGCCTTGTTAATTTTTCTATACATATTATTGCCTATTATGATGACAGCGTGTATGTATACCGTGACTTAAATGATTAAACATTTGAATGTATATTTAAATTTGAGTACTAATTATTGAAGTGAGTAATTAAGCAACTATTATATTTACTAACCCTTTAGCGAATGTATACCAGCATTTTCTCTCGGTAACTGTTGCATTTGACTTATGCCCGTAACGTTAACATTCTCTTATTTAAGACTAAGATTTCAAGCCTAATTAATAATAAAGTATGCCCTAATACATGTTAATTTGAAGAAATGATTTTTAAAGTTAACGGATTCGTAAACGCAGGCAGTGCTGCCGTCAACGTCAAGGTATAGAACTATACGATGCGTTACAAGCATGTACAACGATGGACACAATCACACATAGAAGCGCAGCTAACCTGTGGTACGGAATATTAAATTAAGTAGTTGTGTGTAGCATGAGAGTACTACTGCCAAATTGCCTTACAAAACATGGGAGATAAAGGTAATAATTCATTCTAAAAGTATGTAATCACAATCTACCTTTCTGTAATCATTCAATCATAATCGAAATTCATTGTTTCATTATACTTTTTTCATACGAACCTACATCGTCGGGGTTCGATGTTTAAAAATTAATAAAACAGCCAAACGAACCAGAAATGCATCGCCTAAGATTCGGATAACATTCGTATGCCCTGGAAAATCCCTTGAAACCGGTCTGTCATGACATATTAGGTTAGGATACACTCGTAATTGGGTCATTTGAAAGCGCGCCACTTCGAACGTAGCAGGTATCGGGCGACTTTGCATTCTTCATCGCAGATTTCAATTTTTTTAAGTTTTCCCGCGTTTGCTTTGGATACATCAGAATCGATGCTTATCGATGCATTCAATATTCTATCTTATAAATATCTAATCGGAGCTTGAGACTTTTAAACGCTTGTCAAAATTGACAGACACGCGCTCAGTGGAAAGTGACTCATAATGCACGCTGTACTGCTGTTTTCCATCGGTCCCATCTGTGATCCACTATTTCTATCAAATTAATATCTATATTTATGAAATGTACGAAGTCAATAACCTATTTTACCTTGCCCTGTTAATCGGCTGATTTTTCGCGCATAAGCACCCATATAGATTAACCTTCGGTAGTCAAATAGAACAGGAGTGATACGATAGGTGAATGCAATCATTTTGACTCATGCAGACTTTATCGTTATACATAATTGTGAAGAAACATTCTACATATAATCTTATAGATAAATATGTTTATACATGTATATAATTTGTTTGTTTTCTTCGTATTATTATCCATTATGTAAACCGTGATATAACGTTTAACCTTTTCCGCCCATACAAATACGCTTATAAAAACCGTATATAGATATATTTCTTTTAGCTTCCAGCATATCCAATTCGTGCTAATAATATTAGATGTTTAGGTCTTCAATTATCTACGTTTAGTTACTGGAAACAAGTAACGTGTTTTTCTGGCCTTGCTAAAGTGATAGCGGCGACATTAAAATGCAAAACCACAATACACATAAGATAAAAACAGACATAATATAAAAATATTGTATAGCGGCAAAATAGAATTTTATCCTCTCTGTTTTTTTTGTAACTGTTTGACGTGGGAAACAGTTGAGTTATTTTGTTATGGTAAGGATTTCGAATTATCAAAAACACTTCCCATAATTTTTAGTTGGAGATGATTAAGCGTAAATCGTGTTCATGAACCCTCAATCAAGACGCGTCTCCAATATGCACAAAAACGAGGAAGACACGTGTCATTGTCACTCGGAAATATCATTAAAGGGTTAGTTTTCCCGCGGTAGTACAAATTTTCTGAAATTTAATTTAACCGTTTCCGTTATAATTCGAAATAGTAAAAATTGTCCTTATTTTATTTACGAAAAAATCTGTATTTACATGACACCGTAGTAAAAACTACAGACAAATACAATTAAATAATGGGTATTTTAAAATACATGATATGTATCACGGTAGAGTTAAATTTATTATTGTACGTAACGTTCGACTAACGAGTGGCTTAACGTTCTGTGTATTGATTTAATTTCAAATATTAAAAACTAAATTAACAGCAGCACTTTAACAAAAAGGCTATTCTTGTTTATGGGTTTATGTGATTTATACGATGTTCGCCATGTATACAAATTCGTGGTTAACTAAAAATTCCGTATAGAGCATCATGTGCACTTCAGCGGCGGAAGCGGCTTCGGAAAAGACAACAATATTATGATACAACCGCAACGACATGGACAAATTGATGTTCATCTCGGATTTTTGCAACTTCATCACAGGTAACACATTTTAAAATAAACTTCTCTATCTCTCTCTCTCGTTTTATTTTATTCATTCAATTTGCTAATGTCGTTCATGCTTTTCACATGATTTCTGTATAGGTATCTTGTGGAATTCTCAATCCCTTGGAATCTATGTGTACATAGTGAAGGGAAGATATTAGCACCAGCTGTAATCACTGGACCCAACAATCCAAATTGTCACATTGTCGATTTAGGACAAGAAAAAGATGGCCTAAAGTAGAACATATTCTTCAATACCAATTTTACTAGATTAGAAATAAACTATAAATTTTATTGAACATTCGAATGTACAAGAAATTCTTAACAGCTTCAACTGTAATATCAGGATACAGGGAAAAGAAGAATTTCATGGATCTTCTTCTGTGACAGGTTGAAGGTAGAGTTCCTAGCACATACAGAGAAGATTGTGAAGGAAGACGTCCAGATAGCGTGCTGCAAAGCAGGAGTCCCATTAAAGATCCAGCTGAATGCGCGAGTCTTGGCTAAAGATAAGGGCACTCCTTTGCTGAGGAACGGCATACGCAGCATCGGTGTGGAGAAAACGGAGGAAGATGAGGTCTCCGAGTAGATCTCGTTGATATCATATTGCTCTTCACGTATCTAAAAATTGAGTGTTTCTTTTCGCAGGTGCTGGGTGCGAAACTAAAAACATACTTGAGCATGCATAGACAATAGATACGTCGAACGGAAACCGGGTGTCCAGTTTCACGAGGAAAATCTCGCGCCTGATCGGCAAAGAAGCATTCCACAGGGGACAACGTGATCAAGCCACAGAAGCGATCCCTATTTCGAACGTTAAGCGGTGCAATTCTTCTTAGTTGCAATGACAGTAGTATCGCGGGACAGAAAAAAATCACGTGTACGTGCGCATAACATTAAAATGTAGGATACGCCAGTGACGAACCTAGCACAATCTGTTGTTGTACCGTAACACTGCACGATATAACTTTCGAAATATGCAATGTTCAGCAAATGAGCTTCACCCTAGCTTGTTACATTGGTCCAATTACGTAGGCCCGCGTGACAATCGACAAGATTACTTTCTCCTGACGCGTGGACGTCACAGTCTGTTATAGGGACGACCTTAAACGTAGGAAATTAAAGTGTTCCTTTTGATCGGCCTTTTTCGAGATTCACATCGAGATATGTAATTATAAATAACTGCTAAGTACCGCATTTACCTAATTGTTAACTTCTTCAACGAGACGTATCATGCAATGCCTATAAAGTTTACTACACCCTTTTAATATTTACTCTCGATCTATCTGTAATAAGCGCGATTGTATTTTATTATCGTTTTACATCGAGCGTAGGCTTTACAAATCACCAATCAAAATTAAAAAAAAAAACGACACTACGAACGACAACGCTGTTTTCTACTTCCTTGCTATGCTAAGAACGAATGATTAAAAACGAACGAATTCAACAGGAAACAAAACGTTTTACGCTTTTATTAAACGATCATCTTGCCTTCTACCCTATCGCATTTCTATTCAAATAAAAACGTTTCAAGAACTTGAAAATACATTAAACACTCCAATGTTTAGATTACAAGTATACATGTATTTAGAAATATCGTTTTAAGTATTTCTTTTTCGCTCAAAAATATGCAAGACGATTTCATACTTCAGTCCCCAGCGTAAAACGAGAGACACCAGCGTGGAGTTGTTAAGAAACGAATATCTACAATGCTCCTTCTAATAAAATATAAATTCACTGTCAGCATCGAAAACTTGACTCTTTCATAGGAATACCGGTCGGTCCGTCAACGAATTCGCAGATATTAAAGCCTAGCCTGGCCAAAGGGTGGCAGTTACTTTTCGGGTTGCCCCATTTTCCCCTGAACGTCATCCAGCCGGGCAGCACGCTGTTGTCTTCTTTCAGGAGCAATTCCATCTTTTTCCATGTGGGCCAAGCGGCTCCGAAACCGCTCTCGTCGTACAGACGGGGTAACCGTACGAACTTGTGCTTTCCCGGCGCTGTCCAGAGACCGTGCGAGCCACGCGCGCTGAACAGTATCGGATGAGAACCACCGGCGGTGAATACTCGTTCCGGGAATATAGGTTTCTGAAATATGCCCTTTCGTGTCTCTTGACTCTCGTAGACGAAGGTGCCGCTTCGCAGATCGTATCTGTAGAACGCTCCAGCGTCGTGGGCCGATACGTACATCGCTGATGGGTAATTGGCATCCTGAATTTCAAACGGAAATCGATATAACAAGATATTATAAAAAAAGTAGAAGGAATGTGACGTGAACTCATTTGTGGTTCATATGTACTATACAAAGAGAGGATATCATTGGACGACTACCGTAACGTCGGTAAGTTTTAGCGACTTAACCATAGGATGCATAACGTGGGTATTTTACACCCATTTTAATATTTATTCTTCTTCTTCAAATTCATGCATCGTAAGGTTGGAAAAGAATGTTACGTACTCCACATGGACGCATATACGAGTGGAAATAACAGTATCGATAAGAGGAAGGCGTCGAAGACACTTTCTAATATGAATTAACGAGTCCATCGTTTGCTCGGCCATGGATGTGAGGTTCGTGTGTACCTTGAAATAAAGGCTCATGTGTTCCCAATCACCCACGTGATTCCCGTACTCCTTGAGGATTCCGAGGCACATTCCGCCTACAGTGGGAATCGGCCAGCTACCGAAAAATCCGAGATCCAGAACACAGACTGCCTTTCCCTCGCTGAACGGATAGAACATCCAATAGGTCACGTGAAAGTGTTGCTTCCGGGACCTGTTCCCTTTCTTCGTCTTTTTCTCGAAATCCCCCGTTTTCTGCGAACCAGACCAAACGTACATCGAATCAGTTCGATTGAACAGTCACGTTTTCATACTGTACATATAGACGTTCATTGAGGTATATACCTACCTCGCCAGTAGACATCGAGTCAGTCTTCCAAGCTTTCCCCGGAAGATCGTTCGTGAGAATCATCGAGGTCCCAAAATCATCTTGGATCACGTTTCTCGAATGTACGGCCGAGTCTGCGCCCCCATTTCTTCGCAATCTCTTCTCGTCGCGTATGATGTTCGAGCCCACAGAGTCCGTGGATGTCTCTAGCTGGATGCAATTTTTGATCAGCGCGTAAACTGGTACCGAGCCCGCTGGTTTCCGACCGTACAGGAACGACGATCGGTTCCTCAGCAACACCTCTGTCGAGTATACGATTTTCTAGCAAGTTTTCTGGTAATTTGTGATCGTTCGAACCGTGGCTCGTCTTTCGTGCATTTACCTACGTCGAGTCTGGTGCGAAGATAATCGTCGTCGGACTGCATGTGGTCGAGGAACTCAGGTACCCCAAGGGGCAGGAACAGTTCGCCAGGCGCAAGCCACACCAGGGGCGCCCAGTCTCGTACTAATTCTTTCACTGTAATTAGAAAGAACGGAATTGCTGAGTAGAGGTACTTAACTTTAAAAGAACAGACGTAAATCTTTAGCGTTAACTTGATTCTCATCAACCGGTACCAAACCAGAAACACGATCAATAGATCCAAGGAACCATAATATTTGAACCGTGCATGCCACTTAATTTTTACCGACTGTCATACACCAAGCGAAAGCTTTCGAATTCTTACGAGACGACGAAGTTAGTCGAACAAATGATCCTCCCATTACTCGGCCAGTGTACTAACTATGTATATTCAATCGCGCGAGTTAATAGAAGTGAAACGTGTCGGAATGAACACGATATCGCGCGTGCGAATGATAAGCCAACGATACCAGGCAACATTTTTGCTGACAATAATGTAATATGTTTATTAGAAAGCCTGTGCCAACACGCTACTTGTATGTGGTACGTAGATTTAGGTGGAAAAAACGAAAAGCCTGCGGGGGGAATTCTGCTTTCATTGCGTCTCGAGTGGGCAGGATTATCAAGCGGGCCGTCACGATATCTGTGGTCCCGTGAGCACCCACGTGCAGATCCAGCACGAACCTACTTCGAACTGTTACATCGGGCTTGCAACACGTAGTTGACACGTTAACCCTTTTAGTGTGACGTATACGTCACATCTAGAAAATCATATTCCCAGGGGTTTCGTCATGAAAATACAAATGAGATACACGTTTTTGGACCATTTTTAAAATAACTACTAGTGAGAAGTAATTCTTTTCCCCGGAAGAGGTTGGGCGTTGGAGGATTAAACATAAATTTTAAAAACGGTAAAAAAATAAGATATATATATGTATATTAGTCTCCTAACTTTGATGATAATTATCAACGGACTTACAATTGGTAAACCTTACGAGACTATAGGGACCGATTTGGGTCTGACGGTCAACAAACTGTACCATGACTGTAGGGTCACTTTCCCCAGTGTTATGTAAAGTAGATCCCTTCTAAATACAGTTTCTAGACCGTGTTTGTACATAGAGCTTCGGTTCATGACCCCACTGGATCTTACCACCTCCCCTATCGATCATAGCTATCCCGATTGGCCTGAATAGATCATTATAAACGAAGGAATAACGACACAAACGCCAGGAAAAAGGGACAGTTCGCTTTGGTATCGCTCCCAGTGAAAAGCTTTCACTGTTGTGTGTCCACGTGTGCGCCGATTCATTGACGTCTGATATACGTATACTTATTATGTACGACCGATATGGCAGCCGCCATATTCACCGTTGCGGCACGTTGCCCATTGTGCTTCCATAATTAAAGATCAGATGGCCGTAAAGGGTAACGGGGTTTCTCAAAGCGACGCCGCATTGTTGACCAGTTAATTACTTCGTTGCTTACGCTACACCCGGGACTCTGGGTATAATTAACGACGACACGTTTGCTCGAGGCGTGAAGAAACGGGTATCGCTCGAGGATCAGATTTGTTTTCTCAAGATAAAACGACCTGGCGGAAGATCCGGTGTTGCGGTATCCTGGAATTAGTTACGTAAATTTAGAGACAGAAATTTTTAATATCTTCCGCGTAGAAAGGTTTAACAGCAAAAGTCTAGCTCATTAAACGGATTATTACAAATATTAATCTTTCGTATACGACATGTCGAAACTCTGAACCCAAACATGATAGGGTGAACGTGCCAACAAATGAATACTCAAGAGATTTGGTAACTATTAAAGTTGAATTTAAAATGATAATAATATTAATAAATATTCAGATTGTGCAGATAAAATATAAAAAATACAGATTTCAATGAATGAACATTAGCCAGTAAATGAATATTTCTAACCAAGGGCGCGAACTTTGTCTGAATGAACTCGTAACTGTGCATCCTCGAATCACCGTGTACGAAAAACATTGTCATTGTAGGATATACAGTAAATCCTTTATGAGTTTTCACTGACAAGGAAAGGTCCCCAGATGTAACGCTGACTTTTTTAAAGAGGTTTAGTCTTTTTTTCTTTACTGTATACTTTTCTGCAATAAGAACAATCGAATGGCCGCTAGTCAACCGAGCAGGAATTCATTTAATTATCGCCCGCGCATGTGTATGACACGAGCGAAATCGAAGATTAATGGAAACTCGTTTCGGGCCCGCTTGACAATCGTGAAACCGGTCCAAGAAATGGGACGTACGGATTTTCAGCCTCGCAGCGATCGACAGGCCGCCGAGTTTTGTTCCTTTGAAATATACATATAGATCGTACGATTTCAACGGGACCCCGTGGCGTTGTTTGTTCTCTCGTTTAAGACGCTCGTGTTAACTCGTTCGGCGATAATGGGTGGCTTGGACCGCCGAACGAAGCAATTTCACCGTTAATCCAACGGCTGCCCTCGGTTTCGAGAGGCCGGTTACCATGGCGATCGTGTCCCGATTCGAGACGCTTTGGTGCCAGTAGGTATCACAAACCTGTCCCAGTGTAACACAGTTGGACGATAATTCGCGAAACAACCACACGGTGTCATTCGTGGTAAAATTACTGTTACCATTCTAATTATGTACTTGAACTTACCGTGTAAACGATAGAAACGTCAAGATTTATTTATTTCTTTCTTTCAGAGGAAGTCCTATTTAATATCGCTTTTATAGACACTTCGACTAACGCAGTACTGTTAGCGTATCCGAATTGCCGATAGGAATGATACGTTAATTAATAGATCCTGAGAAAAATTAAAATCTCTCACAGCCTTCTACTTGTATCCGTTACACCTCTTTATATCGTATTAAATAGAAGCTTGCAAGGATAATTACATACTATACGTCGTTAGAAATAATCCCTCTGATTGATATTTTCCAATCTTAATGACGCTTACTTTCATTTCTTTGGTTTCAATTTGTTCGGTAGTTCGCGACTGGATTTACAACGTTTGAATTGCGGACACAGATTTCAGTACGGAAAAGATGTACAACAAATCAGGAACATTGCTAAAAAAAAATTAAAAATTCCAACAGTTCGATTGTATCAACCAGTCTTCGAAGGAATACATACTTTAAATAAGCGATATAACAATGTATTCCATCAATACGAACACAAACAAGTGTTCCGTTTAAAAAATTGTGGACATGTATTAAGCCAACGTTAGTAGTAACGAAAACAACGGTTATTTAGATTCGATTTCGATCTCTTACCTCGCTTTTCCTCGCTCGTTTCCGACGAATCCGCGATCATACGAACGATACACAGAATCAACAGCAAACACTGCATCGTATTCAACGCGTACGCGCATTTTGACGATCGTGCATCAGAAAGTCCGTGGAACTCGACAAAATTGTTCACGGCCCGGTCATCGTTGACGCGCCATTTCCCGCCACTTTTGCATCCCTGAACCGCCCGTTGATCACCGGAGAACGCCGAGAGTCTTCGAGGTTAACGATCGACGACGCGCCGATATCGTCCTGCTACCAGCCAGAGTGTTTCTCGGGTAACTGACCGGTTCTCTACGTTCAGCCGCCTGCCGTTCACTGGACAAACATTACCGTAGCTTGTAGCCATCGTGTGTATGCTATGTTAAGAGGACGTCGAGGGAACACGCTAACGTAACAATTTAACCCTAAAACGACCGCGAGGAGGGGGGCTTAGAGTTCAACGATTAGAAAGTATTAATAATATACTAGTTGTTCGTCGTAGTCTTCTACGTGACGGCTCGATCCTGTGTCTTTCTAAATAGGGTTGACCCTTCGAGTGAAAAGTTCAAACGTGACAGGTCCGTTCTTCCTCCAGCAGCAACAAGTGTGTGGTGCGTGCGTCAATGGTTCAAGCAGTTTGTTACTGGCAACTGCTGGCAGCTACCAGTTTTACATGACGCACAGTTAGTATCAATGTAATGTCCAAATATTATTAATTTTGTCGCTTGATTAGCCCCTCAATTGTTATTAATCTTGATAGCCACGGGGACATCGTGTTAGTAAGAATTAACTAGAAAACATCGTAAACAACATGTTGAATTATCGCACTGAACACAGCAATACACTTACGTGTAATTAGAAGAAGTCTCTCGGGGGCAATTTCAGAATGGTCGGGTTTAAAATGTCAACTTGCACGTGATTTCATTTCAATATTCGACATCATTTTCCGTATCTGATGATAACACGTTGGCTACTTATGACAGTTATGACTAATGAAAAGGAAAGCAAGTTGCATTATCGTCACGAAGAATACACTCGTGAAGAGTGTGTTAGCGTCAACGTGTTTTAAGTAGAGTCGAAGGCGGATGGCTCGTCGCTCATTGACCATTGGAGAATTTGATAGGGTCTAGAATGCGTGCTTTCTTGAAAGAGGGTGTATATATGTATACATGTGTGTATGTATGTATATACAGTAATATGGGACTAACAGCCTGGCGTCGCGCAATGGCGGGAGACCACGTTGGGTCCTTCGGCTATCAGTGACATAAGGGTTGTTTATGTGAAACAGATATGTGAAAGTTTAAAGATGGCAAGCAGTCCGACACTGTGTTATCTTTAGAATAAGGGGATTGAAAGACATTGTTCCTGAAGGATCGGACACGAAGTGGGAAGGCTGCGATGCTTTTTGGTATATAAGAGGACTGTTCTCACTTAGCCCGGAACCTCGAGGGAGTGTAGTTGTTTTAAAAATCAAAGACCTCGGACTAATACTTCTAACAAGTGTCTTGCATTTATGTGCATAGTGTTATGTGTAATAATTATCTGTGCTTTAACTTCGTTGATATTTCAGACGTTTCCAATTCTTCTCCTTTTTGTTTCAAATGAAGCACGGGTTCATGAGCGGTTCCCGGTACATAAAATTACTGTTATACTAAATACTAAAGTTACTGCCTCTTGGCTTCCTCATCCGTAATTCTTATATTGTCAACTGTGTGTATCGTGTTATATGCTGCATCTACGAAAATTATGAAAATATTAACGTTCGTATCATCAAAGATTCAGGAATTATAATAGTAATCAGCAATTTTTTTTTTAAATATTCATTATTGTTAAATAATTTGCATTATACTTTTATATTGCTTAAAGAAATACCATTAAGTGCGTTCACGTGTTTTATTGTTTTCTTTTGTATATAAATACAAACGTTTAATTCACATTTTTTTTGGTAATGCATATCTCAAGCTGGAGAGCAAGGTGGTAACAATTCATTTCTTTCAAATATCACACTTTCCAATTGATGCTTAAAAACTAAGTGAAACATTTCCATATAAATTCATTACCATACGTTTTTATTTTAGTTTAACACGATAATCCTATGAACTGCAAAGGACGATCTAAAATTTGAATAACAATAAGCAAAGTACTATGCTAAACCTTCTTACAATTTACTTTATACAAGATGATCATGATTTAAGAACCCTTTTATTAAGATTGGGGAGATTTTAAAGTTATTTTAAATAGTGATACTATCAAAATTACTCTTTGAATATGCGTACATGACACACAATATGTAACTTATATAAGTTTTAATTTTCAGGAACACATAATTTTTATAGAACTCGTTCCTATAAGGACCTAGTTGCATATTTTGGGATAACAGGATAATGAGGAAATAATTTACAAGTAAATGGAAATGAATTAAAAGGCACATTATAAAGTAAGATATAACATTTTTTGAACGCGTAAATCAATGTGGAAGAAGTTTTTCATTTCACCTAAGCCACTCGAAAGTATAATCAAATAATAGTGGATTGCTGCATTAAGTCCTTAGGTATAGCTAAAAATTTATTAAATCAAAGGTACTAGAATAGTAAATCTATCCAGTAATAATTTAAAAAAAAAAATCAGATTTGAAGTAACTAAAATGCCATGGATAGTTAGTCAACTAAGATGACTTAAGATAAAAATGGAATTGTGGTGAGTTACAGCCATAGGATAGTCTAACCTGAACACAAGAATTTATGCTGAATCCTTTTTAGAACATGATCTAACTAAATAATTTTAGAAGTAATGTTATTAATGATATTAATATATTTGAATGAAATATAATGTGGAATTATGTAAAAGTAACACCCAGATCACATAAAGCATATTTTACAGATTTTATAACATAACACTCACTCTTATATTATTTTTGATATGATTTCGTAAAAAGGATAATATCAAAAATTATTGTGTATGAAATACATACATTCATAATGTTTCCACAGGGTTATATATGTTATATTTTCATTTATGAAATATGTTTATAACAAAAGGTATTTAATTAACACATGAAATAATCTTATATTGTTTCATGAACATAATCCTGTACAACCTACTTAGTCATTTAGTTAATCCATAAATTCATATATATTAAATCAGTTGCCTCTTTTTTAGGATATACTTCGATATTACTATTATTCAGTACATATTATTAATTTCAATATTATAAAAAGATTCAATATTAATTTATTACATGAAACAGAATTTCCCAACTATAAAATAGTTTATTATTTATTGTACTTTTCATAGTTAGAAAAGAATATACAGTTAATTATGAAATTGTAGTATCAGGCATAACATGTATAACCCTGTAACATGTATTCTTGAAAAGATAAGGTGTACAACTTCATAGAAATATAGTTATTCTACAATAACTCCATCACTGAGTCCAAGAAATCACAAAACTCGCCTACTCAAGAGTTTCTGCAGAAAGTTGCCTTCGTTAGATTTTTGTCAGTCAACAATTTCTTTATCTTCTAAGTTAAGTATTTTGTAGTAGCAAACAATTTATTATGTAATCAACCTGAATTTACAACAATGAAAACTAAGAACTCAACTATCAAATAAATTCTGATTCTAATACATAATTTTTAATCCTAATACAGTACAAAAGCATTATACTCAAACCATGTTTTCAGTGGAATTTCACAGTTTATTATAATAATTGTCTGCAGTTTGGACACGATTTCTGTAAAATATTTGAAACTATGAAACAATATTAAAATTAACTTAAAAGTATGTTATATCAAATTAAGTTTCTAAATAGACAATGCAATAAACATAAAGACCTTTGCAGAATGATATGATTCCATTTGTACAAATTACCTTATCTTTTTGGCCGTTCCATCCATAAAGACAGTCCTCATGAAAAACATGATTGCAAGGCGTTGTCTTCAAATTACGCCCTGGCATTACTGGTTCTAAGCATATAGAACAATTCCCGTCAGATCTTCCTCTACTAGACCTACACAGCCTTCTACTTGGCCAACTGTTGAGTACAGATGTATTTCTTACACAATTGAAAAGAAAGCTTGGATCAATTCTATTCTTTCAAATTAAAAATAATATTCGATTTTTTGATATGTTGTTTATAAAACACATACCCATCTCTATATTCGTCCTTATCGTCATAGGTATCATTTCTTGGACTTCTGCTTCTACCATTGTTATAAGAATGTTGCGGTTGCGGTTGTTCTTCACTGCTTCCAAAGAAATAATACAAAGCAGATGCTATGGCGCAACCGACCAGTAATATCGCAAAGGTCGCGTTTGTCATTTTTATAGCATAGAATATTTGAGAAGAAATTCAACAAAGTCGAATACTGGTCAAATACCTCATTCATCCGACTACGAAACTAATTCATTGAAATAACAGTTGAACAGATGACGATCAACGCAGAAAATATACAAGGGAATTTACAAAAATTCCCGTGGCACAAAACAAATAAAAACGTAAAACTACGACTTAGTAATAACAAAATTCTCTTCTACAAACATCTGCATAAAGTAGACAAAATACTGTATATGCACTGGATGCACTGTTTATTCACATTAAGGAATTACGGGGATAGAGTACTTCAAAACAATAATAGTGCCTGATAGTGCCTGGTTCGTTACTTTCGGTTACTTTGTCGACTTCTTATTGGTACATTTTATTCCTGACAGGAACGTACTTGCTGAACATAAAACCCGACACTAGATATCAGAATAAATGCAAGGACCTTTAACATCTTGTTGAGAGGTCATTCTGAATAAAAAATGACTCATATGTACATAGATTCTTTTCTCAATACTGATGTAATTCCAACAATTTCAAGTTAACATTAATCATTAGTTTACAGTTTAAAATTGTATTATGGCTACTCAGGTCCCTAAATTTGAACCTTTTGATCATTACTTAAAGCAAATAGTTCGCAGTGCTGAAATAAACATTTGTCAACAATTATATGGCAGAATTACATGTGCATCATGTAATATTTCATGTTGTTCTGTGTACGTCTCTGCGAAAATCGCGTATATTCTTTCCATGAAGTCTACCCTTAAAATTGCTTAACATGAAGGAACAGTTTACGATAGTTAACTACTAACGTAACAGGCTAGCCAACGTAAATTCCACAATTTACACCTAAACGAACGATCTGCGTCCAAAATACAAAAACAATTTCTTTCCTTTTAACATGAAAACTTTATAACGTTGCATTCAAATTCTGTTAATAATGTCTGTATTATTTTTCGATTAAAATTTCAGTCAACTTCTCATGTTTCGTGGTAAGGAATGACAAAGTCGAAAGGTAATCGAACTAGAAATCATTTTTAAATAGGTAACCATTTTTATTAGCCTCACTTATTTTTATATTTTTGAGCGTCTGATTTTTTTATATTATCATCTTAGGCTTAGTTATTTTTATATCTTATATAAATATAGGGATTTAACGATAGTACTATTGCAAGTGTGTACAATTTATTTTTATACCAATCTATATAAGCACTTGTTTACTACTTAGAAATCTTCATTCAATACGTCAGGGTGATCTAATTTAAACGACCGTTATTTTAGAATGAGCCAGCTTTATTCGTAATGCGTAGATTGTTTATTTTTCAACAGTTATAAATACATAATTCGCTATATACAAATTTACTATATAATCTAGACAAATGAAAATGCATTACGAAGTGTCATGTTGACACTTTCGATATTCACATTCGAGCATGAAACCTTTCAACTCGTTACGAGTAAACTTATGTATATGACTTTAACTAAGTGTGCTATTCCATAGTCCAATTAAACAGACAACGAATGAAACATTGTCCAGGTACAAGACTATGTTTAACTGACAAACTTTACATGTATGTCCTTTGATATTGCATCGTGGTGTATACTTTCACGATACCATGATGTAAACGTACCCAAAACTTTGACGGTCAAGAATTTCAACCATAATTTTGTAAAATGGGTTCGTTTCAGATCTGACAATCCACAGTTGACGTGGAGTTCGGGGATGATAGTGTAACAGGTGTGATCGAGGTGATAGAGCGTTGGATAGACTGTAACGCTGACGGCTGTTGTTTAATTAACATATGTCGGAGAGACTGCGCCTCCTCGCGAAGCGTTATTATTTGCGCTTTCAAAATTGCATTCTCGTGCTCCAGCATTGTTGCCCGTAATGCGATCTAAAGAAATAACGATTTTAACACATAAAAACATTTCATGAATTTGTTCTTTTTTCGTACTCACATGATCTTCTCGGATTTTACGAGCATCCCGAGACTTTTTTGCGGCTTGATTATTACGTTTACGTCTCTCGTAATACTTTTCATCCTTCTGATCGTCGGGAATCGGTTTTTTTTCGCTTCTAGGTCGTCGCTGAGCATTTGTATTTCCATTTGTGCCCAGAAAGTGCCGACTTATCGTGCTACCTGTTTTATCGACAGGTAATTATCTTCAGTACAGATTTTATCAAACATATTTTGTTTACAATAATACGAATTATGCGATATATGCTTCGGTATCGTTACGGCCATGAATGAAAAATTTATTTTTTTTTTAGGAAATGCCAAAAATAAATTGCCCCGGGTGAGGATCGAACTCACGACCTTAAGATTATGAGACTTACGCGCTGCCTACTGCGCTACCGAGGCGATTGAAAAGTACGTTTTTTAAATAAATAATGAATTATATAATTCTACGATTTATTAGAAATATAGTTTATTAATTTGGAAAATTAAAGACTTACCTGTATTAACAGTGGGAAACGGCTGGGGTACGCTTATGGGTTGCACCAAAGGCGGAACAGTGGTTAAAAATGGAGGTTGAAGCAAGGAACCTGGAAGGGAGAACGCCGTCGACAACGTTGAAGCTGTTAATGGTGATGGTGTTCGACCAATTCTGTTGTCCCTTGTAGTGGAGCTTGCTAGAGTATCTGGATCTCCAAAACTGTAGTCTCTAGAATTGCACGGCTCGTATCTGCACAACTCTACCGGTTAGGTATAATTTATTATAATTTATACAACAGTGGAGACATCCACGAATATTAATAATCGAGTAGATTTTACCGAACATATAATAGAGCGTACCAAAAATATAAAACGAGCTGAAGCATGAAAGTGAAATTCAATCGAAATTGGGAAGGTATATACGCTCATGTATTTTTCAATGATCAATTATTTGCTGAGAGTTTTTATAGCACACCCCAAAAGTCGAATTTTTGTCTTTTAGTCGATTTATACATACTTCGGAACAAGATGTTAAATTAACGGTAATTACGCGCGGAATGAACATGTTTCAGCTTTACATTGTGGAGTGATATTTCATTGATCTTTGCATGTTTAAACAACTATAACGACAACAATATACTTTATTCCTTATAGAAAGATACCGTTAATGGTAAAAGAAACAAATCGACAACAGCCCCTGTGGTCTAATGGATAAGGCATCTGTCTCCTAACCCGGGGATTTTGAGTTGGAGTACCACTAGGGGTACTTTATACGGATATTTTTTTCGTAATTAGTTTAATCTATACCTATTTTAAGAACGGCAACGTGGGAATAATTTTGAAGAAATCAGATAGCAACCGCCCCTGTGGCCTAATGGATAAGGCATCGGTCTCCTAAACCGGGGATTGTGGGTTCGAGTCCCACCAGGGGTAATCTATACCAATATTTTTTTTGCAATTAATAAATATACAAAATTACATCATTTTTTCATTTACCATCAAATATAGACTATAAATGAAATGTGATAATACAAAAAAATTATATAATGTTAAAAATTATTCCTTTTTTTAAATGGATCAAATTATTCTTTAATCGTATCAACCCTTTTTTATTTTTAAAAGGACGCAGAAATTTTAGTAATGTTAAATACTTTTCTGCGATGGGTCGCCAATGACGTGTTAAACAAGTAACGTCCGGTATTTTCGTGAAACCTTCATCAGTTTTATGATTTATTGTATATTTCATAAATATGTACTGCTGGTTACGAATATTTTTATCTGTGAATCTTTAGTTATTTATCTTAGAAGTAATAATACAGGAACTAGAATAATATAATATATAGTGCAACGGAAAGTAATGTATAAATTTACAGATTTGTTGTGGAATGAAGAAAAATGATGTGGGAGTACAAAATTGTTGATTAAATCGACGAAATAATAAATTAATTAAATTAAACCTGATGGACATAAAAAGAATGTGAGAATAAAAATGAAAAATGAGAGAAAAAAGGGAACCTCCATCCGTGACAATGTGTCATTGGCACATTGCCGTGACCAGGATTCGAACCTGGGTTACTACGGCCACAACGTAGGGTCCTAACCACTAGACGATCACGGCTACTGGAGGATTTGCTAACGACTTGGAAATCAGCCAACATCGAGGCTCTCATCGACCAACTTGCTCACTTGTTCGTGACTTTAGGCCATGGTACCACGTGTTTACAATCTAAATGAGATATAAAATCCCGTGATCGAGAACAAACACCGAATTATATATATTTAGCAAACTTCACAAATATTTATAAACAGTATCAAAATTTTATGATGAAGTATCAGTAAATAATGTTTTTTTAATCAGTATTTCAATAATACATTCGAGACATTTAGGTGCTGAGTGATGGAGAGCTTTTTCCGTTCGATTTGTATTAGCAAGATATTTGTTAATTCAGTATCAACAAGCAGTAACGAAGTATTATTTAAAATATAAACACAAAAATTTATAACACAATCAAGAGGAAATAGAAAAAACGAAAAGATAGTAATGCGAGAATAATAATTAGTGTCTGATTTCAGGTGCTGTAAGATAGCATGTGGAAATATTAACAGTTTCTAAAACTACCTGACGATGGAGCGAACAGGCTGTAACTCCTTAGAAGATGCAACGCGGAAAACGCAGCGGGCACTGTGCTTCCAGTGTAGACTGTTCTTGCATGAGCGTGGGAGGTCATTCCTTTCAGAATCTTCGAGAATTCCAAGGCACTGATAGATTTCACGTAATCCCAATTACAATCGGATCATCCTTCTTAAACCATTTCGCGAAACAGTGATCATAAAAAAACAAACAGCCCTGTAGAAACGTTTAAATCGTCCTATAAAGGAGGTTTATCAAGCGTTCCATTCATTCGTAGATGCTTTCCCACATGAATATTCGTCGAATTTGAGAAGGAATTAGGTCTTGAACAGCTGTCGCATGATCTTGAACAGTGGCCGCCTCCATTTCATCCATATAGATCGTGTGGATCTAGTACTTTCGGTCCAGTTCAAAATGAAACCGATGAAATGTTCATTGGCACGGACACGTTTCTGCTGTTTCGTTTATTTTTCGAAAATTCTCCGTTTATATTGTTACGTCTAGTAGAAAGAACATAATGTTATCGTTTTTCTATGGCGTACGGTATCAAGGATTAGCGAGGTCTTCGTCTATCTTCGGTAACGTTCTTCCGAAACGGAATACAACTTGTCTTCGACGAAAACTGGTTTCACCTATTCTTCCCCGTGTCGAGCCTGTTGACGTTTCGCGTCACGTGCTGCTTTGCCGCATATCTTATCACCGGAAGAATTTTCAATTCGTCATCGCCAGGGCTAATTCCCGCCCCTCGGTGCATGCGCAACGCCGGGCACGACGATTTGTTCCGCCCCTGGATCATTAGGGGGTGAGCAACCAGCTTCGGTTTCAAGTGGTCAACGTAGGGGGAAAAACCAGCCAGAGGCTGACCAATCCTGGGAAAACGAGTTGTCCAACCGTACGCGTATCACCATACTGATCATCTATCGTTTTATAATAGGTCACCTAGGTTTCCATAATCTTGAACGACTGAACGATAACGATTGGAATGGGCGAAAATTATTCTGGAAGCCTCTGAAATACTTATATTTTTGTAAGGAAAGCCGGAGGCGAAGAAATGAGGAAGATTTAAAAATAGGGGATGATTCGTAGACGAACTGGTGTTTGAATTGAATGCAATAAGATTTGAACAAACGACTTGCTTCGTTTCTCTTAATTGGATACTGTTAAGGATTGAAAAGCATTGGATAGTTTTAATTATTTTGAAAACCTCGGAAACTCTTCATTTGTCTGCCCGGAAGAAATGGGGAACACTTCAAGATGGAGGATCATGGATAAAGGAAATGGTTCGAGGGAAAACTATAAGTAGAAGTAAATTTCAACAATAGATTTACGCAGTCTGATCTTTTAGCTAGATGTTTATTTAGGATGCATGACTTTCCATTGAGTTCTTTTCACAGTGTTTCCAATAATGTGCACCTGTTTGTTGTTCTGTACGCAGTCCGGTTCCGGCCAGCCAGACAGACGTGTCTCTAATGTCTCTGGGACAATTGGCAGCTGACACTTTCATGCCGTCCACGAATGTTTAATGCCCTCGGTAATTATTATGAAGCAAATTAGACGACGACGAATGGGGTGGGTTGCAACATTGATGAGATCGGGCACGGAGCACCGAAAATTGTGTTTAGTCGACCCCATCAATGTTGCAACCCCCATTTGCTCCATCCAGCCTTTTAATTAACGGGCTGAAAGATCGTTTATTTCGCGATACGATTATATGTTTTAAATCGTGGTATAAAAATATAAACAGTGCAAAAAAGTAATTGATCCTATAAAACGTTAATAATTGTATCATCAAGATTTTCTATAATATAAACCATGTATATGTGTACGATTTACTATATGAAAATCAGTGTAAAACCACTTACAATGAAGAATCTTAAGGTGAGACTCTTGAATTTTTCAAATCTTTCGCTTCTAATTTTCACGAAAGTTCAAACGTATTGATATTCGATTTCCAGTGACTAACAAGGGATGCGTATTATAGGTGTATCGATTGTAAAAAGATAATTATGCAAGGAAAGTTTGCAGGTGCGACGGTGATTTACAGCCATAGCGTGTCCCGTGCCGTGTGCCAAAAAGGGACCGAGCAATTTGGAGTATATATTGTCTGTTCGAATTTAACTCGTGGGGTGGGCGCATCACCGGGTTAAATAACGCCATTTGTTATCGTAATATCTAATTTGGCGGTGAAGGGTGATGTTCCTCCGCCATGTGGCCGTGATCTCACGAGCCGCAGTACAGGTGTCTTAGGAACAACAGCCTATATACCACTAAGTTCGGGCAGGTGTATTACAGGAACAAATACGGAAGATTCTCGACCGATGTTTAATCACTATTTATCCGTTCCAATGATTTTTATTGATTCTGTTACAGAACAAACAATAATCATTTAGTCTATATGTATATACATATAAAAGAAGAAGTCCTGACTGACTGACTGACTAATCAACGCCTAGCTCTTACCGCATAATCTAGGAACATGAAATTTTAGGGATAGCTTCCCCTCAGGATGTAGGCACCCACCAAAGAAAGGATTTTTCGAAATTCAACCCTTAAAGAGGTGAAAAGAGGTAAAATGTATTTTCTGGACATTTTGAATATCTCTTAGTGCCGATGAGATGTCCTACTATTTTCTATTTAAAAATACTATTTATTCAAATGCCTGGAAAGTAATTTAAAGATTTTTTAAAATTTCTTTTTTTTACAATTCAATTTAAAATTTCGTTTAAAAATAATTTACCAAATCCCACAACAAGCTTCAGGTTGTGTAACTCGATAGAAAAAAAGAGGTCTCCGTTCGATTCCATTATATTTGCGTAAACATTCGCAATTCAGTCGTGGTATATAATTGAACGTTTTATTGTCTATCAACACCAGCGATTTTCTCACGGAACAATTACGACGGTATCGGTTGATCGTTAAAAAGGATTGAGTAAACCGGCTGGAATCGCTCGATCGAGCGTCCTTCCGAGGAAACGAAACGCCAGCGGTATCTATGGGAGGGGGCTAATCGTCGAGATTGTTCCGACATTACGAGGAACGTTCCTCGTCGCTCCGTTGGACGCTCGTTATCATTATGTGGCTGGTCTCGCGATAGCGAACACCCCTCCACGGATCGGCTAGCTTCGAGTCTCGCTCGCTTGGTCTGCTCGTGCGAACCGTAACACCTGTTCGCGACCATCCTGGGGAGGTGGGTAACGTGACATCACGTCATGTGACCTCCTGAGCCCCCGGATTCACCCCCGAAACCCCTTGAATGCCCATCGGGTATGCCCGACCTCGGGGGTGTAATCTGCCTAATCGCTGTCCTGGAAACGACGGATTACACACCACGAGACGGTATCGTCGTGCGGCCATCAGGTTTCGCGCCCTCCTTCACTCTTAAAGCCCATCAGGAATCTTTGTCACTCTGTTTTATTCCTTTTTTTTTTTTACTCTTCGTACAAGTCATCAAAGGTACGTGGGGAGGCAGTGAATGTAAAATTCGAGGAACAATTAAGGACGTGCAAGTACAGGCTTCTGTGAATGATTGAAAACCATTATGGTTACTCGTGTTGAAAGGAACTGGACGTTCAATTTTATTTCAATTACAAAGCTTCGGGGAATTCATAAGATATTTATTTGGAATTTCGTAACTGTATCAGTAGGTAAATACTATGAATTTTCATGAGATCATAACATCTTCGTGATTTCGTCGTCAATTTTCATCAAGTCCACTAATTCATTCATCTGTGTGTTTCCAGGATCCGAAATGATCGTTCCAAGGTCCTCCCAATTTCCAGAAAGTCGCAAGATTCACGATTCTCCCTCAACAAGTATTCCTTATACCGCGGAAGATTCGTTCTCAGATTTGAAGGCGAGCGAACACGAAGAGAAGATCACGCACAAAGCCGTATTTTGGAGAACGTCAGGTCGGCGAGGGGGTCGCGTGTCTGCCCCTTAATTCCATCCTACCGTCACTGTTCGCCTCCTTCGCCCAGTAGCTTCCTTTTCACCCTCGCCGCGGAGTCACGAATCGCGCGACGCCCGTTGTTTCACAACGCGAGGCAAAGTTATCTCATCAAGTCGTCACGAGGACGCGCCTCGACCCCCTTACCAACCCACCCAGCCGGTTGCAAAAGATGCGATTAAACTTTTCTTACTCCCAGCGCGGCTATTTACGGGTCTCGGCTCACACCGCCCCTTAGGGGTACGCTCGGTGTCAGGTGTACCGATTAGCGGTTCACTTACTTTTTTTGTTTTCCTGTTTACGCTTCTATCGCGCCTTCGATCAACCCAAAATCTCGTCTTCCTCCAGTATTCTCTCGAGACATAGAAATCTAGAACAAAATATTTAGAGGTTTTTATTTCTTCCGTGTCTTCTACGATGTTCTCCGCGTGTTTGTGTAGTGGTGATAAATTATCATCCTTCAGAGGATAAAGGCGTTATGTCTTCTTGTAAGTATAGGGGTAGAGTTTGTAGTAGGGATGATCGATTCCGATTCGGTTCTTCAGAAGATCTATTCCCTTGGTTAACACGTCACTGCCATGTATAGCACATATACTAGCGGCCAAAAGTATGGAACCAGATCTGATAGTTAGAGAAAGAGGAAAATACTATTATACTAAGGATTAAGGAAGTGATTTGTATATGTAATAATTACGTTACTTTTATTTTATTCTAATAAAATAATGAATTACTATTCCATCGATCATGAACTCTGGTTGAACTAAATTAAATATACAATAGCCTTTTCTGCTGTCAGTAATAATTCATTACTAATGACGCGTAAACTTTGACCTCTTGGATGTAGTAGCTGAAAGTGGAAATAAATCTGTTCATTTTTCAGGGAACTATGGACACTGTTCTTTCAAGACAGAAGGTTTTCGTGGCAGGAGTAACAAATCCCGCCGATCTTCGAGGAAAAATAAAATATAGTAAGAGGACCACGAAGTGGAACGAGTTCGGACGAATCCCAAACTTTTCGTTTTTTTCCCTCCTGTTCCGCGGAAGGTGTGGGTTGTTTCACGTCCGATAACGACGACGAGCCAAAAATTACCTGAACGAGTAGCGGATAAGGAGCCGTGCCGGCGCGGTAAGCCACACAGTTCGCCGACAGCCTGGGAACCGAGGGCCTGTTCACGGGTTCTATGCCGTTCGCAGGACCAAACAGCCTAACTGATTAAGTTTCAGTCCCTGAAGAATCGTTGCTCCAATTAACACATTACAGGCTTCTGTGTGCATATGTGTCATGCGGTTCGTTTAACTTATGATAGAGACACAAATGTGTGCACACATTTAGGCCTAGAAAAGGCAGAATTTTCATGTTTTAAAGACAAAAACTAGAGTTGTTGATAATTGTCTATACTATTATAATTGCACTAAATAAATACTTCATGAACGTTGTAACATTAAAACACACTTAAATTACAGGACAACGGCGCAAGTACTCGAAGAATAAATGCCGAACACTTTGGACCGCGAGGACGTAATTACTCGGAATACTCAAAGCAGATCTATAATCAAGCGGAATACAGAAAGAGGAACATCTTTAGAAAGTTGGATTCCCGCGTGCATCGACGTAAAAGAAAAAAAAAACACATTATTGCTTGTAGACGCGAGATACCGTGTAATTTTGCGTTCTAATATTATTGAAGCCGATGTCAGGCATTCCAGAGGCCGGATAATTCCCAGCAATTTATACGCGGGTATTAGTGTATCTCCCATTGGAAAACAAGCGCTTCCGTGTACGGGAATCGTCCAGCGGTTGGCTCTTATTAATATTTTACGCAAACAGTCACCCCCATACCTCCCCGTTCAGGCGACCAGGGAGAGAGATAGGCTCCTCCTATATTTTTTTCCGCCTGTGGCTCAACATACCGCCCCCTGACCGCGCAGCGTTATTTAAATTGCAAATCGATATGCCGGCCGCGCGGAAAACACAGTTACGGACCGAAACTTCCGAGCTCGTGTAACATGAAAACACAAGATTGATCCCGGTAGATCTGAACAAATGGGGCCAACCTAACGCCGTCGATTCTTGGATCGCGCATTTCTGACCGATGAAATTTGTCGAGACGCGACGATTAACCGTTAACCGCTAACGTGCGGTCTGCGAGACGCATAACATGAAATAATTAAACCAAAAATATATTTTCGTATCTGTTTATTGAATACAGTCATTTATAAGTCTGAAGTATAAAGAAAAGTAGGAACACGAATATTCTTGATTTTAAACGAAACAAATAGTATGTTAATCTAATCGACATTCTAAAGACATTTTTCGAGAACATTGAAAACAAAAAGCCTGGATCATGAGGACGTTTTTGATCATGCTAATACATCTGCAATTAAAGCGTTGTATCGAAATGCCAAACGAGCACGATAATCTGCAGATTCGTGTTGTTTGCAGGGGTGTGAGATCGTTTCGTCGGAGATTTTGTTGATCTCGTCGTCGATGGAACTATGGCGAACTCGGGGAGCAGAGAGTTGCCAGACGAAGATGCGAACAAGATGCTAGGAGAAATCCTTGAAGAGGACGAAGATGAGGAATTGGGCGAGGAAGAGTCGACATCTTGTCCAGCCATTTGCGCAGAAGAAGATTTTGCCGTCAAGGTCTAAAATACATTCTCAAAAAATATTAACATGAACCGTTGTTCAATGAATTCTTCAGTTTTTTTTATCCAGATAAAACAGAGATTCTTTATCAAAAAATAATTCAAGTAAAAGTTGAAGTCTCGTGAACATCTTCCGCCATTTTGCATTTCTAGCGACACACGAATGGCCTTTCCACGCAAGTGTCGGACTGCTAAAGAATGATTAGATACATAACAAACTGGTTTAGTTGAATTAATTATTATATACATACCTATTTTCTTTGTTTTCTTTTCTTTCTTTCTTTCTTGTTTTCAGTTTCAATCTTAATTATGATTAAGTTTATTTTTATTGGAGGAATCTGTACTGAGCAAATTTACGCCCGTTACAATAAATTATTATTATTATAATCGTCAGAGATTATTATTGATTTATTTTGCTAACGAATAGATAGTACGTTCTGAGTTTGTATCAGCATACAAGTGACGTAATGCAAGAATTCATATCTAAAAAAAATAGTTAATTGTACGGAATATCGCAATCATTTATCGATGGTACAGAGAAAGAATAAAAAGGTAACGTTCTTTCCAGAGAGTTTGCGATTGCATGCGCATCGCCGAGAACTCCTCGAGATTCTCGTTAAGAGTGATGGAGGCGATGCGGTCGTTGCAACAAGAAGAGGACGCGTTTCTGCCCACTTGCTCCGCGGAGGATATCGTCGGTTATATCGAGGCGAATTATCGGGACGACGGTGACCTTTACGCTCAGGTGCGGACCGTGCTGAAACAGGTCTGTTCCCAAGGGTTAGTTCCACGTCAGCCGAAGTCGACGGTACAACACACACAACAAGCACGCGTTGCAGGCGAAAATGTGTCTCGCGTGAGACACGATCGCGTTTCAAGGCAACTGCAAAACCGTTTATCTCATTCGAAGACCCCGTGCATCTATCGACCGATTCCGCTCACGGTGGTTTCCACCCCCTGTTAATTGTAACGCTTCGCGACGAATAATGCAACCGAGTCACTTGAACGAAACTTTGTATTTTCTTTTGCCTAATCGACACACTATGCGTTTATGGTCTTTGAGATTTGATTGAACGTCTAACGATAAATATAGAATCGAGTATTATCGAAAATTTTTTATAACAGATTCGTTATGGAACTACTAAAAAATGAGTACCATCTGGTAGGACCGGACGCCATTTCGATGAACAAATTCGCATGCTCGAACGATCGAGGCGAATGCCTTTTATCCTCGCCACCAAAAGATCCTGCGAAACGTCGAAAGAAGGACGAAGACAGTTGTAACTGTGTCGACGAGTCGAAAACGAAACAGAAGCGTCCAAGACCGTCTCGGAGAAGAGTGTCCGTCGGCAGAGGAAATCTGGGACGAAATCGGACCAATAGCTCCAGAAGAATCGTGGATGCAGAGACGGGAGAGGATCTTGATGAGGAGGAAGAAGAGGACACTATTAACGAATCTTTGAATGACGAAGATGTAAGATTACGATACAACAAAAGATATTTCATTATGTTTAAAGTGTATTGAAACAAGAAAATAGTTTTCTCGGTGAAATTACAGGCGAGGACAGATGATACATTAGAAAGTGCAATACAAGTTGGAAACGAAATGATTGGTTCAGCATATTCGGTTAACAAAGGGAAGACGACTGAATTATTCCAGTATTCTCCGTTTAATATCTGGAGAAGAATAAGAACACGAAGTCAAGAAAGTAACGGAAGAAACGAAAATGGCGGTGCAGGGGTAAACGAAACAGCGACTGGGAATGGAATTTCCGAGAACGCGAGAGGCGACGAAAACGACTCCACGACAGAGGAAACATTGTCGGATAACTCGAACGCTTTTCAAGAACCACAAAAGGACAATCAAGTGGGGAAAACCAAAGATCGAGAGAAGGAACTGGAGAGATGGATTAAACGTTGCCAGGCGGAGTGCGTGCGGCGAGGGAAACGACGAACGAATAATTAAACAATCAATTAGTTCTAAAGGAAGTTGGAAACATCGATGTTTCTAACACTATTACAATGATATATAAAGCAGGCAATTTTTTAATTACTTTTCAACATTTTGTTGATTATATTGCTCTTACGATTTCGAGTTTATAATGTGATATTTTATACGCTACATATTTCGATTTTGAGAAGTTTCAATGAATACAAAAAAAGAGAAAAGCGTAAAACGAGAGGAACAGTGCGTTAGTTTTACTGGTTTATTTTTTCGTTTAAATTTCATATGGCCTTAAAGATACATTTTGTCGTAGTTTAGTATCCAGATAGCACATGACGCCTTGAAGACTGTTCAAAGGCGCTTTAGTCGTGTGCTATCTGGGTATTAATCAGCGGTGTAGCTTCAAAGATGGTGAAAGCCGAAGGACCTTTCCTGTTCGATCGGCTGGTATTAGATATCCGGAACTCACGGCAAACGAAAGTGCCTCCCGTATGTAATTTCTTGCTCCGTTACTCTCTAAACATTAAAAACGTATTAGTAGTCATTCGAATGTGCCGAGCTGAAACTTTAGTTGCAAGAAGTTCACTTTCTCTCCCGTTTAGTTCCGCGTGTAAAACGGAAGAAGTGATTTCATTACCATTTTCAGAATCAGTGATTCAACCGATTGTATTCAAAGCATAAAGAGAAGCTTACTGTCAACTTTACGATAGAAGAACATTCTTAAATAAATTCTCAAAAGGTAGGACATAGTAAACGAAAATAGGGATTTTTTCGGGCAATAACTTTTTTTTTCTAATTATTATTTTATCTTTCTGTTGCCAATGAATACCTGCGCCGGTATGTCTTTGCCTAGGATGTATGCTTCTCTTTCGCGTGTTTCTTTTGCGAAATTTATGGCAGGCGTTGTTTCGTTGCTTTCGAATACTCTCCGAATACGAAACTTTCCTCAAGTATTTGTACACCAGGTCTGACACTGTCGACTTTTGGTCCTGCCATCGGAGATTGTGCCCAGGATTTTTTAACCGAGTTGCTAATCTGTTTATCAATTTAACCGTTTATTTTTTTTATCGATGGTACGGACGAAGAGCTGATTCAAAGTCAGTTTTTTCTTCAACTTTAAAGAAACGAAATCCGCTTACACGATTTTTTGGTCCCTGATCGTTCTCAGTTTGTCGGCTTCCCTTTGTCGACCTTTCCTTTTCGGTGTCATTTGGATTAATAATTGCGATTCATCACGACTTAAATATTAAAAAAAAATGTCTATTCTTCGACGGAGAATTTTTATAATTTATGCACAAATCAATTTAATATCAGGTTTTGTGAAGATTGATCATTCTTTTTTAAATGTTTTTTTCAGATGTCAAATTGCAACAAATTCGTTTCTGATTTTCTTACCAATAGATGATACACACACTGTTATAAGGATGTTAGTTCGGTCGAAAGCTACCTGTAGCGCTGTCACAGCGATGACAGTAAATAGTTTACATCATGGTAGTATCGTAACTGTCAACACCGATCAATCCCAAGAATAATGTCTCATAAGGTGATATTTCGTTGTATTTGAAGGAAACTCTTTTTATTACTTATCCATTATGTCATTCGTGTTAGAATACCCAATAGTTGATAAACATTATACACGTTTCTATAATGAATCATAAATTCAGAGTCCACTTAAATTGTCAACCTCGAATTTATTGACTTTTTTTAGACAGCACAACAGTGTCATGTTAATGTAGTTGCATAAATACAACCCGTATATTGTAATAAACTTTCCCCCAATTGCATAAAAGTATCCACATTTTCAGAATCAATTAAAGAAGTTTGAAAACTGACAGTATTATTGCATTTTAGGGAGCAATTAGAAAGGTTTCAACCACCAAGGATGTACACCAGTCCAGCAGTAAGTCTAAATCAAAAGGTCCATCATCTGCTAAAGAGTCAGAAAGCTCCGAGAAACTAGAGCCAAAATCAGAAAAGAAATCTGAACAAATGATAGATGATAGTAGACACTCAAGATTAATGCAAAATGTACAATCAAGTAAAAGTGGTACAAGGCAATCAATTAGAGCATCAAAAACTAAATCTGTTAGAGAAAGTTCCTCTACTAGCAAATTAAAATCTGATAGCTCCAAAACACCTGTCACATCTAAAGTGATATCAGATCATGGGAAGAAACCTAGTAGCAGTAATTTAGTAAAAACCAGTAAATCATCTACTGGAAGAATACAGAGTAATTATTCAGAGAAAAGAGGGTTGAGTACAGTATATGTACCACCATCACTTACAACTAAACTTAACATTAAATCAGCTAGCAGAGATAGCAAGTCTGTTTCAAAGGAAGAACAAAAAACTAAGGTGAATTCCAATCCAAAAAGAGAAAATAATTCAACACTTAAGTCAAGACAACGTAAACTATCCAGAACATTAAGTCCAAGTGAAGTAAAAATGTTGCATTCAGCTACAAACAGAGCAAATTCTTTGCAAAGGGATCAGAATCTGAAGAATCAACCTGTGGCACATCAGATAAATAGTGTAGACGATTATGAAGATGATTTTGAGGTAAGATAGAATAATGAAATTAAATAGTTACAGTTTGAAACAATGATAAATTTCATTCATTTTACAGGATTATGAATCCGATTTTCAAGAATGCACAGACAGTGATGCGTCTGAAGTTAGTGAAGAAACAAGTAGTCATAGTAATTCACCATTGGACCCCATTGAATTACTTACCTCGAAACAAGTAATGAAATTTACTTTATGTTAGAATAGCAATAAAGATGAAAACATTTATTTATAGTATTATATATATTATATTTCTCTTTTTGCCTTATTGTAGCGCAAAGTTGTGAACAGTGCTGAGCAGAAGGAGGAAGAGCACATGCATGACTCTGGTCATTATGAGCTCACAGAAGCTAGAAAAAGGGCGGCAAGAATAGAATCGGTTGCAAATGATCCAAAACTGTCTTCGCTTCTTGAGTTAAGGCAACCAGTGAACAAAACGTATAGGTTTGTTCTAAGTAGAATAAAATTTCAAGATAATTAAATAGCTTTTGATGTACCATTTGTATCATTTTATCATTAAATGCCTACACAATTATTGAATAATTGTTGGTGTAACATTCATTTCGGTAATGCTTTATAGTATCTCTTTTTTTATACAGTGAGTCTGAGACTAAATCATTACCGTCATCTACTGATGAAGGTTTCGAGGATAGTCGATCTGGTGATTTTACGAAGTCACCACCACTTCCTCAAATTTCATTCATTGATTTTCGTAAAACCAAAAAAACACAAAGAACGAAGGTAATAAATGTTTCGGTAGTGAAAAAAGAACTGAATTCTGTGTTAATAAATGTTACAATCATTATTTTTAGAAATTCAAAAAAAGACTAAGTAGGGGTGAAGAATTATTGGAAATGATAAAATTAGATGTTATGGAATGGTCCCTTTTAGAGTGTTCACCAGTACCATATGAAGAATTTATTAGAAGTTATGGAAAACTGAATGCTCAACAGGTATGTAAATTACATAATAATAATGAACTTCTTAATGTTCCAATATTAAATAATTATTAATTAATTAAGGTACTTCTAATTGGTGAATTAATACTCCTAATTTTATAGATGTCCACGCAAACTGGTGAAGATAATATAGATGTAGAAATACAAACGGATAAAATCGTGTTTACAAATAAATGGACCCAATTTCCAATAACGTGTAGAAGTAATTTACGAACTAAAGAGGATTTAGATTTATTTCGAATGGTTTGCAAAATAATTTCTACATTCTATTGTTAAGGAATGAATAAATAGGAGTAAAACGTTATAATTTATAGGATCAGAATGGCGTTGGTAATGATGATGACTTAGATTCTATTAAGTCCTTAACGCCCCCATCATTTGATATATTAAGATTAAGTGATTTTTTGAACCGAGCTGGAAGAGTAATTTTATCATTAATGGAAGAAAGACGATCTGGTGGAAATGTTTTCAAAAATGTGGAGGATGTACCATTTAGCGACGGTGTTGTTAAATTATCTGTAAATTCGGTCACATTTTTGTCAGGCAGAGCAGTGACATTAATTCACTATTCAAGCATTCTAAGTAAGATTTTATTGACCATTCATTCTCCAGCTGAAGAGGTAAAAAAATTATGTGAATGAAATAACTAACGAAAACAAGATAAAAAACGACTGATATGGAGTAATTTTTTAAACAGGAAATTGAGACGTCCAGCAAACAAGATTATATAACCGACTGTTGCATCGGATGTGTTTGGAATATTTCAGAACCATCGATGCCGGTTAAATTATTTTACTCGCCCAGTCCCATTACTGCATGTAGTTTTCATTTAACAAGTCATAGCGTTGTATTTGCTGGGCTGCAAGATGGGTATATTTACTTTACGTTTATGCATAATGTGTATCGTAATGAAATTAACTAAAATTTTAATTAACAGATCAATTAGTCTCTGGGATTTAAAGGAAGATGAAATGTGGCATCAGAAAGTGACAGACAAAGCCAATGAATTGGACTGGACTATTCGAATGCCCACTTACACGACAACTGGGAATACTGATATAAATGTCGATAACTCGCAAATAGTTGCATTACGTGTATTATCTAAAATTGAAGAAAAATCGTTCCAACGACGTAACAATAAATTTGTACCGATTCAGGTTTGTTTAAAATTTTGGTTGTACTAGTGAATAGTAATGCTTGAATTATTAACCTTTATGTATTACCTGACCGTAATAGATATGTAGCTTGAGTGAAAAGGGTTCTCTGATTATATGGAGCGTTTTACACAGTATGGGAATAAATGTCGACGATTTAGGACTATCTTATTGGGGTAGTATAAGACTGGTGAAAAGTCAGGAATTGCTTTTGCAATCTCATATTCTTAGAAAGTAAATGTTTTATACCAATTTGTATATATTGACTTGTTTTGATTTATGAACTAACATCTATTAACTCTTTAGAAGAATCGGTGCAGCTGCTTTTATTGACATGCATGTGGATTGTGTTGATAACAACAATGTTTATGTTGTCACTAACAGTAACAATGTTTTGCATGCTACCTGCATTGGTAACAAAGCTAGTCCTTCTATGTACACAAAATTTGATACTAGTAAGTTATCAAGAACATTTTTGTGACTTTCCGATCGTATGTTACGATTCATTTAATTCAATATTTTAGGTTCCTGTGGGAACGTGACTTGCATAGAAATATGTCCATTTGAATACTCGTTTTTCTTGGTAAGATCTTTACATGTATATACATTTTTATATGTAAGTACAAATAGTTCTACATCAATTATTGTTTCTACCATAGGTCGGTTGTGACGATGGCACGATTCGATTACATTCGTTAAATATCGAAAAACCAATTTTACAATTAAGAGACGAAGATAATACGTACAGTATTAAATCAGTGCAGTGGTCAAAAACAAAACCGTTCACAATTTTTGTACTAGACAACAAATCACGGTAACAGAACCTAAAGATATGAAAATTTATTTATGTAACATATAAAAAAAACAAATTCATTGATGTTTTAGAATACATATATGGGATTTAAATAGTAGTGATATATATCCGACACACACAATAAATGTGCAAAAATGTGGATCTGTAAATTGTGTGCAATTGTCATCATGCAAAACTGAAAGAGATATGACTCATCAGTATCTGGTATGATGTAAATTATTGGTATGTTCAGTTTAGATGAATATAATATAAAATAATGTGTATTTTAGGCATTTGGAACAGAATCCGGAAACGTGGAAATACATAAATTAAAACCAAATTTTTGTTATTCGAAAAAGGAAGATTACTTGCAAGAGTCGAATAATTTTATGCGATACGTGGCAATTTTATAATTAAACCAAGAATGGTAACAAAAATACTAAAAGTGATTGAATTGTTTTGTACTGCCAGTATATTAATAGTTAGTCTTTTTTATTGAAGATGCACTTGTTTCCCAAGTAAATAGTACATATATACATACGTACTTGGTATTTTGTTCAAAGACAATCTTATAAAAGCAAACTGTAACAACATTATTAACTATAACATTATACTGCAAACTATAGGAAATTTTAGGAAATGTACTAATCCGTCCAAAGGCAATTTTTAAACTGTTACGTTAATTTAAGGAGTAAAAATCACAATTTGTACAAAAGTATTATAATTTATTGCACAATATTCACGAAAACGAATTCGTTCATGTATTGTATACAAACCATAGTTTTATAATCTAATAAAATTATTAAATAATATAGAATTAATAAAAAGATAAACTTCTGTAATAGATTTTTATTTTATTAAGTGTGATTTCTTCACTTGATTTGGTAAATAAAATTTTGATGCCATGATGAAAACTTTATATTTAAACATTCAATAATTTGTTTAAAGAATGAGAGAAAATATATATGGAAATCATATAACTGTAAAAATAACTCAAATTACTTGAACCACTGCAAGGTAGTTTCACAAGATGTTCGATGATATCTTTGTAACTCCGTATATGCATTTGATGAGCGTCGATTTGTAAATGCTGCGTTTCCTCCTGCAAAAAAATATTTGCATTTGTTTTCAGTGATTCATTATTCACACCACCCACAAAATTCTACGTTACATTTACAAGACAATTGTAATACACATAAACGATGTGCGATTATTGTTCTTGGATCGATCAAATCCTAGCTAGGATTACAGCCGAAACTAAATCAGAGGGAAAAAAGCCTCGAGTGCATGTAGACCCGGTTATAGTGGTTCATGGTGGTGCCGGAAAAATTCCGCAAAAAATACGTCGTCGAATGCTTTTTGAGGTTACACAGAAATGCTGATAAAAAGCTTAAAACATTTATTAAAAAAAACAATCAGTCATGAATTATATGCACGTTATACGAAAGAGTAACTTTCTACATTTGTATAGGTTAAAAATGCCGCGGTGGAAGCATACATCGATCTTATTAACGGTCGACCCGCATTACACGCAGTTGAGAAAGCCATTTCATACATGGAAAGTAAACCGTATTTCAACTGCGCAAAAGGAGGTTCGTTAGATATTAACGACGAAGTTGTTACGGATGCCGCCATTGCTACTCCGAAGGATGCTGGATGCGTGGGTGCTGTTAGAGACATAGAACACCCTATTGTTCTAGGTTCATTCTGCATATATACATAATCTAATGCAAATATTGTTAAAAACAAGATTGTAATAAAACCATCAAATTCTATAGCGAGGAAAGTATTGGAAAAGACAGGACATGTACTCATCGTTGAAAATGGCGCCCAGAAGCTCGCCTTAGACAACGGAATTCCTATTTTACCGCCAGGTAGTTTAAATATCACGGATTCTCTAATATCACAGTACTCAGACGAAGAAATCTTCAATTACTGTGTAAACCGGGCGAGTAGCATGGAAATCGAAGGAACTGAATGGAAAGCAACAACAAGAAACGAATGTGATCTGGATTGCGTCATTGTACGAAGAGAGAATCCATCAGAAGAAGGAGAAGCACGCGCTTATGACGATCTATCGATCGATTTCAGTGAATTCGATGAGCCAACTATTTTACAAGTGTGTTCAGTTATATCGTCATTTTTCGAAACTTAAGAATTTATACGGATTCAAAATTTAGGCTGGTGCTGTCGGTGCAGTTGCATACGATCGAAAAAAACGGTTAGCAAGCGGCACATCGACGGCGGGAGATCCTGGAAAGCCGATTGGTTCCGTGACAGCGACTGGCACGGTGATTGGTTGTGGTGTGTTTGCGAATGAAGATGGCTGCGTTTCCGTTTCAGGAAACGATACTTCCATCTACTGCTACGCGCCTGCACGGAAAATCGTTCAAAGACTTCCGCGAGACGCGACCATAAATTATTCTTTAAACGCAGAATTGGAAAACTTCGAAGTGGAGACTGGCGAATCTTATATAGGCGCCATTGCGGTAAATGCAAGTGGTGATCACTGCGTTTCGTTCAGATGCATGCATTTCCCCTGGGCCTACTGTCACTGCGGTTACGTTTATTACGGAGTTACTCAAAATCAAAAATTTTCGGAAAAAGTGACTGTTCTGGAACGGCCTTTAGATTGCATGTGCAATTCGTCCTCGGACGAAGACTGATTATAGGAAATTTTTTGTGGTGTACGTATACCAAATTTGTGAATATTTACTCTTGAAACTACTGGTAGGATATTCTTGTAATTTTATCGATTATGAAGTAATGTCTTTTTCCTTGGATATTTCCAAGGAATTTCCCAGGATATTTCCTTGCATACAAATAGAAATATAGTATGCATTTATATAGATTGTTGTGATAAAGTGAAACTTCTTTATTGACCAAGTAATCGACGTTATCGACACTGTTTGAATTCAAAATTTAAGGAAAACGGTTAATGCCTATAGTTACGTACCGGAAATATAACGCTGTGATTCGAGTCGTACAGTCCGTACATGGAGAACGATGGTACGGTACCTTTGAATGTATTGCCGAAAAGATCATCCATTTCCAGAAGCATCGAGTAAATTTCCTCGTGCCGTAAGTCCGTTAAATTTGCATGCGCTACCACCTGAGATTAATACAGAAGTCTGATAGTTTTCTAACCACTTGTACTTGATGAACAAGACACAACAAATAAGCTGCATCTTGTCTACCAACTATGTATTGTTCAGAAGACGTACCACGCTCAACGGGATCCACGCAAGCGTACATATGTCCTGTTCATCGCCATTCGTCTTTTTTAGGCACAGGGTACGGTAGCCATTATTGCTTGATTTATCGCTGTGAGCTTCCGACTTTAAGTTGCCTGAGACAATTGAATAATCGTTTAAAGAGTTCATTATTGAGTTTAACACCTTGATTTTCTTTTGTGTTATCATAATTCTAGAAGCCAAAAAAATTAAGAAACATTGCTTCAGATATTTACCAGTCTTTTTCTCGACATTCTTCAGGTCAAGGAACGCCACGTCCCCAAGGCCGGATTCTAAACACTGGAAAGCGCTTAAATCGTCTCCAACGCTGCCTGCTATAAATTCAATGCTCTATTTAATTAGCGTTTCGATCACCCGTTTGTATCTGATTACCACGGCACACGTGCACCTACTTTGTTTACCTGAGAAATATAAATTACTAGGGATTTCCTGTTCATTGTCAGCCAGGCCAGGAACAACGCTCTTGCTGAAGAAGTTTCCGACCGCTTTCATATCCGAACACTCCGGTCTGGCGCCAGTAATATTCTTCAGAACCGAGAGAAAGGTATACCAACCTGTATCGAATAATTTTTTTGATAAAAGTGTCAGAGCATATTGTTTGCAAACTTTCAGTAAATATGTTGGATAATTTTTATGAACATGCAAAGGTGAATATAAAGGAAATAAAGAAGCTCGATAGTTTATTCTCACCAACATCTCTGTACCCCGTGAAACAGGCCTTGGCTCCCTTGAGATCCCTTAAGCTCTTGAACCACGAATTCTGTTTGACGACGGCTGCGATTCGATGGAACTCGTTCTTCTTGGGTATCGCCTGTACGATCGATTTCAGACCCAGCCTGAAATGGCACTCTAGACATTATAGGGGACAATCTCTTCACTCACAGACACTCAGCTTCTTACTCACTTTGTGGCTGCGTACAGTTCCTCGGGTCTCGCGACGAATATGTCCGCCTGACCAGTTTGAACAGCGGTCAGGCATGCTGCCCTCGATGACTCCTGTTTGCAGGAGATCGTTGGCTCCACACCGTAAACGAAGGACGCATCTCTGAGCCACCGACACTTCCGATCCTCCAGATTCGACGCGACACACCACTGCACTCTTCTTGATGGCCGACAGTTTGCACGGCGGTTAGCGCTCATGAAACCGGGAACTGTAATTAAATGTAACTATTAGGAACAGGGGATAGATGATTTCTCAATGAACCGTATTGGTAAGGTACAGCTAGTTTGACTGTGATACCAGTTTACGAAGAACCTGACGATATATCTTAATAAAATCTATATCTTACAAGTCTAGAACGTCAAAAGATATCTCTTTGGATTAGAGACTTATAATGCAAATCCTAGCTGTGCTGTGTTACCATCCTACGAAGTCAGACAGACAAAAGGCAAAAGTAAACACTAACGTAAGTTCGAATCGTTTCATTAGTTAATTACATTTTACTAAGAAGTCCTCTGGCGTTTCTAGAGTATCAGTGCTCACCGGCGTCGTGTGAAAATTCTCCAGCAAATCACGCAGGATCCAATTCGATTTCTGTTCCTTGAACGAGCTCATCATCTTCTCCACTTTCTCGGCCACCTCCCTGGTAAAACATACATCAACCGCTTAAAGAAATTGTAATTACTAAGTTTCGACCAGTTGAGATCTACAGTGTCTGTACTAACAATCTAGCAACGATTACTGGCCACGGTCTCGTGATCCACACGCATGGTTTGTCGATCTTCATAGGCCTGGTGGTTCCATCAGGACAAAGGTAGTTGTAATTCTCTTTGCCGATCTGTTCCTCCTGTGATTATTATATAATCTCACAAATCCATATTTAGAGTGTTGGACTGACAAATGGGGAATACATTCCGACCAGTCAGGTGGCTCTGTTACAAAGGTGTTTCAGAATATATTGGTAAATCCTCTTATCAATATTCTTACCTTGAAGTGCAAAAGGGTATCGTCTAATCTGACCCACGCTATGTCGCCGGCGTTATCAGTGAGGCACAATAAAGCACCTTCCCGGCCGTGATATTTGTCATCCGAGGAACAGGCTTCGAATAGATTGTCGCACGCGGTACAGAGGTTCCGGTACTTAATTTCTGTGGAAAAGAAAAGTCGTTTAGCCAAATGGGAACAGTGTGGTGAGAGACTACCACCTACTTAGCTTGCTGTCGAACGTTGTGTCAGCGGACCAAGGGCCACCGATGCAGGCTCCTTCGAAAAAATTCGAGAGTCCGTTCATCCTGTTCTCCAGCAGGGTCTTCTGAGGATCGCATTCTTTGGTAATTATCCACTTCTCGAAGTACTGTAACGAAAATGAAAGTTGTGCTATACAGAGAGTGTTTCATAACATGTGATATATCCACTTTGTCAGTGTTCAGGGAACATAGTGGAATTAATTCTATGAAACTAATTATTTGATTGCTAACTTCTTCATTTGATATAAATCGTGAAGTTGTAAAATTCCCAAAGTTGCTCATTTTTAGCTGGTCTTATAAACAACTGCATATTATTGAGTGTAAAAATAGAAACAAGGTCAAAGAAAGCACATGTTTATGTGAACTTTTTCCACATATTACTACATACTCCGTATATAAAATATTCAATATAAATGTATATACTAAATTTCTTAAAAATTCACACAGATACGCCTACACATTATTTGCCATGGAATATAATGTATTTACACCAGATACTATTATCGAACATATTAACCGTTGAGAAAGCTTTGGTCCAATCGTCGGCGGTGTCGAATCCAGGATGGCAAAACCGTCTTCCTTTAAGGTTCCATATATTTTTCACGTCCTTATTGACTAGAACTACCATCTCAAAGCGTTGCTTCTCTAACGAAAAAAAAAGACAATTCGATTTTATCCATTTGAACGTACAATTTAAAAGAAAAACCGATCGTTCACGTTGTACAATTTGCTTTGTAATTGATAATTACCCTCTGGGAATGGTCTTAGCTCATTGGTGACTAGAACATTGTACTCGTTGTACGCAGACGCCGCGACAAGATCTTCGGGCTCCAAAACCGTAAAATCAGCCTGGCCCGTGATCAATCGCCGCAGGCAGTTGAATCTGTGCGGTTCGATTTTCTCAGTTAATCGAAGGACTCGTTAATACTTTCAGCACGGGTCAGTTTTTACAGTTTTACTCAAAAAATAGGAATCTTTTTGTACGTTTATTTTGCAACAAATTTTTCTATGTTAACATGTTCGCGGTTTCGAGGGTCAATTGCGGCTCCACACTTGAATTAGGTTGAGTGGATTATGGGACTTATTCAAAACCCACACAGCACATATTTGAATCTTTTTTGCTTTTGGTGATTTTGGTAACCCACAAATTATGTACAAGTCAGGGCCACAGACAGTCCTGAATTAAAACTTTTGGGGCCCAGAGCTATCAAATCTTCGTGGCTCCCGGGGGGGGGGGGGCAAGACATTTTCGTAATAAAACATACAATAAAATACATAAATTTTTTTATGTAAATGGAGGCTTAGATTTCCTTCTGGAAATCAGGGCTGCAGCCCCCCACCCCTAATCCAGCGCTGGGCACAGATGACCCTCAAAACTGCGAACCTGTTAAGAGATCATCCGCCGAGGTGGTTCACCCGGTTCGCGTTCTTATGAAATCCGTGCTGAAAGTGTTGAAGCGTTCCTAATACATAATTATACTCGCCTATCGTTTCCAATAACACACTCTACCTGGTTCCCCGTGGACGTTAATTGCGGGCAAAGACTGCGGATCTTTTTTGCTGTATGCACGCTGTCGACAATGCATAGTTTCACTGAAAATTTCATTTTCTTTCTTTACATCGCAATCCCGTTAAGTACGAAGCGTTCAATGGGGGGAAACCGCGTCTAACGTGTCGGTTAGAGCGTGTGTAAGTTCATTGCTCGAGGAATATTTATATACATACTACACGTTTGTAATAGGTGGAAGCGTTGGGTGTTGAATCAGGTCTAGGATACGTCTGACTAGTCATATAAATGGAACTATTACATTTGTGAAGGTCATAAAGATGTAAATAGGTAAATGTAATTTAGTGGTTTCGATCTGGGATAGGCCTCTGAAGAAAATTTAAATAGTACATTTTTTTAGATCAGAACATAATTTTTTCCTACATATTTTAAAGGATTATTTGTTTTGAAATAATAAAAAAGTTACTTTATAGTTTATAAATTATTTTCTTTATTTAAAATAATTAATATATTTAATCAAATGAATTTTTTCAAAACATAGGTTTGTATCAGGGCTAAGATCCGTTAAACGATCGGATCAAATAAATAATCAAGATGAAAACATTTAAATGTATTTTGTTAAGAAGATATACATGGTTTTTTTTTCAATGTATGAAAAATATTTACTTACATTTTTCAGCGCTAATATGTTGACAAAAAGAAGTGATGAATAGGAGTAAACAAAATAGTCGGACGTTCATTTTCACTATCTTCTCGGGCAACATCTTTAACAATAAATTGTAAGCTTCCAATCACTTCCTCAAATACTTAACAATAAACACAAGCTTTTGTTGATCACTTCAAACACGGTGGCAACTGAGAAGAAGAGTCAACAGTAAGTTCACATTACTACGGCCACACTTATCGCTCCATTCCAATCGCCAAGATAAATATTATTCCAGTAAGTGTACATCCACTGTTACGATCCAATTCCCTTACTACATATTCACATTCTTTCCTATATATACTCCTAATATGATTCACAATTGCCAGAAACCGTCGATCACCGCTAAGGAGAAGATGCAAAAATCCAAAGAGAAAGACAAGGTTCGAACGTGGTCGGTTGCTGTACGGTCGCTTTCTCCTATCCTTGAAAATTCCCGTGTGAAAAAAGGAAGAATAAGAACACAACAGGCCTAGCCGAATCAGTCTCGACGGGGACACGTTTAATTTAACCGAGTGCTTATCCGCTTTTCCTGTGATGTGTGCGCGTTAGATCCACAAGTTATGCGGCTTTTTTACAGTTCCATTCAAAACAACACAATTCAACGTCATAAACGTTTATAATGAACGCGGACAAAGGACAATATGCGGCACGTTATGTCATACGAGTTCAATGAATAAATTACGGCAACTGAAGAAGTGAAAAAGCAGGCGTCAAATGATAAGAGGCCCGCAGAACTGCATGAGAACACTTATCGGGAAACACTACCGGATACGATTTGTCAGTAATTATTTCAGAAAAGAAATCGTTTTACTTATGGAATAACCTAATACACTTTCATACCCCGATTCTCCAGACAAGCGGTGAGCTAACTAATCGTTTCGCCACGGGTCGACGCTCAAAATATCAAACGGGGAGAACAGAGGCGACCGTTGATTTTGAGAACGGAGAATAACAGGAGGAATTATGAGAAACGAGTCGACTGATCCGGCAGCATGGTGCGGCTCGATCGTGATCACACTTTTGTCGGACATACGGGTACACCGCCGTTCATTGATTTCACCGCGTGGCGTTCGGACACCGGGACTTCCCCTGCGTGTTGCCTCGACGTCGTGGGTATATACTCGCGTAAGTCCTACGACGAAGACTGGAGGATTCAGCGAACGGCAGCCAGGGGAGCAGCTGATGCTGCCCGAAAGTCCACTAGGTATATAACAGGAATTATCTTGGTGGGAGGTGGCTGCGCAATATACGCTCTTGTGGATGGACAACGACGTCAACGGTCCGTCAGACGAAGAGTCTAATCTTCTCTCAGGGAACGATGAGAATTCATCTGCATACTTGTCGTCTAACGTATCGAATCTGGTTAGGTCGGGTGAGAAGATGTATATTTGTGGCTACCAGTTTCTAGCTGGATTATATACAATAGTTCCTACATATGTCCTTGGGACCTTGAAGGCAAACAGATGCGTAGGATAGCTGAAATTGTGAATTTCTGAAATATCGTTTAACTTTTCAGCGGGCAAGACAATGTAACACGGTGAAACATGGTGGAGATGAACCGTTTACACTAAGGAAACTGAAAAATTTTCATATTTTCGTGTTTATTTTTGTAGAAACTTGCTTTTGTGCAGCTTATCCAGAGCGCGCTTCCTTTTGAATTTTCCCGCGTAATGAGTATGCAGTACTCTCCCACGAAATGATCTGAATGTGAAATAACACGGTTTTTATGATAGCGAAATTGTGATTATTTTGTATGCACGGAAATGCTGAATGTTTTCTCGTATCTCCTAAGCCATGGATCCTCTCTGAAGTGTCTGATTACTTGTACTCATCCACCGGAAACTTTCTGTCTGTTTAACGGTATAGTTATTTCAGTACGTGATCTCATTCCGTACAGCATATTTGTTAATATATCGTATGCGTGCAAGTTGTATAAAGTAGCGGTGTGCTGTACAATTAGTCAAGAGACCGACAGGATGATTGAGATCGCGCCGTGTTTCCTGTAGCGTCCTCGACCTTCTCTTACGATAACGTTTTCTCTATATGCTAGTCTCTCCTCGCGAAGAGAATTGAGTCATCCCGTCAATTACTACTGAATTACTTTGTTGACGTTACAATTGTCGGGAAAGACAATCGCAAGAATATTACAGTCAAACATCAAATTATTTCGTTCACGAATTGTATTCGAAAATCTTCGGGGCACTATTTCGTAAATAACAGTACTTGAATTAATATTTCACAGTATTTAAAATATTCATTGCTCAAAGGCTCGGTATATTCCATCGTACGATTTAACGTACGACTTGACGCATTTTCAAAATTCTGATAATCACGGCAAATTGTTCAAAGTAAAATAGCGTAACAATGTTTCTAAAAGTGAATGATGTCTGAACTGTTACCGCGGGTATTTCATAAAACACAATTTAATGCTCTATTTACGAAATAACTTTAATCGACATTGGTAGGCGTTGGTATTGTGTATCGATGATGACTACGCGGGATTTTAAATGAATCATCTTCGTTTAAAAGCGGAATCTATTCAAAATTTTAATTAATTTTCGTCAACGACGTAGACGATTCAATCAGAACTCGCGACTTTCACTGGAATTATTAGTCCATTCCTCGTGTGGTGCTGTACAAATTTTTAATTTAACATAACGATGGTAATTCATTTCGCAGTTCATATATAAAGAATAATTGTAGTCAACGCGTTAACCACCTGCATTTTTACTATTTGATGATATCGTAAAAAAATACATCTATTTATGCGTTGAATTGCATAATTAGAGTATATTTATTTTTAAAATATTGTAAGTGTTTTCGATTAGAAATGAAATATTATTTTGTATATTTTAACATATTAAAATATACAGTAATATCAATGCACATCATAATTACAGCTCAATAATGGCGTCTAAAATGGTCTTGTTATTCAATTGCTTTCAGAGGCGCAAGAGGAACACCCGACAATCCGGTTTTGATGTCGAGGGTAAAAGCATCTGGTCGCATTATCACTAGTGACTAGTACAGCTGCATGCAAAAGATGCATTGGATGCATGTGATTTCCGTTCGAAAAGTACATGTGTAACTCGCTGTTAGTGTGCACTACTACGTCGCTGTTCTCGGTCCGACGACAACATGAAAGTAGTCAAAGAGGAGCATATATTCGGACTAAAATCTAATTATTATCAATCTAGTCGGTCGTGACACAGTAAGTTCTTTTACATCATAATTAGTATCTGATAATGGATCTAAGGAAGATACGCGTTGCTTCAATGCTTATCAGTAAAACGAGTATTTCCGATCATCAAAGATGACAACTCGTCAGCTGCGTTGGATGCCATAAATTGAACTTCCGAGTATTTGAAAATTCAAAACGCGTTTGAAAGATATTTTAAATCGACATTCAGAGGCTACATTTTGAAAGTAATGTTAATGATATGGTATCTCGAGTTGTTAATATACTTCTTACATTCCTTATCTTTAGGCTTTTATTTTCACAAAATGTGAATGTCATTGTTATCAATACCTCCGTGTACGAAATGTGTGAATATTTTGACTTGCTTGATTCGTTATACGTGTACTAAGCTTATCTGATTTCAGGAGGCATTAGAATGTTCAGAACTTGGGCCGCTTCTACTCGATGATACATTTGAATCAAGATTTTTTTAATGTTTTAGTTAGTTAATAATCATACAAAATGAAAGTTAATTACAAACAGTTGCCTATAAAGGCACATTACTTTTTCTTCATGGCAGGTAAATATGGTTATAAAATAATGTTAGAACGCATTTTCTTGTATGTATTTATAATATTGTGATATTACTCTGTACTATAGCAATGGGACCGATTCTTCCATTCTTCCCAGTCTATGGGAAGCAGCTTGGAATATCAGCAATAGTTATGGGCAGCATCACAGCCATTCTGCCTATATTGTTTCTAATTGCTAAGCCAGCTTTTGGATTTCTAGTGGATTATTTTGACTCCTGGAGAAAAGCTATTTTTGTAACATTAATAGGAGCAACAAGTACTTGCTTTATCTGTATGTATTTCTTACCAGTACTTCCTGGACCGGTTCTACCAAACCATATGTTTGAAAATGTGTCATGTACCTTGTTATCGCATTGTTCACCAGAGGTAATTCTTTTTTTTATTATTATAGAAAAATTCTCATTTGTATGAACTTAGATTTAAACATATATCTGTGATTTCGTATGTATTCAAGGACATTTCAAAACCAAATTTATGTACTGGAGCAAAGAATACAATGTGCCATTGGACTTGTATGGAGAACAAATTTTCTGTTCCAATACAGTTTGAAGCAATTAAAGGAGAAGCAAGCTTTACTGCAAATACTACATGTTTAGCTAACGCGAACGCGACTTCCTATTGCCTGAAAAACAATAAATGTAATGTTACCTGTGATAATTTTGATGACAAGCAATGTCTTTATACATCTGCAACTTTCTGGGGCTACATCATTTTAATGTCCCTTGGAAATATTGGCTTCAATGTTTGCAATAGTATAAGCGATGCAATTTGTTTCGATATACTAGGTATTTAATAACAATACTTATAATATAATTTTGTGTTTAATCTTTAATATTATTTGTATTCTCTAATGATTTAAATTACAGGAGATGGTGGCGAAATGGGGTACGGTAGGCAACGTGTGTGGGGGACCATAGGCTTTGGAGTGTCTGCTCTTTTGGCTGGTTATACAGTAGATGCTTGGTCAGAAGGAGAAATTATAAAAACTTATACACCTGCGTTTCTACTCATTTTTGCCTTTTCGTTCGTCGATATACTCTGCTGTAAGAAATTGAAAGTGAGTAGTTCAATTAATATTTCAGTATCTATCAGTCTTTTCCTGTAACTTCTTTAATTGGTTTAAATTTAAATTTGGTTTAATTATTAATAATCTATCCAAAACGTCTATTACAGCTACCAATTATGGCGGGGTCGGATAATATATTAAAAGATGTTTTTCAGCTTCTAAAGTTGAAACCCATAATTATATTTCTCTGCTTCGCGACAATCGCTGGTATTCTGGACAGCTTCATAATTTACTTTTTATTTTGGTAATATTTCATGCTTTTAAAATGTCCAATATAATACATCATTTTGTAACAGAAAACGTAACTTGCAGGATAACAGATATTCAAAAGAAAATGTAATTATATTCACATCATAAACACATTTTCAACAGGTATTTAGAAGATCTAGCTCTAGCGACTGGTCACATGAGTAAAATCAAATTGATAGAAGGATTAATTGTCGCCGCAGAAACTTTAGGTGGCGAAGTAATCTTCTTTTCCTTGTCTGGTATTCCTTTTGCACAATTTTTCTGTATATACGATTTACATTTATCTTATGGAATCTTTGAAATAAATATACGAATTACTTTATGTACAGGTAAAATTCTAAAGAAGTTAGGATTTGGATACACTTTTACGTTCTGTTTCGTATGTTATGCATTGCGATTGGGATTAATATCATTGGCACCCACTCCGTGGTGGGTAATTCCAATAGAATTGTTTATGCAGGGACCTACTTATGCGCTATGTTACACGACAATAGTTGCATATGCGAGTAAGGTTGCACCACCCGGTGCATCAGCCACTGTTCAGGGTATTGTAGCTGGCATGGATGATGGTTTTGGTAATAATATTTTCTTAAATAGTATTTAATAATTTTTTCAAAATGCCATAGTACATTTAAAATCTATCAGTGTACATTATATCATTGTTTTATTTCAGGTTTCGCGATTGGTAGTCTAATAGGTGGAATTTTATATAAACTCTTCGGAGGTGTAACAACGTTACGGTTATTTTCATCGCTTGCCGCTATAACTGCATTCATGTACTTGATACTATACGTGGTGTACTTAAAACACACAATGCCAGGTATAATAATACCAATTCTTTAATTATTTGCAATACATTTTGTTTGTACGTAGCTTTCCTTCAAGTTTTCATTAATAATTTATAGACACAAAGAAGACTGTAGAATGGAAAACGCCTCAAGAAGCAAAAGACAAATGCGTCGTCGCGGAAACATAACTCTACAAAGACATGAATGAATACTTATGTCCAAGGGAAATGAAATTTTTTATGAATAACGCAGTAATTACCATACAATTTACCCAATGGATAGTTACTGCATGCATGTGATATGTTAATTACATTTTTATATAATTATTTTTCAAGTTAAGATATACACGAAGCTTTAATTTTTCAAATTTTATATCGCAGAAACTGATATAAGCATCACAATTTTAGAAATAAATATAAGTTACATAAAAGTTGCGAATGAAAATTTTTATTACAAAGGTAATAAGTATTTTGTAATGAAAGAGCATTGACAAACATAACAATTGACAATCAAATATCATATGTCTCGTGGCATAGTGGATATAAATTTAAAAGTTCGATGAAACGATGGCTCATACGTGTCTACCTGTAAACAATCTTTTTTTGATCGCTGGCAGCGGAAAGTTACCCGCACGTGACATTTCGTGTAACGTTGAACTTCAACAGCTGTTGTCCTCGCGCGGTCGTTACGTGATTGGTTCAACAAAAATGACAGATGCGCGGCGTTTAGACACCCTGCCGTCTGACGTTCTGATCTTAATTTTCGACTACTGTCATGCATTCGACTTGGTACGACTCAGTGAAGTATGCACACGATTCTATGACATTATACGGGGAGAAACGCTTTGGATCAAGAAGAGCAAACAGCCGATCGCGACGAATCAAACTTCGAGAAAATTTCGCGAAAGGTTTGTTAGGTTATACTCGATCATTCTTTTTTGGCAGCTAATACTCCAATCTTCGCGAAACTCTTATTTATTTTCAATGACAATATTTCATCCGTTCGCGTTCACATACTATACAAATTGTAGCATGCATCGCTTTGCGAGACTTTATTTATATATGATTGAAAATCTAGAAAGATCTATTTAGGTGGTTCCCAGTTATTTAATGATCCCCTGTACATATATATAATTCATAAAATAGAAATTTATTGAATAGTGAAATCTCTATTGGTATTGTTATTATCAGACTACGGATCTTATGAATATTCCTCCTTATCAAGTGAAAGTATTTGCTAAAATAAGACGTTTCTCCTGTATTATAAGCATTACCAACAAATTACAGGTGTAATCCATTACTATGCTTGCGCACAAAGTGGCATGTTTCACACAATTGGCAGTATGGCAGATACGAGAAGAGGGTCCTCTCCTCACAGAAAATAAAACTCATGCCATGGATTCAACTAACCAGTGATATTCTATGGTGGAGTGGTGGGAATCAGCTGTGTGGTTTCAAACGCACATGGCATTCCCATGAAGCGCAACAAAACAATCGTATTTTAGTTAATGACAATATTAGAAGTGACATATGTAAGTTCATTGTCAGAAATGAATGCATCATCACTGGTCACAGGTACTTAGCACATAAGTTTGGCTTTAAGATAAAGCAAACATTGACATTTACATCTTATGTATCTCAAATTTTCACAGGGACGGTAGTATACAATTTTGGACAAAGTCAAGATGTGATGAAAGTATAGACTTTTACTGTAGTATTGATAGGGCTCATACTTCAGATGTAAATGCAGTAGACGAGACCTGTGATGCAATTATGTCAGGTTCCGGTGATGGGACAGTGAAGGTAACTTTTTGAAACACTGTAATACCAAACAGTGAGTTCCAATGATCAGTTTTATAATCCGATGTTAAGCAATAAATTAATATTTAGATTTGGGGACCTGTAGGACAAAGATTCCTGAACATACCTGTGGCAACTTTAAACATTGCAGATAGGGTGTGGTCGCTTTCTGCAGATCCAACGGGTAAAAAAGTTGCTGTGGGCTCTGCTGGAAATAGTGACAGTCCTCCGCTTCATATATTTGATCTTGAATGGTACAGTGTAATTTACATTCAATGTAAACGAATTATCAAAACCCTGTGTAGTATAGAGATGCGGATTGTGTAGTTTCAGAGGCATGATAGGTCCAATAACATAACAAAAACATTTCAGTTACAGTGAATCACACATACTAAATCACAATTGGCAACGTGGAGCAGGAATATTAGACATGGTCTGGGATAGTCCCCAAATTCTGCTCACTTGCGGATATGATACTTACATTCGGAAATGGGACTTGAGGTAAATACAATTAATGAGTTTTATAACATAAAGCGGAATTGTAATTCTACTTTAAGTTATAATGTAATGTATCATTAATTGTATTACATACTTATGAATACGATATTCTTAAGCTTGATTTTTCTAATTGCTTTTCTTTCAGAACTGGAACATGCGTATACTCGTGGGCAGACCCAACTGACGCAACTATATATTGCATATCATCCGATTATTATTATACAATGCTCACCGGAACTCAATTCAACTGCAAAACTGTTCTATGGGATCAAAGACAGAGAAATTATGTACAAGTCAGTACATGAATGTTCCTCACTGGTATTTATTATTACCTCGATAACTAAATGACAATATTTGTTTATTTTTCTGCAGCTCTATTTCATGAATCTTAGCAGAATGTCAAGTCCCGTTTACTGTCTAGACTTCGACAGTGCTCATTTGTATGGAGCCACGGATCAACATTTAGTTGAACTTACGTTCTCAGGATATTCATACAAAGAGACCAATTATAAAGAAATTCTTAGGTACGAACGAATAAGGACAAATTAGGTGTGCGCATAAAATAGATAAATTTTTAGAAATGACCTTGGCATTGTACAAAGAATTACTCTAGGATTCATGTATCTTGAGATATTTTATAATTCGAAGTATCTGGGAGATTTAGTTCTAGGATAAAAAGCGAGTCACAGTGAAACAATTTATAAATACTTTATTATGTTAACAAATATTCGTTTTCCCACGATTTATTCAAAACATGACTACAAAATGTAAAAAATTTGTCTCAATCGATTTACGGTCGATTACTGATTCAATCTGTAAATTCTTTAACGAATCGAGCTGCTAAATTTACCTTGAATTATAAAGTTCAAAAGTATTCCATCTAAAAACAATTTGTAATACTCAGAAATAAATATATTTATGCTAGATAATTCACTATTTCAGTACCTTCGCCTCTGTAATATTTAATAATGAAGAAGCAGTATCGTATTCGTTATAATTTCACTTCATTTACTATGAATAAAAAGATATGAATATACATTTAAACATTCTATGCTGGCAAGTCCAAACCCAAAGTTAAGTATTGCATTAAGTAACATTTTGCAATATAGTAATTTAGATCTCGTCTGCCTGTCCGATATCTATCAAAGCATTTTTCTAATCATATAGTTTAGAATACCGCCGTGTCTGAAATACGTTAAATCAACCTCCGTGTCGAACCGTACAATCACTTCGAACTTTTTCCCATTATCTGTTGTAACGGTGATTTTCTGGCCAGGCTGACAATTATCAGGTACGGCTATGTCGTATACCTCGTACCCGGTCAATTCGAGGGACTCCGCATTTTGTCCAGGTAGGTATTGCAGCGGAATAATACCCATACCTACTAAATTTGACCTGGAAAATAACAGGACCGTCAATAAAATATTTTTAAACAGCTTCTCGAGTATATCATATCTCCCACGGCTATTGAAATTCCAACGCTATCATAAAATTTCAAAACATGCAATGTACGCATTGTACAAAATGGTTACCTATGTATTCTTTCATAAGACTCAGCTATAACTGCTCTAATTCCAAGAAGATAAGGACCCTTCGCGGCCCAATCTCTCGAAGATCCAGATCCGTACTCTTTACCGACAAGGATAATTAAAGGTGTCTGATCTTTCACATACTTTTCGGCTGCGTCGAAAACGTCCATCTAAAAGTCGGTTAATAGTTTTGTATAAGCAAACATTTTATACGAGCAATTTTATTCGTTCGTAATGTCATAACGTACTTCTTCGTTAGTGGGAATGTAAACTGTACGTGGTCCGGGTTTTCCGATGAATTTATTCACCAGACGGATGTTTGCGAACGTGCCCCGCGCCATTACAGCGTCGTTACCTCTACGGGATCCATAGGAATTGAATTCTTTCGGTGTCAATCTAAATGTTGAAGAAACGAATTATTACAAATATCAGTATTCATATCATTCCTGAATTATAGTTAAGAAACATACCCACGATTCGCAAGGTATCGAGCTGCTGGAGAGTTACGAGCAATACTACCAGCTGGACTGATATGATCCGTCGTAACAGAATCGCCGAGATTCAGAAGAACGCGTGCTTTGCTCACCGGATTTATTTTCGGTAATTCCTATATAAATATAGATTTATAGTCTCGATTCACCTTTTGTAAATCATCAAAATATGGTGGATTCTTGATATACGTGGAAGTGGAATCCCACGGATACAATTTGCCATCGGGGGCCACCAGATTTGCCCAGTTCGAGCTACCCTTCTCTATCTTCCTGTAAACTTCTTTAAACATAGCTGGGATTACGTGTTTCTGTTCCACCGTTTGGATATCCGTTCTGGTGGGCCAGATATCTTGAAGATATATTGGACTGCCATCCGCCCGGCGACCTGAAGGTTTTCAACGTTACCCATAAATCCATATAATGATTCATATTGCTCTGTACGAAAGGAAGTCTATTTACCAAGCGGTTCCGTTTGGAAATCTATGTCCACCGTGCCAGCGATGGCGTAAGCGATTACTAAGAGCGGTGACGCCAAATAATTTGCTCTTGTGTTAGGGTGAATTCGACCCTCGAAATTCCGATTGCCGGAAAGTACGCCGCAACATATGAGTTCGTTCTGATTCGAATGGAGGGAAAAAAAAAAGAACGTTCAAAATCAAGGATGACGAATATAGGATAAATAAAACAGCGATAGACAAAAGCATTTCCCTCTGCACCCAGGTTCTTACTTTCTCAATAGTCTCGACAATAACGTCGGGAAGAGGACCGCTGTTACCGATGCAGGTCATACACCCATAGCCGACAATGTCGAATCCCAATTTCGTCAGGTATGGAATCACTCCGCTCTCCTGCAGGTAATAAGTGACGACGCCTGATCCCGGAGACAAAGACGTTTTTATATAAGGCGCGACGGTTAAACCAGCCTCGACAGCATTCTTCGCTAGGAGACCTACAATTTTAACAATGCGAACATGTTAATGGGAAAACACGAAAAAGTAAACAAAATTAAATAAAATCATGCGCCATATTGGAGTGACTTGAGAATTTTCTTAATTCTTCTTTAATCAATCTAGTTTTCTGTTGAATATCTACCCTACTGTTTAACACGTTGAATGCCGGAGAATTTTCGTACGTTTCAGCCACAGTGTCGAAGAGAAATCTTCGTTACACAAAGTGTATAAGAATAAAATATTATATAAAATTATTGAAGTCAACTATGTTACCATACTTTTGACATTTAGTTTGTAGACGTTTACCAGTTTATAGTTTAATATTAATAATATGGACAAGTATATTGTTTAGAGTGCGGGGCACCGGTGACCCCCACGGCATTCAACGTGTTAAGGTAATGAACAGTTTAAAATTAAAAAAAAAAATTAATAAAACCTGAACTTTAAAATTAATATATTGAGCTTCAGAATTATATTAAAATAATGTTTTCTTAAATGTTTCCGCTCAAGAGTCATTTACCTGCTCCAAGCATAACGCTGGGATTGCTAGTATTAGTACAGCTAGTAATTGCAGCGATGACCACCGAGCCTTGCCTCAATTTGTAATCCTTGCCCTCGTATTCGAACATACCCACGGAATCCACCTTTTCAGAGCTTAAGCCGTATCCCTTGAATCCTACCTGGAAAGGAAAATTTATTATCTACAGTAATACAACTACTTCCATACTTTAACTTGATATAAAACATCGCAAAACATATATCCCCCTGTAAATATTATAATTTTCAAAGATTAGGTGAAAAATATATTCCATTCCTTATCCACCTAGAAACATTCTTTCACACTGCCGTAACACCTAAATTCTTTGACAGTCAGAAAAAAAAGTTCGTCGACCTAACAGAGTGTCAATGACCATTTTGCACCTACAATTCCATTGTCCAATGTATATAAATGATTCGCTAAAGAAGCATTCTCATGTATTAAACCATCTGTTCTAAGCTTATTTCAGCATTATTCATTTCAATACCCTCTCTAGTTAACGTTTCTACAATCGAGTTTCAATTGCAAATATTGATAATTAAATTCCATAATGCACTTCAAATAACAGAGAGTCGATATTTCTAGATTTTTCCAGAAATTCCCTTCAAATTGCAATGCTCATTTAGACGCTCACTGGAAGGTCATTTACGGGGACACGTTGTAATTATTTTCAGGAAGGTAAGCCAGATCGAAGTCGCTGCCAAAATTTCTAAAGGCCATCCCTTAGCCTGAGCACATTGTTTTGGGCAATTAGCCTGTCGACGCCGTCGATGGGGGCTTTTCCTCGCGTTGTGGGCTGCTTTCACCGATTTTACAACCACCGAGCGCTGTTATTCCCCCACCGTCCCTTTCGTCGAGTTTCTAGAAACTTGGTACCATTGAAAACGAGTCAGACCCTATAAATGACACATTCACCGTTAACAATGATTAACGGTTCACAGAGATATTAGAAATCATTCTCGTATACTCTGGTTGAAAAAAAAAAAGATAAATGATTATATGAAATTCGTGAACGCAAAATGTTGTCCAGAAACGATATGCGGTAACGCGATAGCAGTACCGATCGCTGCAATACGAAACAGAAGGAATATCCGTACGTAAGGCGACGGTTTGCAACAAAATCTGTGGAGGCTCGCAAAACGAACGGGCTGTTGTATCAGCAATTTCGAGCGAGGTCAGACGACGTTCGTGGCTTGATCGAAGTCAGTCGCTCACTTTCTTCGCGAAATTCAAGATCAATCGATCACCGGTACGTATAGAAAATTTATTGTAATTCATCGGATCTACGATCGATCCCATCCTTTTCCACTGACGACTTGCAATATATATATATATATATATATATATATATCATTTTTATTCTATTCAATTTTAATTCTTAAAACTAATTATCCTGCAGATGATTTCTAAATCGGTAAAAGAAACCGCCATGCATTGTACAAATTTTTTAATTCATTCAGTAATTTACCATGAATGTTATGAATGAACTGTATATATAATTTAAAAGAATGCAAAATATTTAACATTTCTTGTCTCGTATTAAAATTAGTTCACGAATGATATTCCCAGAAAGTACAACCGATTAACTTTAACAGTCATATATGAATTATTAACTAATTCTCTTGCATGTTTATTTTTATGCACCTGTATCATCAGTTTTTATCAGTTTTTATTTAATGGGTTTCATCGATTTGCCTTTTGAAATGCTCAAATATGATCTCGAATTGTTAATACTCCGTAAGAACATCTTTTGTACAAAGAATATTGAACTATTTCTGGTTCACGTGGATCATTGGCAATCCAACAAAAAAAAAAAGAAGAAAAAATAGATGACGATGAAAGGGCGTTGAATTTCACGCCGAAGGAACGTCAGCTCTCTATGATCGGTATGGACAAGTTTTCAGCAAATGTCCTTGCTGTGATAGCATAGTAACGCGATTCCAATGTTGAACATCTTTCAATAGAAATCGATCGATCCGTTGTTTTTAAAATCATCGCTGCTCATATCGTTGCTTCATCGCGTTCACACGACTGCCGTGTCCAATTTGACTGAACGCCTCGCTCCTCCATCACCGTCAATACACCATAATCCTTAAATTCTCATAAATCGCATTCTCTTCTAATTTGCTCTTCAAACATTTTCAATATAAATTCCATAAATTTCCAGTGTCTTATTGTTTATCAAGTTTAAATGCTCTAAACACGATATACTTTAAATAATTCAACATAAAGATACACGAGGTCGTTTACTTCACAAATAATGTAAACGTGAATTTCATTTGAGAATTGAATTATACGTAGTAGCTAACGGAAAACATGGATTTCATTCTGTTTACGGAACCAACAAACGAGAAGACTCTAGCCTCGTTTTATAATTAAAAAAAAAAAAAATGTTCCTCTACCTGAACATTATGTCAAATATAAGAAATTCGTGGAACGTTCACTGGGTTGGCCTGGACGGGCTGCACCGCTCGGCCGAAGGGTGGGGATGCGTCCTGGTCACGTATAAATGTCGGCCGGCGAGCGAGGAAGGTCATCAGTGTGCAATTAACAGTGCTGGCGGTAATCACGGTCCTCGTGCTAAGAGTTAACTCATTGTAACGATTTGCTTCGTGTGGTGGTTACGTCGTCTGTCCGTGTTCGATTCTCAGTCTAGCCAGTGGTCCGTGATTCTCTTTACAAGACAAACCACTTGTCTGCTGCAGTACGGAACTCGATCAAAGGGAACTTGGCCAAAAAAAGCTACATCGTATTCAAGAGAAGTGCGCAAAGTGGAGGCTGCTGTCGGATGAAATCTCGTCCGGTGTGGGTGGTTCTATAAAGGCCTCACCGGGTAGGATTCATCCAATGTCTGTCTCTGTTCCTCGACGCCCATCGAATCCTCTCCAAATATTTTCAGCGTTTCTGGTCTTGTTATCAGGGGCGAAGTATTCATCTAGTGAAACGCTGGTACAGAGTCGTGACTAGATCGAAATACTCGTCCCCGGGGATAAGACTGACCATCGAGTAGACAGCGAATCTTGAACATCTTCCATAACGTCCCGTTTATTTTTCTTTGGTGATCTAACTGTATGATGAATCGAAAGGTCATAAAGCTAGATCAGCAAAGCAAAATGTACGAGACATAACCTCGTGGACGGTACTTAAACTCGTACACCGACTTCATTCGGAAAGGTAATGTTTCCAATTTTTTCTGTTTTTTTTTACTTTCTCGGTATGACTACGATCACAGGAATCTGTGTCGAGTAGATTTCAATTACTTCTAGATGGAAGAGTCCAGAGGAACTCTTGCTGTGATGTGTCATCGTCATCATTCATATCACAGCAGTAGTTACCTGGGATTCTTTCATCTTCCTTCACCGCCCTCTGGAAAACCACAAGTTAGCACACTCCTAACGCTTGGACACGCACTGGGGAATATTGTATCGCTGTTGATTATTGGCTACAAAGTATAGCATGGGATGAACGTGATCCCGTTTGACGGTAATGGTTGATCGTCACTGGGTTATGTTTGTCCCATACGAGTACTAACTGATCATCTGCTACCCTGCACTCTCACGGCATTAAATAATTGCACCATTGACGACGCGCTTATAGAAAGTTTGCTATAGTAAAAACATATCGTAATGATTGCTAATTCTCCTACCTTATTAGTAAGACAGTTCCTGAAGTCTGTTTTCATGTCCACAACGGAGACACGGTCGTGAGGCCTCTTTGGACCACTAACGCTGGAAACGACAGTTCCTAGGTCTAGAGTAACCACTTCGGAAAAGATAGGATTTTGGCTTTCTTCGTCGTAATTCCTCAACATACGGATGACGGTGAGATATTTTTCTATTCTGGTAATATGGTCTTCGGATCGTCCTATGAAAGGAACATTTACAGAATAAGTTGGCAATGTTGTACCCCTACACAAGTGTATCTTTTAAGCTGATTTACCGAATCCCACTATCCTAAATGTTTTAAGAGCGTATTTACCTGTTTGCCTCAGATATGCTAAACTTTGCTGATCAACTGGGAAGAATCCAACTGTAGCTCCATACTCTGGACACATATTCGATATTGTGGCACGATCCGCGATGCTTAGCTGAGACACACCGGGCCCGAAAAATTCTACAAATTTTCCAACTACTCCAACTTGACGTAGATTCTTTGGATACATAGAAATATATAATAATTATAGATATAATTATATACAGTAATAGTAACATACGTTTCCTCAATGTTCTTACCTTTGTAATTGTAAGAACAAGATCGGTTGAAGTAACATACTGATTTAAGATACCATCTAATCTGTATCCTACAACTTTTGGTACTAACATAGATATTGCTTGCCCTAACATGACTGCTTCAGCTTCAATTCCTCCTACACCCCAACCAAGTACACCAAGACCATTGATCATGGTTGTATGAGAATCTGTTCCGACAACGCTGTCAGGGTAGAGCAGACTATTTGTATCGAAAACAACTCTAGCTAAGTATTCTAAATTCACTTGATGTACTATTCCACTTCCTGGTGGAACGATTAGCATATTTTCGAATGCCTTGGCTCCCCACTTTAGGAACATAAATCTTTCCTTGTTCCTTTCGAATTCGAGTTCCTCATTCTTTTTTAGAGCATCATTGCTAGAAGAATAATATCATTATCAATACTGTTATCTTTCTCATCCGGTACACGTCTACTACCATTCCTCTAAATATTAGCACACTATCTTTCCACTCATTTCAAGTCCAAATAAAACTCAACGGTATCAGACTCTAGCCGAATTATGTAATAACTGTGTACTATGATGAAACAGTGAATTGTCTTTGATGTCTATTTGCATGATTTGATAACAGTCTCATTGCTTCATTTTTATAAGTAAATAGATCACTGTACCTTCTAATAAAATCAACTTGTATCGAGTGATCAATAACAAGATCTGATGGACAGATGGGGTTTATCTTATCTGGATCAGAGCCTAATCTTTTAACTGCATCTCTCATAGATGCAAAATCCACCACTGCTGGTACTCCAGTAAAATCCTAATTAAATTTAGTAAAAAATTTAAGTAACTTTCATAAGTTGTTGCATGTAATTCCACTATAGTTTATCATGTACCTGCAATATCACCCTGGAGGGTTTAAAAGATATCTCTGCTCCATCTTCCAAGCTCTGATTTGTTTCCCAATTCAAGATCTTTTCTACATCGGCTGTTTTCACTTGAAAATTGTCACAATTTCTGATTGCACTCTCCAGGAGTACTCTAACGGAAAAGGGCAACCTGTCTGTGAAAATCATTAATCTTAATATTTTTCATTCTTATGGCACTGAATGCTTGTAATGATTTATATGCACATACCATATTTTTTTCCAAAGCTGCTGATGTCATAGTACTTATACTCTTTGGACCCAATCGTAATTGATTTGAGCAGGTGGTTATATGGATTTTCTTCTAAAAGTAACAGCAATTGTTAACCATTTAATTCGAATTTTTATAGCTTATATTATAATTTACAATTAGCACATGTTTTAAATAAATAAATTTAATTTATTCATTTTTTTTAAACCACAAATAATCATTAATAGTTACATTGGTATAGTTTAATTAACAGTATGTATGTAATTGATTCATGATTGAATTACAGATGTTATGCATTTATAACAAATATGAGGATTCAAAATACACTGAAATTGACTTAGCAATAACTAATATAGTTTTTACGTTTGTTTGATTTAACAATCTTTTAGACTGTGGATTTTTATGCAAAATGATATTTTCTAAAGCAATTTATACAGGGAAGAGCAAATGTTAGGAATTTCTTTCTTTCCTTAAGAATTATATTAGGTTTGGAATAAACTAGAAAACCAATTGGATCTGATGAAAGTTTTGTACTTTACTGTATTTTACAGACTCCAATAGGCTATAAATGCATAAAATCCGCAGTCTACTTATAACAGATAAAACAAATTCTTTCACTTTGGATTATATAAAATGGACAGGCAGTCTGCATAACGTGAAAACGAAACATGTGTAACAATTATTATACAAATAAACGAACATATAAAAAATACCTGTCAAATGTAACAGGTGTCATAATTTTATTACTGACTGATGTCACGACATTTCCATTTCCAAATGAATACATATTTTACGTAGTAGATGATACGACAGTAATAAATATAATATTTTTATATATTGTCAAAGAATGTGTGGAAACACAGAGTTTAGAAAGTTTCTTTTCCGATGCATTTTCTAAAATTAGGACAGTTTAGCATAACATTATGCAAATGGTGTATCTCAAACGATCGAGCAATACGTTAATTTTTTGTGAGAGGAATCTAAATTAAACAATCAATCTATTTAATGACATATTGAAGTATTTTCTGGTAACGTTTACTATTCTATTTCAGAATAACTAAGAGAAAACAAACGTAGATCGTCATACTTACCAGCCATGATTGTCACTGTACGAGTCACGTCGTCCAGTTTGCTTATGAGGTGATATGTTTATATAGGGTGGCCCAAACATGCGTTCTGGAATCGACATAAGTAAAACTTACAATTTGTTTCTATTATTTCCTTTAAACTATGTTAATATGTAGGCAGGAATCATAAATATATTCAAATTGTTTTATAAATGTGGATAACGTCTATAAAGATACGCATATAAACGTTTCTGTACCATTCTGTACGTTTGCGATTCTATCTTAGTGGGGGAAGGTGAGCAAAGTTTAAATAATGCCGGACTAAAGTACATCGAGGAATATATTTGTATAATGGATTGCATAAAAACGATTCGAATTACAACAAATGTAACCGATTTAAATTACACTTTCTTGTCTCGCCGAACTTTATTAATATCTTAATAATAAAGTGGATTTTATGTATTTATAACATATAAATACAATTGTCTAACCTCATTGTAAATTGTTTCATACGATTTGATGAGATTTTTATTTTGTTTGAAACCAAATAAAACCCGTAATAAACCTATTTATGTTTTGATAAACAGTCGAAAAACTTATGAGTGTTTGTATATATGTATAATATATATGTATATATTATATATAATATGTATATATTATGTTCATATATATTTAGTACATAATTGAAATTTTTGTGTCATAATTGGAATTTCGTACCGTAAACGAATAACCTTATGAATAAAATATTCGAGAAGTGTTTTCAAATGGAATGTTCTACTGCTTTTTTCGTGGCACTCCGTATATGAGACTATCGATAAAAGAATTCTTGGTTGACTGCGATATATCGAATCGTTCGATAGAACCTGTTGCTAGTAAAAGTTCCGTTTGGTAAAGTAACTTATACAAAGTTGTGCGTTAATGTTTGTAGTAAATGCCCAAAATAAGATTGTGTACAATAAGTCATTAATTTATAAAAAGTGTACTTGATAAGTCAGTGGAAACAGAAACATGGAGAGGAGTTTAGAAAGAACGCTCGACGACGTGTAAGTTGAACACAAAGAATCCTATGTTATAAAAAAACGAAGTATAAAGGTTCACATTATTGTTTGCGGTGGAACTCTTTACAATTGTTTTGTCATTATTGATATTGAATTATAGTACTAATTTGTTATGCACTTTGACTCGCAATGAGTGTAATGAATTTTCGATTAACCTTTTTCAGCTAACAAATTAATATTACTTAATATCAAAAGTGAGATTTTATATATGATAATATATTGTGTATGATAATATATTGTTAATTTTTTATTTTGTAGAAACAATGTAGAGGGTATTATTGGTTGCGTCTTGGCTGATCATGCAGGATTATGTTTAGGAGGTATTTTTTTCCAAGTGTATTTAATTTTTCAAATCACATAAATGAAACAGTAAGAATGATATAGACATATATTTCAGCTAAAGGAAATGCATCTACAGAGAGTGCAGGAATAATTGCAGCTATTGCGGACCAAGTTGCAAAATTGGAACCTAAATCTCCAGCTCCTATTGTAGCTCTTCAGAATGATAGCAGGTAAATGAAAAAGTTTATATAATTTAATATTTAATGTTAGACATTATTACTAAAAATTTAACATAAAGTTTTAAACGGTTAACTAAGAAATTTATTAAAATACTGAAACTCAATAAGTTCTTCCAAGTTGTGCTAAATTAGAAATACAAAAGAATATTATAAACAATTTTATAGGAAGTGCCTTATACAACGCCAAGGTCCTGTTGTAGGTGCAATTTATAAGGATGTCTCTGCATAAATAACTTTTGTTACTCCAACTAATAATAATGATTACATTTAAACTAAACTTCATTATGTTTAGAATTATCTTGATGTTTTATTTTTTATAAAATTATTTACTCAGAGTAAATGTAGTACGATATTCGTCGAGATAGGATAATTTGTACTTGGTCAATCTGAAGTATAACAGTGTAGAAAATACATAATTATTAAAATTTAGAAGATTTACATAATTTCCGCGTTGCAGCACCCTTGTAGATAATTTTGTATGTAAATATCAATAAACCATTATTATTAACAGAGTTAAGGTCAATCACTCTTCTTGTGTCGATTTCTTCTTTCATACCACTTGTTTGTACCAAGTCTGATTAGATCATGATGCTCGTAAATCCATGATACGAGGACAATTATAAACATGATCACACCAATGACTAGATGCAAGACTTTTTCATCGGGAAAGAAATAAGCCTAGAACAAACAGATACTAGAATGTAGTAACAAATTTTTAATCGTATATAGAAGATAAAAAGATAATTTTTTTACATGAGACACGTTTGTGATTAACGCTGCTACAAGAAGAGAAGCAGAGAACATAGGTTTTGGCACTAATCCACGTAATGGACGGTATATCGTGTCTTTATATCTCCTATTAATAAAAATTATAGAATGAAAGATTCTTAAGCTCATGTTCACACAATTTCCAAGAATAAAGCCAACAGGACCAAACCAAATAGCAAACAAATATGATGCACCCAAAAATGCAATTGATTCATAGATCATAATTAAGTTGCTCTTGTTTATAGTCCCGCTGTCAGCTGTAGCATTAGTGTAACACTCTGTTACACCATTTATTCCCAAAAGTAGAATCGCTAAACAATGTGCTCGCATCAGAAGTATAGGCAGATATGAAGTTAATTTTGTACCACCATACAACCATAATAGGGTGCTTGAGTACGATTGTCCAAATACTAGTACCACTAAACCAATAGATGTAACTGCTGAGCACATGTGTGTTAGAACATTTACACTCTCCTGAACTTTTATCTAGAAGACATATCCTTTGTTACTTAATCTATAGCAGAGAAATTCATATTGCATTTAAATTTTTTACCTAGTACTACTTACAGGACTTTGATCACTGATTTCTTTATCTCGTTTAATCATTTGGGTGAAATAAAAGTATCCACTTTCTTCTATTGGACGGAAAATGAATCTTGCCGCTAAAGAACCTAAATTATTCACAATTTCATATGTTCCCTGTATAAATAAGAATAGAAAATTAATGCTGACTACAGAACTTACAAGTGAATAGTAATTGTGAACTATATACCTGTTCAGTAAATGTTAATACTGGCATTACTGTCATAATTAATCTTTCTCCCTCTGTCAAAATTTGTTTTAGAATTCCTTGTCTAAAGAAACTCCAAGTAAGAATAGATAATTTTTTATCTAAATACGGTCCCTGAAAGATAGATGATCTTATATATTTGGAATATAAAGCAGGGCTTTAGTACATACTTTATTTTCCAGCTGTCCAGGTAGAAAATCCTTTACTGCTCGAAATGGGAATTCTCTCACAACATATTCATCACTGTTATCTTTTAGTGACATTCTTCGCTTTAACTTATATTTATTAATATTTTTAATATAATAATGAAAATATGCATAGTGACTAGTAGTATAAAAAATTGCTGCAACTAGTTGAGCTACACCAAATGCAAACAATGCATTCTCTGGATTGTATAGTATTAATGGAACAAATGTTAAAGTACGAATAGCAATCATGATCGTATCAAGAATAATCTGTAACATTCAGTAATCACCAAAATATTCAAAACTAAGTAACATCTTTTTAAAGAAACACTTACTTTTAATCTAACAAACAAATATGCAGTAGCAACCAGCTGAACAATTAAAGATGACAAATCAATGATACAAGAAAGAGCAACTGCCCAAACTGCAAATACATAATACGATGGTAATGCTTCGGATGCTGATAAGACAAAGAGCCAAATGTATCCAAATGTTACAGACATTACACAACATATAGGAACCCTGAAAATAGATTCAAAATTAGTGCTTTATCAAATATAAAAGATTGCTTCCTTTGTAATATATCAATATCAGAAACTAACGTCATCCATAACAGATTAACAACTTGTGCCCAATTATGTTCTGCCGTATTAGTTAAGCATGCTTTCATAAATGGTTCCCGAGATAAGAACAAGATCATTGACTCCAATAACAGCAACCGTACATTTATTACTCCTAAAACTGCTTGACCAACATGTCGAACGACGAAAGCATTCAAAACAAATGTAACACCACGACATAGTATCTACAAAAAAAAGAGCATTATAATTTCTTTACGGGATACTAATGCATCAAAATCTTCAAACATATAAGAAAAATAAGTCGAAAGTAATAATGGCAGATCGCGTTTATAAATACGGTACAAACTTTTTATTCAATTTGTGATAGCAATCATCGTTATAAAATAATATGTTATATTGATATAATGAATGTGTAATAATTTATTACGTTGACAAAATACCTGAAATATAATATTGAAGGAAGCATTTTCCAAGCTGCTTTTCAAAATGTTTTGAGACATTTTTACGGTCGAAAATGCAGATGTTTTCGAGATTCCCGCCCAAAGCGGTGTCAATGAAATTGCAAGGTTATGTGAATACTTTAATAATACCTAAAACATTGAATCAATCATTTTCTCAGATATTCCATTCGTACTCTCGACTGGCCAGAATGCAGCAAATACAAAAGCCAAGAATTTCCTCATACTGCATCTAACAGCTTTCATGACGTAATTGCGTCGCGATTTCCTATATATATATATATATATATATGCTAGGTACCTAGTAATTTTCTGTCACGCTTCATCTATTTAAGCTAGTGAGAAAGCGCTCTCAAAACAAAAGCTCTTTCTAACCCTGAGGACAGTACTGACAGTAGTCCTTCAAGACCATTCGAGACTCGTAGGACTATAGAGGTTAGGTTCAGTCTCGCTAGCAGACTACAAAAGTGGGGTCAAGAATTAAAACGATAAGTAGGATGATTATCTGATAAAGTGATGTTGTTACGTAAAAAACACACGTGTTTCGGGATTTTGCGTATTAATTGTATTTATGTGAGTGAAAGAATAGAAATTTGTAACTAAAACTTAAGAAATTGTTCCTGTTGTGATCAATCGATTGCTCATCATACAATGATTTTTTATTTAATTTCACAACATGTTTAACAAGTGGCTTAACACATTGTGAAATTAAATAAAGACCACACAACGTGTGAAAATGTTAAGTCTGTAGGAAAATACGTAGTAACCAGACATGTTGGACAAAGAAAATTCTATGGATTGTATGAGCGCGAAGAATTTGTTCCTTACATCGCTCATCGTAAGTAAACCAAAGTTTTATTATAATCTACGGTTTGTAATTTATTCTTCTTGCTAGAAAACTGTGTACAGACCCAAAATATGAATCGATTTTACAATTAAGTAAATTAAAGATGGACTTGGGCAATTATATTATGGAAATAGAAATTGCCAGTTTTATCATTAATTTGACATAACATTTATACCTATATTAATTTTTTTATAATATTAACAATTTAAGCGCGAATTACATTTAATGATGTCCACTACGTTTTACGGAAATGAATTGCTGCTTGTAATTGAAATATAGAAAATTATATTTATTAGTACATCCGCTATTATCATCTATATTATACAGATATATATAATTTGCCTTTTTATCAGATGCGTTGCAAATGATTATTTTGCGTTTATGACAGTCAGGTGCCTTCGCAGGAACCATTTGTGACGTGACATTTTATCCTTTGGATACACTTAAAACACGTTTACAAAGTCAACATGGTTTTGTTAAATCTGGTGGGTTTAAACGACTGTATCAAGGGTTAGGTCCTGTGATGATAGGATCCGCCCCGTCGGGTAAGTTTTAATCAAGCCGAAATCACGAAAGTTTAGACGCATCGTAATAATTTTCAAAATTTGCAAACACATGGCTTTCATTTATCAGTAAAAGATCGAGAATATTATTGTTCCGTCCAGTTCTTCTCAAATGTCTTCGATTAGATTCAAATTCTGTAATTGTGTAGGTAATGTTGGAACTGTATAAGATGTAGACTTTCGCATTCAAGTAACTGTATATCGCACTAATCATTACAATTTTAAATTAATAAACGCAATTGCTTGTAGCTGCGATATTTTTTGTGACTTACGAAGGGATAAAGAAAGTATTTCAACCACAGATACCTCCACAGTATTACTCACTTATACATATGACTGCCGCGGCAACGGGAGAAACGGTAAAATTATTTATATGATTTTCAATGTTTAAAATACACATTTAGACAAATATCGACCGACTTATACCATTTGAATATCTGGAGGTTTCTCTAACAGGTCGCGTGCCTTATTCGAGTTCCAGTAGAAGTAGTAAAACAAAGGAAACAAGCGCTTTTATGTGACGAACACAGATTACCATTAAAAACTTTGTATCGTGGTTACGGAAGTACCGTTCTTCGTGATTTACCATTTGGTTTAGTTCAAATGCCACTCTGGGAATATTTTAAACTTTGTTGGAAAAGACACGTAGACCGTGAATGCACGCCCGTAGAAAGTGCTATCTGCGGATCGGTATCAGGTACAAAAGAAGTTAATGTGAACAGATATTTACGACCGTTGGGTTTAATGAAATATTTACGTAAACGTTAATTTTTCTAGTTGCCATATCTGCAGCTATGACAACGCCTTTAGACGTTGCGAAAACTAGAATAATGTTGTCGAATACATCAGCGGATAAAGAGGAAGTAAAGGTCTCGATAATGTTAAGGGAAGTTTACCGCGAATGTGGTGCCAAAGGGTACGTAATTAACAGCATTCAACAATATTTATTATATAATAATTATTGGCAAATGTCTCCAGGCTGTTTGCAGGTTTTCTTCCAAGAGTGGGTGGCTTTACTATTAGCGGATTTGTTTTTTTCGGTGTTTATGAGAAAATTAGAGAAATTTGTATGGCCGTTTTGCCATCATAATGTCACAAATAAATATGCCATATGGTCTGTTTAGTAACAGATACACTTCTTGTCAGATGCACAATATACAGCCAAGCACAATGCAATGAAGTAATTATTAGTGCAGATTATTCTAACAAAATGTAAGGTCATTGTAATGAAATATTTATAATTGTTTTGTTTTCTAAATACTATCTTTTATTGCAGCTCTGTGGGGGATCACGATTCATATCTTAATCAATTTTCTTATGCTAAACAAAGGCACTGAGCAAAGTATATACAGCAAATTTAAAAATATTTCCACAGTTCTATTAGTAACAGCACATGCTAAAACTTCTAATACAATCCGTCTTTAATTCTAAGTATAAGTATATATATTAAGATAAACTGCATTTGCTATAACGTTATCTTCTTTTCAGAGATATTACATACATTGTGGAAAAATAAAAGCAATATTTAAAAAATGAAAAATATATTTAAAAAGTAGTATTTAAAGGTACAGATTTCTTTTACATGTATGGTAATAGTGTATCAAAAGCTTAGTACATTGCATATCAATTTGCATTTATAATATACACTTACACAAGTGAATTGTAACAACATTTAATACTGATTCTGTTATGTCAGTGAACAACAACGTGATCTTTTTGGCTCGATACGTATGTCAAATGCGTCTACTATATTTTGTATATTGTTTGGGTCAGACATAAAGTCTTGTGCAATTTCATTGAACATCTCATCTATAAGAATAAATTAATGATATAACACACAAATCTTACAGCATTGATCTAACTGTAATATGTATCCTTACCAACATTTTCCCCAGTTTTACTAGATGTTATAAAGAGCTTAGCTTGAATGCCTGCAGCATATGTTTCCACAACATCTATGTCAGGAGATGGAACTGCACCATGCTCTAAGAGATCTTTCTTTGTTGCACAAATATATATCTTACATCCTTCTTCCACACTTCTAAGTTCTCTTATCCAGAATTTTGCTCTTTGAAAGGTATTTGATTGTGTAAGATCATAACACACTACAGCTGCTTTTGCACCACGGTAATAAATTCTAGTCATTGCTTCATATCTACAAATACATATGAAGCTTCTTATGAAACAATGTATCCTTCAACCAAACTGGAAGCATTATTTTGTATTTTTTTTAGTCTTCTTCATAATTGTATCTTAACTGCTTACTTCTCACTGCCTGCTGTATCCCATATTCCCATGATAATTGACTTCTCATTGTGCTCTATTTGCTTAGATGCAAATGCAGCGCCTATAGTCTAAGGAAAGTGGAACTGAGTTAATTTGTTTTATGATGCACCTCTTAGATGATTCTCAGCGTAAATTTTAATGACTTTATTTTAGAATATTCCTTCCATGCCACGGACTAAGAGAAACAAGACGATCTAAATTAGTACAAATGCTAGATCAAGCAAATTTTTGTCAATTCGTATAAAATTCTAGAATGGCAATTTTCTGTGATCTAACATCTAATAAAAAATCTTAATATAAATTTTCATGAAACGCATGTTACGTTAAATTGTTCTGAAAAACTTGATACTATTTGATCCCACGCATACCTCCAAAAATAACCTGGTTCAAAGTACATTTTTTTGTATGCGTACTCACGTTTTGATAGGAGAGTTTTTCGTTAAATCTTTCATTAACGAAACGTTCTACGAGACTCGTTTTTCCGACAGCGGCATGGCCTAACAAAACAACTTTCAAATCGACGCGCTTCATGTCTAAATAACGTTGGAACTTCCCAAATACAAATACGTTATCGTTAAGTTAAATAAACACTGCTCCTTTTTGCAACATTTAGGTTAGAGTATTTTCAATCAGCAATGCGTGAAAAATTAATCGGTAATTGCGAATGTAATAGATAAAACTCGAAACGGTTCAGTTGACATTTGATACGAAAGGCTATCCCATTAATGATTCAGCATTATCTGTGGTTATCTGTTCGATAATGGCAATTCAAATGAATGATTCATTTATTACTTTTGTTATAGATGGCGCTTTCATATTTTTAACAATTTAAATTATTAATACGTAATTTAAAGCTTTCTGATGTTATGTAACAAATTACAATTAATTAGTATTAAACTTGAACCAGTATTGAAAAATAATGACTATATTTCGAACGATTGGTTTGCTTTTCCTTAAATTTTTCTAGACACTTCTAAGTGTACTTTTATAACATTGAAAATCAATACTACAACAAAAATAAACCTAGAATCTAGTCAATATTTTTCATATATGTGTGAAGTTCTTACTTTGTGATAAACTTGTTTATCTTCACTTAGCTTTTCCTTGTGCAGCGACTGCAGCAATTGCAGCCTTCACAGTTTCTTCATCCCCTAAGAACTTCATAGACACAACAGGCTTAAAGTTTTCGTCTAATTCATAAACAAATGGAATACCAGTTGGTAGATTCAAGCCCATGATCTCATCATTGCTCATCTCTGAAATAAGTCATTAGTATAATAAATTTCAAATGCCTCTTATATATTTAATAAATGTAGAAGCTTACGATCCAAGTGCTTGACAATCCCACGTAAACTGTTTCCATGGGCAGCAATAATAATCTTCTTTCCTTCCTTGAGTTGTGGAATAATAGTATTATTCCAATATGGCAATGTTCTTTCAATTGTTAGTTTTAGGGACTCAAATTTAGGAAAGTCCTCAGGTTTTAGTTCACCAGCATATCTTGCATCCTTTACTATTGTATCATAATATTTATGATCAGGTTCCATTGGTGGAGGAGGCACATCAAAAGATCTCCTCCAAATTTGTACTTGTTCTTCACCATATTTGGCAGCTGTTTCAGCTTTATTCATTCCAGTTAAACCACCATAATGACGCTCATTTAACCGCCATGTCTTACAAACTGGAATGTTTTCTTGGCCAGATTCTTTAAGAATTGATTTCAGAGTTTCTTGAGCTCTTGTCAGCACAGATGTATGAGCAATATCGAAAGTTAATCCTGCATCTTTTACCGCTTTTCCAGCAGAAACTGCTTCACTTTTACCTAATATTACAGATATACATGATTAGATATTTATCAGTAAGGTTAAAGGTTAATCTACTCGTACAACTGTGATAAATATGTAATTATGAAAACACTTGTATAATACGTGTGTACGAAAGAAATTCTCGCGAAATTTATGGTTATATTAAGTTACAAAAAGCAATTTGAAAATTCATGAATACAGATATACATGTTATGTAGTGACTAACTGAATAATCGGAGTATTTATTTATCGTTTTAAATGTATAATGATATAAAAAATGTATTCATATATGATATGTATACAAATTTTGGACATAAGGAACCTAACATTTCATGACATTTCATCGGCTCGACCTTTTGCCCTTGAAGATTCCTCTGAAGAGTCTCTCAAACTTACTTACCCTTATCAGATAAATTGGCATCGTACCATCCACAAAACAAGTTTAACTTATTCCATTCGCTTTCGCCATGGCGTACCATAACAATCGTGTATTTTGACATTTTTGTGTTACAAGAGTTAATATTACGTGAAGAAGAAGCACGGTCGACGAGCGACGATCTCGGAGTCACAATGGTTTTGCACGACTGTTTCAGCAGAAAGCCCCCACCACCTGTCACCAATTTTGATCGCGTGAATGCTTCATTTAAAATTTTATAGAAAAGCATTTTGTTGCATATCGATTACAGTTACGCATGATATTTTTATGGAGAATCAAAAATTTTCATTTACCAAAGAAAATCGTTCTAAATCATATATGGTTAGGCGTAACACAGCGAGTTTACTAATCACCTTGACAGTTGTCTCTTCGAAAATATTTACTGTTTATTTACGATTGATATTTAATTCTGTAGTTTTCTTATTTATAACTTAACAAACATATTTTACAATTATTGTGTATAGTACCGGTTAAATAATGTTTCCCGACACTTTTTGTTATATATTTACATATAAATAGTATTTGAAATGTATACACATGAGACATTTGTTCTTTATGACAAATGATGATAAATAACCCAGTTTATACGGAAAGACGTATATACATAATGTCTATATAAGTAATTTTAGTAGCTTCATAAACTCTAACAGCAAATACATTTTCTCGTTAATAAAGAATTCTTGCTTATTCGAACAAGAAAATAATTCGCGCCAGCGTAGCCGACAGTCAGTACTAGTCAGTACTCCTTCTTGTACATAAATGTATATATTGTTACATATATATATATATATACATTGTAGGATATAGCCATTACATTCGATAAGATACGAATAATATTTCAGAATCGTTCAATAACGATAAATACATTGTAATAAAAATCAGTCTTGATTTTGTGTATATACCTAATCCTCAGAAGTATACAATTTCCTTTTCCTGTTGGATTGGATTCACGGTATATGTATAGCTGAACATAAGTAGGATAACCTTTGTAAAAATGCCAAGTATCAATGAAACGTTCAAATTTGTATTGATATAATGTTACGAAAAGGAGAAATAAATTTTTATCATTTGTTAACAGCATTTACTTGTAGAAAAGATTAGACAGTGCATATAATGGAACTTTCAAATGAACAGAAAGTTAATAATTCTTTAGTGTTGAATAAAGACTTTCTGCAAACTTTGTGCAACTGGAAAATCACTAATAATAAACAATTTCATGATGTTTTCACTACGACTACGTCGTCTAAAGAAGAGGAAAAGTAACGAAAATTTATCTTAAAAATATATTAATGTTTTGAACAATCTCATATTTAAAGAAATAAAATATTTGTAAAACTTTTATGTAAATATTCGGTGATATTAAAACAACAATATAATCATCTTTGCAGAACCAATATTGATGACATAGTAAACTTGTACACATGCATTTCTTTACAACCAACTCAGTCCACTAATGAATCATGTATGTTGGAAATAAAGCTATCTAATCGTCAAAAAATATCCTGTATTGCCATAGTTTCAGAGGCATATGTCTTAGAGGTTTTCAAAGAATCTGGAGAATATAAGACAACAATATTTGCGGAATTGGTGGACGAGTTTCAGGATAATTCTGTTTACTTGGCAGAAACAAAATTCATTCCACCAACTTCAGAAGCTAGTATAAAGGTATACAATCATTTGCAATAAACTTTCAAAAGTTTTTGCAAAAAGTTACCTAATTTGGGATATTCATTTTAGTTCACAAAAACAAAGAGTAAAGATTCAGTCATTTGGGTGTATGGTATAATGCTATATTTAACAGAACCCACTAATGAGTCTACAAGTTCACCTACAGATATATTCAATCCTGAAATTATAAAGCACTTCCTATCTAAACTGTCTTTCAATAATGTGGATAATAATGCTGCTGTTGGTGTTCAGTCATGTTACAAAAATATTTTGAACTCATCGAAAAGTAGACTTATTGAAGAAGAGAATAAAGAAGACGTAGCTCAATGCATCAATGATAATGCTGGATTGAATATGGACATTAAGATGTATATTGATAACAAGTTCCATGATATAGAGATAAAACTAATGAAGAGAATCGATGAAATGGAACAAAGAACCAATGAAAAATTAGATAGTATTTCAAAACAATTAGAAATTCACTTTAACTCAAAGTGATGTAACTTTATATAACTTAAATGTACGAGCTGTACTTGTAAACAATCAAAACATTAATTTAATGTAATTTAGCACGTAAAGTGAAAAGGAAACAAAAGATTTTGAAAATAATACTGTTTTTTAATTTTTGTTTCTAAATGATTTTTGTGTGCCTCCATGCATATTTACATCTATTTTTTTTACACATAGTAGTTACATGTATTTGTATATAAATTAAATAATTTGATTAGCACAAAATTTCAAATTAACAGTCTTACATACTGCATTTACCATACACAGTTCTTATTTTACAGTGCAATATTCTTTTTTAATGCATACAAATAGTTGTGTGTAAAAGCGTACCAGAATTTACATTATATTTTACCTAATCCTTTTATGTTAACAGATTTTATACATACATACATATATATTGTATATATGTATAAAATACATAAAATCATAATAAACAGTAGAAAACTACACATATGTGTAACAAAATAAATTTCAAATATAACTAGATTTCAATCAGTACTACTATCTTGTGGAGGGTCCCACTGATGAAGCTGTTTCCTCCACAATCTCATCATGCCATCCCATCCTCTTCTACTATATTTAATATACTTAGGAGGTGTTTTTGGATGTTCTCTCGTACGTTTTTCTCTAAAATAGATACAATTATTAGAGTGAAATATTTTACCATATACTTTTAATGATACCCTTATTTATAGAATCCTTACTTAGGCACAGCCTGAATGTATCTATCATACCCAATGGTATTTTTTCCATAATCTATTTCCTTTTGCCTACGTGACAATACTTGAGGATCTGTTTCGTATTCTACACGTTTTTTACTGCTGTCTGAAGAATTTGTAGTAGAACTAGAATCACTGTAACATCTACTTCGAGAAACTTTTGTATCTTCCTGTTGCATGTTACACTCTCTAGGTCTCTTGCGAAAACAATGTAAATCTCCTGGTATATTTTTTACGTTATCTTCATACTTTATGATATTTGGTGTTACTGTAATATTACTAACATATTCTGTTGAATTAGTAATCTTGTGTTTCTGACCATTGGTGACATGAACCTTATCTTCAAGCAATTGTGGTCTCAAATAATCTTGAGCAACTATACTTTCCTTACTGGTCTCTATTATCTTGCAAAGTTCATTTGAACTCATACAGATAGCTTCATTAAGAAGAGCATCATCTTCATCTGTTAATTTCACCAAAGTCTTTTCTATGCCTGGATCCATTTTAATTAAATTATAGAAAATATTTTTAATAAAACCTACAAGTAAAAAATAATATAAAGTAAATCTACATATAAATTTATCAAGACATTACAATCAAACGTGAAGTAAATAATATCTTGCCTAATAAAAATAACCTAAACGAGGACTATATATTTTGGATTTGAATAGAACGGAAAATCGTTAATCATACATTCTCACAATATGTGCAAAAACTTATTAATTTATTTTTTCTTCTGAGATAATGAAACGTAGAAATGTTGAATTCCCTGAACGATTGCACTTCATTTAAACGATCAACGTTACGAATTTCTGCTTGTTTCTGCTGTGCGCGGGATGCGCGCCTTTTCTGACAGCCTGTTATTCCTGGTTATTCCCACAACGGTTGTGGCACAACCCCTTAGGCTGCCTTAGGCATTGGGATACGTTCGTTAAGCTTGGTTAAGCTCACCTTCCAAGTCGTAGACAGAAACGGCAGAAATCTTTTTGAGAAGACTCAAGAAGAATTCAATTCTATCGAACTTTTTAATGAATCACTTAAAAAGTTTAATACATTTACTATCAGCATAATAGCTATGTATGTCCAAAATGTTATTATTTATGTTTCTTTACATATAACATAGTAATAATGTGGTTTATATCTTATATCAACTTAATATTTCTTTTTTTGTATTTGAACATTAGAAAATGTCTGTAAAATGTAGCATAGGCATGTATAATAGACTGCGTGGTCTTATGGTAGGGATGAAGTAGGCAATCACAGAGAGGACAATAACTGGAGTATCTTTCTTCTTTTTTCAATGGGGCTGTCGGTGGGGGATTGTCCTACAATCCTTCTCCTTATCACCCTCCAATCGTTTTTATCCGTCCTTCTGCGATGTGCAAGCAAGAGAGGAACTACTCCAGTGCTGTTTCAGTCTTTCGGTCTCGCTTCACCCTACCATAAGACCGCGCAGTCTATTATATATATGATATATGCTGTGAAGTGCTATGAAGTATTCATTCCAACCAATTCAAACAGTGAATTCAATTCTTGGAAGAACGTGGAAAGTATTTTTAATTTGCTATTAGTATTTTAATTGTTGTAATTAATTATAATGACGTATATGTAAGACGTCATGATGAATGATTGGTAAATAATCTTCGTATCAATTTCGGCAGTAAGTGGAATAAAAAGCTGTCATTTTATAGGTGGACTTCTTAATAAACGTATGTGTAATACATAGTTTTTGTCATGTTTTTATTAATAATTGGGATTGTTTACTGACAGAACCATTTGCTTAGGTTAACAAACGCATTTATTAAATGTTATTCGTTCTTTTCTTAGAGTTGTAATTGAGGTAGTTTTGATGTTACACAGAAGGATATTTTTGTTATGAATATAAGTGTAATTATTAGTTTTTTTTCAGAATTACAAAATACATTCATCTGTAATAGTGTACATGTAAATCGACTGTGTGCAAAATGCCACCAAAACCAGCAAAGGTTATATTTTATTATCTTTATATTTACGAAATAAGGAATTACAGAAATTAATTATTTTGGTGACAATCGTTTATTTGTTCCCTTGTTATCAATAAAGTATTACATATATTGTTCATTTAAATTACAGGAAACATTGATATTCTTAATGAATATAGGAGTAACATCTTCTGATAAACAAAGTAATCCATCCTTGATTGAGAAGGCTAAACATATTATGAAGAGAATTGTTGAAAGGAAGGTACGGAACAAGTCTTATTTTACTATTTTCAATTTTATGTCATTTACATCTCTTGTGATTGAAAACAATGAGCTGATATGAAAAAGTATAATTATTTCCCAAATTGATTTACAGATCTTTCTGCAACCAAAGCATGAAATTGGAGTTATATTGATGGGTTCTTCTATTACAAAGAACAGCTTAGATACAGAACACGTGGAAGAATTTTTAGATATTCAGATACCAAATTGGAACATGATAGAGAAAATTATGCTTCTACAAGCCACAAACTATTGTTCCAATTGGGTAGAAGCACTTATTGCGACAGTCAACTATATGAAGAAAAAGGTGTACGTTAAAAAAGCGTATTTAACTTGATTATCCATTTCAATTCTTATCTGTATTTTATTTCAGTATTGATGCTTGCTTGAGAAAAGTAATTCTTATGTCAGATTTTAACGAGGAAGAAGATATTATCTCACAGTTTCAGATAGATGAAATTGCAGACATAATTTCTACAAGCGAAATTGGTTTGCTTTCAATGTATAAGAAACATTAATCATAATTCTACTTTATTATAAAATGTGCCTCATGTAATCTCAAGCACATAATTTTATTCTGTTCCTTTTAGAGGTGAAAAATCATTAGATGAAACTTCTCTTAATATCAGCAAGCAGTTTCTTAAGGCTTTACTCACGAAGGTAACATTTACCATAACATTTATCTTCGCAACATATTTCAGGAAGAGAGATTTATGAATTATTCATTGTTAAATAGATTAAGGGTCAACATATAATATTTGATAATGCTATATCAGACTACAGATTTTATGAGCAAGTACCAACAAATCCTATGCCATGGAATGCTACCTTAGAATTAATTGACATAAAGATACCAATTGCTAATTACTTGAAAGTGAGAATAAATTCTAAGCTTAATGACTTGTATGTACCAAATTATAGAATTATTTTAATTAAGTGGGATATATTGTGGCAGGTAACTGATGATAAAAAATTTCCGTCATGGAAATTGGCAAAGGAGAAAAAATCACTTAAATCGGTAGTACGGTACTTGGACCGGCAGAGAACAAACTATAAAAGAGATGAAATTGTAGCAGGCTACAAATATGGGGGAGAGTTTGTTTCAATCAATGGTACATCAGTAACTTGTTTAATTATTATTAATTACATGTACAAATAACCACACCCAAGATTGTTTTCGTAAATACAGATGAATCTTTGCGTTATAAAAGCGGACCGCAAAACTATAGTATTTGCAGTTTTACAAGCAGAGATAATATTGATTTGGAGTACTGGTACGACAAAACTACGCGAGTTGTTTTACCTTCGCCTCGAGTGGAAGTATGTCTGGCCATTTTAGATTTAGTTGAAAATTTAGAGCTAATAATGTGTTTGTGTCGGAATTTTTTAGTACGCGGCTAGGCCATTTTACAATTTGGTCCAAGCGATGCATAATAGAAATTTGGTCGCCATTGTAAGAAAAGTTTATAGAGAGAATAGTGCACCTCAAATGGTAGCATTATTCCCATGTATTGATGTTCCAGATGAACCATGGGTATTGTAAAATATTTTTTCGAATTATCTTCTCTAGTGTTTATGGTTAAAGTATTAAATATTATTCTTGTATTAATTTGCAGTGTCTGGTAGAGATAGCATTAGCATTTGCAGAAGACAGAAGAGTGATAGAGACGAGACCCATGAAGTCTGTTATTAAACAGTTAACAAATGAACAAAACGAAGCTGTAGATAATTTATTAGACTCGTTAATGCTACCCGATACAGAGCAAGTATAGTTAAAAACTGTAAGATTACACAATGTCATTTTATTATCTTTTCACGTATTTTTGTATAGAGACAGTTACGAAGCGGATGGACGTCACTGTTTCCTACCAGGATGCGAGCCTGATCCAGCATTACAGCACAAGTGGCACATGTTATCTTATCGCGCACTTCATCCCAATGAACCGTTACCACTTATGGACAATTATTTAAAAGAAGTTCTGGAAGATTCATCGTTGAAAGAGAATAGTAAATATCATTTACAGAAAATCGCGAAATTATTCAAGTTGGAAAGCATAGAGCCCAAAAAGACTCGAAGGTAGGAATTTTCTTGTACAGTACGATAAGTAGGTGTATAAATAAGGAAATAACAAAAAATATGTTCAATACAGGGATGCATCCAAGGAAGAAGATAATATTCAGAATGTTGACATGACTAATGTCGAAGAGTCTGTGAAAATGGATGATAAGTTTGATGCAATGGACTCTTTTGACGAATCAGTTATGTCCTTGGATACCTCGGATATTGATGTGGCTGACTTGGTAATATATATATATGAAGAAATTAAAATATAAGTAATTGACCTACTTAACATTTCTATTTCAGGCGGACAACATATAGTAATAGTGTTTGGAATTCCTCTGTCAATGAAATTTCGTAAAGAGATTAATCTTATAAAGTCGTCATCTACTTGACGCATTGCCTTCCTCTTAAGTAGACTATAAGCGAGTAAAATATTTTTGTACTTATAGACGTATTATGAAAAATATTGTACAGAAGGGGTCATGAAATAAAGTGGAATAATAATTGGAAGAAAAGTAATCCTTGAGACGAAGCCCACCACAAATTGATGACACTATCCAGTCTGAATATGGGAAGGACGAGGTTGCGTCTGCCCACGTTACACCCACTCCGTTTGTCATCACCGTCCAAAATTTCTAGCTACATATGTATATGATCCACAGCATGAAGGGAAATGTTCATAAACATTGTAATTATTGTACATCAAATTATCTAGGTCAGTTGAATGGAACCATAATTGTTTCTTCTATAAAACAGGAAAAACTGTGATTATCTCTTTGGCGATTTCTGTCTACCTGAAGAGGATAAAAAATAACACAAAAGTGCAGTTGTATAGTTAAAATATTTCAATTTTTTAAATGTGAATCAATTGAGCGAAGTACAAGATAATAGTGACTGGCTCAGTTGATTGCTGATACTGTTAGGTCCGTGGCTTTTGACGCGTCCTGTATAATATAACGGCACTCACTTTCAGGGCCTACGGGGCGCGGGATCCGCCGCAATCTCAGTCAACGAAGAGACGCCGTCTCGTGTGGATCAACAGGTGCTCCTGCCCGTGTGACCAGCGTTCACCAGCATGGGTGAGTTTTCCGCGAAAGTTTCCCAACGAGCTAACTGACGAAAACTACGAACCCTATGGTCGACATTGAATAACATATTGCGTACTACGACCTGAACCACAGATCGAAGATTAAACCCACGCAATCAGTATCTTGCGTCTTCGTTCAGGTATGCGGGATGATACACGCTGTGGGTACAACCTTTGGCTGTATGCTGACGCTATTCTACTGACATATAACAATAGCATAGAACGTTTCTAAGAATTCTGAATTAGCAGAGTTTTAATTAATTTCCGTAGCAAATTTTTCATAGACTTTATAATTCTTTATGTTAGTTTGCAGGAAGAGGAATATGAAAATTAAGAAACAATGTAAACTGAATTGTAGTATCATTTAAAGAACGTGAAATTTATTGATCTTATATCACTTTTGGTTCTATAATTATTTGATAACTCGAGAGAACTAGACACTGTACCTGTATTAATTGCAAAAATGAAATATGTAAATCATGTTTTTTATGGATTGATTTATAAATTCTAACAGTTTAGTAGACATTTAATGTCGCTTCTCTCTTACTCTGTGATTAACGATGTTTTAAATGTCAGAAAGAGACGTTAGAAGGGAAATGTCACGTTATAATGTGCATGTCCTTGTACAATCACAAATTATCCTATTACTTGCACTGATTGAGGGATCGGAAATGTTAAGTTGTTCGAAGTACAAAACTCAAAGAAAAAACGGCGGATCAGGGATCACTTTCGCAACACACGCGTTTTTACACCTCGTTAAACATTGACCCAGAAAAGAATAAGAACATCTTGTTGCATGATGGTGAAACTGTTTTTTAAAGTTATTCCCATGTCGTCTTTTATACATTGACTTTACGTGTATCATTAAATTATCTTCTTCCTTAATAAGGCTACGACCTGGTGGCTTTAGTTAAGTGTATAAATGTATCTTTCACTGACTCAGCCTTTTGAAAATAGATTCATAATTTGTAAACATAATAAAATAGTACATTCATTTTGGTTCAACTATTAAAAAAATAATACGTTGTTCGATTAAAAATTCAATATAATACACATCTAGTAATTGTCTAAATGGTTTTTTTAAATGTTAATACTTGCAAACTATTATTCTCAAATGTTGCATGCACTTAATCATTTATCTACAGACTATTGATAGCCGATATAATAGTAATGTATATAATTTGTTTTCATATTTATCTAAACAAGCGTCGAATTACGTTATAAAGTGAATATCACCATCAATGAAGTAGCTAGCGTGTTTATGCAAGTGTCATATAAATTGAAATGTCAGAAGGGTATCGGTTCAGCGCAATCTATATCCTGAAACAAGAGCAGCCAGATCGAAACGCACCACGCGGAACTGGCGGCGACCTCGTCGTCCTTGCAGTAGCCGTGGTTGAATGGTGCTTAGGATCAACGCTAGATCAGATGGATAAAAATAATGTCTGTCTGACTGTGTCCTCCCACTCCCTGTTAGATGAAGTCAAAGATCAGTTCAAGGGAACAGATCCTACAGCAGTTACCCAGCTAGTTTGCATTTCTTTTATTAATCATTCATTTATTCGTGGACTCTACTCTTGAAGGTAAAATTAGATATGCAATTTGCAATTACAATGGGTACAAACGTGTCCATTTCTTTTGTGGCGGCATCAATTCTTCCTGTGAAGCACATTTTTCCTCAGGGTTCATTTAAATCCTCATTTTTCTCATGTATATACCTAGTCAGCCAATTGTTTTTTTTTTTTATTTCTACATTTATGTGTACAACTACATTAACCGCTGTCTGCTTTTGTTTTTGAAAAGATCTACTACTACGTCATCCGACATGAAAGTATAAATATATTCGTCTTCTCGGTATCCTTTCTCTGTTGAATATTCATTCAAGTAAACTGGTTGTCTTTTTCTCACTTTGACAAGTATTTGTTTTTTGTCCACCGTATAAAAAGAAATCGAACAACATTGTTTCCTGATCGTGTTTTCGAGAGAATCGAGGGGATAATAATGAAACTAGGAAGGGGTTGGAACCTAATGTTTAAAATATCAAAACTCGAAATTTCTTGAGTTTCGAGGGGTATCGACGTTTCAAGAAATCCCATTCCTACTTGAAACGTTTCAACTGTTTTGGAAAGTTTGATCGCCTCCCCACGACCAAACTCCGTTTAGACTGTTCAAACTTCTCGTGCTCACAGATGACCAAAGATTGTACCTGTGTATGTTTATTCATTATCACAGTAGTGATCCGTTGGAAAAGGGATTGTCTGGCGCGTGAACGGCATTGACTCCCTTTCCAGATATGGCCCAGTTTTCACAGTTTACGTTTCACTTAATAACGGATAGCATGTCCCCGAGCTCACTTGCGTAAGCTTCACCGTTCCGAGTGAAACGTTTTTACACTTTTCTGCGCCACTCGGTCCATGGAAACTAACTTGGGGCATTTGTTTCTTTTTCAGGGACCGCATACGTGTGCAGTGCAGTGGCCGTGCTCGTCGTAAGTCCCACGCTAACACAGCCCGTGAACTTCCTGTTATTCACGCTCCCGGAAGACGCGCGCGCGCGCGCTTGCACGTTGAAATCACTCGAGGAGAAATCTGAATCGACGACGTAACCGCACGTAGACCGAATTCGTTGATCTTTTGGACCTCGGTGTTTATCCTGTTTCTCACGTCGGACCCTGGTGTCACGCGAATTCAGGCGGAAATCTATCGCAAATTGCTGCGGCTTGTTTCCTCACGCAAAACTCCGGGGTTCGATGCTGAACGAATATACGTAGATCCTTTCACGAGTGGAAAGTTCAGTTAATAATGCATGAATCACCGAGTGCGTACGTTTAAGATGTAACGCGTGTAACGTCTATGTACGTACGCTGGAAGCACGATTCGTTGCGCTATTGTATAATATTACTCTCGGAGGAAAGCTTTCTGGCTCGTGAATCGCGAATGATTCAATTTTACGAGTAGGGTCTTGAGGCCCTGGATACAGCGGGTGACGGAAGTAGAGTAAAATAGGGAAATCCGGATGAGCTTATGGTATTATGCTCGGTATAAATTATAGGCTTTATTAATCTTCAACACATTCTTTACTTTTCTCAAAGAATTGTTTAAATGACGAAGACACGTAATTAGGGATAAATGTGTGAACGCTGGTCTATTCTGTTAGGTGCTCTTCATCACGGCGGAAGCTGGCGACATGATGCGCAAGAGCATTGTTTTCGACAAGAATACACCAGACGTATTCTACTGTCCGCAACAGAAGCCAACCGGCTTCGAGAAGATGATCGTGAACGCGAAACCGTTGTCGAAACTTTGCCAGTTCGAAGGGAAACCGATACCGCCGGACTATAAAAGCGATTGCTACAACGACGTGGACGAGACCGAGTATGCTTGCAAAGAAAAGTATAGAATCATGGTGAGTCATCGACGAAGGTCACTGGGTCCGAGCAACGAAATCGCGGGCCGAAAGTTGAATTCGCATAATCGGGAAAGGTAGCTAGCGAATTAGAACCAGCCATGGAGAATTGGCAGAATGGTCGTGATTTGAACTGTATTCCCTAATCGGTTTACCAAAGGCAGCTTGTGGCGCTTCAGCCCTCATTTCACGCGTTTTCCGTTAACGAGATTAAACATCCACGAGGAGAGGTCCAATTGGAATATGCAGAAAATAAAAAGAAATACGAGAAGAAATGTATTTTGTATTACTAGTGGTAAAGTTGACTACTTTACAAATTGAAACATTTATAATGACTCCAAATTTGAGGAAGATAGTATAGTTCTTTGAGTATAGTATGCAAGATCATTCAGTGAAATAATTACACGTATAGTTCAGTATATTTTACAAAACCAATAATGTTTTGAACGATTATTTACGTCCAATCGAACCTCAAAAAAGACAACTCAAAGAACCTCAAAAGGACACTTGATAAAAGTGAGCCAACCGAAGGTCAGATTGACCCAAGATGCACGCATCATATGAAGATCATCATAACGCCTGTGTTCATTAAGTACGTGTAACGGATTGGTGTCGGTTTTTTTTTCTTGCAGAAGCGATTCAAAAATGCGGATGGGGATGAGAAAGCAGCGGATGACTTCGTCAAGAAATAGATGGGAAACGGTTGCTGCACGGCCGAACTACGTTTGCAATTTCGCGACGCGCCATTAAGTCCTCCACTAATGCTCAAGCTTGCATCCTACAGTCCTATAACTATAATGCACTCTGTTGTTTAAACTAATTTCGGACAAGGGATATATTTACGTTATCCTTAAGATCGGTTCAGTTGACAGCTATCGATGACAATTACTTCATATGTAATAGTACAATGTGTTCAATTTAGTATTATAATTTTCAATTCAATCTATATTTTTATTTCTTTTTTTTTTAAGGCTGAGCAATTAGAATCATAAGTATTAGGGATCATAGCCTCAGGTGCTCTGTAGTTTCCAAGCTTGGTGGATAATTTATATTTTTGATAATAACATTAATAAAACTAACCACGACGTAGTTGGGCCGATCGATCATTAATCCCCCCACAAATGGCTTCAAAAGCTGCTTCAAAAAACGAGATACTAGTTATGCAATTTTTGACATTCTGATAACCATTTGCACACTAACTTTGCATTATACATTAAGTAAAACAGATGTTTCCGTCCGATTACCATTTACGCATCTCTTGGTTATTTTATAAACCAGATATAAATTGTAACTGTAATAAATTTCCACAATTATATCATTATTCGTTTATGGGTGAAACATTCGTTTTTAAGTTTTTTTTTATAATACTAAAGTATACTTTCTTAAGAAAATACCAAATGCAAGGTAAAACATGTATCACAGTATTAATCTAAATATTTTCAACTTTCAATCATGAAGTGAACCTGAAGACTGCATCAAAAATATGCATTTTGCGGTAGGTAAATAGTATTTCATATAACGTTCGAGGAGTAAACATTTTTAAGTAACTGTAAATTCTTTACAATACTTCTTATATTTTCTTCTGTTCATATAGTAGTTTTATGATTGTGATTTTGTTTTAGATGAGGCTACATCCACCCGGAAGTGACACAGCTTATAATGGAGCACGTCTGTCGAGGTTTCTAACATTTGATAAAGACGTACACAAGAACAAAAATGAAATTTAACACCTTCATTGACGAGAGAAATTTTGTACTATACATTTTCCGAGACAATTTCATATGTTACTGAAAATTTGCTTTAACTAATTTGTCAGTCAAGCGGTACTATCAACTTTTGTAGCATTTTGAATGCTTCGATTTGCTTTGTCATGATAATTTTGTGCTATCCGTTGTCAGTGTTTTTTGTAAATAATTTTAGTTCCTGTATTTTTCCAATGCTCTAAAAGTCTGACATTGCTCTATTTTTGTTTTTTCTCTTGTAAATGCTATTTAAAGAAAAAACATACTTGTTATTGTTAAAATATTTAACGTTCCTATTCACTGTAAAGTGTATAAAGGCCTCTTAATGTATTTTTGTAAAATACTTGTAAGATAAGCATAAAGCATTATACAGAATGAAGTAATATATGCAAATAAATACGTTGAACATATAATTTATAAAATACATTAAACAATATTAAATATACATGTTGCATAAAAAGCTCTTGTGAATTTAATCATATTTAAGTAGACAAAAGATAATGAAACTATTTTGTGATATTTTAGGGAGAGTGTTGTTATAACACTTTAGGAAAATTCATTATACACGCATCGAATTTTTCATGTTAATTTACTTAATCTGTAATAAATACACTATAAAATATGTAAACTATACACAAAAGAATATCGATCGTTTATGCATCAATTAGCTGTTGCAAATTAAAGAATGGTTTCATTACATTATTTCATTTATTTTTTACTGAATATATAGTAATTTTAATTACTAATAATTTAATTTCAACGATTAGTGAAAATAATGTTTTACATTTATATCGTTGTTTTTAATTGCATAAGTATGAAAATCTACATTAATTAAGATTCACCTATTTCACATTTTTCAACGGGCCATGTTACAAAATTTCAGGTAGTAAAATGTAAAGTGTATTTCGACGATAGTTCAACATCATTTTTTAAAATGTTTTCATGTTCTCAAATCACAAGCATTCATTTTACATGTTACTCTATTCGCATCAGTTATGTACATCACTATTACTGGTCTAAGAAATGCGTGCTATTTAATACTAACATTTGCGATGTCATTCAAAGCTGGTCAGCACACAAATTAATTTCCACAATGCACATTTTAATATTACAAACAAGATAGTTGTTACAAATTATTATAAACCCTCTATTTTCAAATGAAAATTCAAATTATAATTTTACATATCGATATTCAAGCATTGATTTGTTATATTTCTACAAACTCTGTAAACTGGTATTGTTTCATGGGAAATGATTTTCGTAAATTAAAAGTATATCACATTTGATTTAACTCAAATATAAATCAGTGCCCTGTTAGAATTCATGTCACATTTGTACAGTTTAGTACATCAATTTATTATAATAAAAATATACAAAAATCGATATATGATCACAGAATCGCAAGGTATTACTCTAAACATTTCATAATATTGCAACTGCAAAGGAAAACATTTTTAAACGTACCTCAATAAAATAAATTTTGTAAATTCATTAGGCGATATATAATTACTATTAATTATCTCCTTTAAAACGTCTCTAAATAACTAAAACGCAATTTGAAATTATAGATTCTTTTATACATTATATGTATTATACATCCGTGCACTGACGTAATCATCAAAATGTTGCAAACGGTATTTTATTTACCTTGACCCTCAACTACATCGTTGGGTCTGACAGACCCTACTAAAATGTCTATCATACCTGTTCAGGTAAAATGAGGAAGCCAGAACCCGGGGGGAGGGGAAGGGGTGGGGTAGGAGAGTCCCACTATATACGTATTCCGCTATCAAACCGCTTCAGTTCGTGCATAGTAGCATTCAAACTCTGCGGTGCAAGAACGCAAGAAAAATCTGCGATGTAATTGAGGGTTAATAATATCGCGTTATTTGAAATTCTTGTTCAAATAGAATTGCCACGTATAAGAGGGCAACGGGACATTATACTCTGCTACAAATTGTAGGAACATTGGCTTCAAAAGTGTACGATAAGTGAGGAAGAGATTATAGTGCTTTAATCTTATCGATTTCATGCACAGTGTACTGGCTTCATTTTTTTTCACAGAAATTTGTTTTCGTTAATTACATCCCCATTTGGAGGAAGATGAACGATATTTTACAAGATCAGTTTACCACCGTTTGAAGCTCTTATTTGTGCCACCTGTTCAGGGGTAAGAATAAGTTTGCTTCCATTTGGCAGTGCTAAGGCATAATGGCTTCCAGTTTCGTTAACAACCACCACCAATTGCGTGTTTGAGTTCTGAACTGGCTGCACAGATTTCACGGGCGTTATCGAGATGCCTCCTTGATTCATACGCTCCATTATCTGCGGTGGAATGACACCCTTTGTCGGGGGAACTGTAGTACTTGAGGTAACGGTAGGGTTCTGTCTATTCGGTATCGAGTTTCTCCGAGGTTGTGCTTTTGTCCTCGCCGTTTCAGCCTCGGGACCTGTTTTTTCAGTAATAATCATTTCAATCTCGTCGTCGCTGTCGCTGAGTACGATCAAAGAAGTAGTTTTCTGACCAGTGTTTTCTGCCGGTGTGTTTGGTTTTCTTAATTTTTTTACTCTGACCGGTGTTCCACGTTGCTGTTGTATGCTCTTCCCTCTAGGGCTGCCGATTCTCGGAGAGTTTCCTCTGATGGGCATACTACTACTTCTGATAACTGCGCCATTCGGATGCGGAAACATTTGTCTTGGCGGGGCGAACCTGGGTTGGGGTGGCCTATTAAATGTAGACGAATTAGAAGAGGTTATGTTTGACAGATTTTGAGTTACACCTTGATTGGTAACTCGAGGATCAGTGGTTGGGTATCCACGCTGTGGTTGAGCTGCTGGCATGGTATATGGTACATAAGCAGGTTGACTTAAAAATTGTTGTGGCGCTACCATTTGAGGTCCTTGGGGCTGAAACGGCTGAGCAGGAATAAAACCGGGTTGTGGATTCTGAATAATGTAATTCTGACTGCTTTGCATATAATATCCTTGTTGCATGGGTGATATGATACTCGATACTATAGGACCTGGTTGCATGTTTGACGCAACTACATTTGGTTGCATCACATAATAATTCATCGAACTGGGTTCGGTCTTGACCATCACATAATTTGGATTCAGGTTCGTGGTGCAACTGTTATCGGGATGATTCGGCGTATAATCATAGATTGGGCCCTCGTCCTTGATATCCAACTCCGAGTGCACGCTTTCAATGTTTTCAAGTTTGCAGACTGGCTCCGCGGAAGGCACTGTTTGTGTAAGATTATTCTCTACCACAGCCTCAGAATTCTCTATGGTATTGTTAGCTTGTGAAGCCTCTGGCTTGTTTGGCTTCTTTGGTATAGACACAACTTCTTTAATTTTAGGTTTGTTCTGGTCATTCTTGGCACTTGACGAAGTAGCTACTATTGACTCTGCTGCCTCTTGTAACTCATTTACTTTGATGCTTTGTAGCTTGTGCTGGAATGATTTTAATCTTCGATTGGCAGCTGTAAAAAGGTTAAACAAGATCTTTATTAGAGATATTCGAATGTTTAAGCATATTTGCTGGTATCTATGGTTGGATCACATTTTGTTGCTCGCTCAAGGTTAGGTCACATCCATCATCAATTATATCAGATACACGCCATCGAGGTATTAGTATAGTAGAAACAGATGTTCAAATCTTAACTTGAACAACTAATTGTGTTCCAAGTATAATTACAATCTATGTACTCACACGGACGTTTATTTTTCCTTTTGCGAGAGCTCGGTAGAATCCAATCTTTGTCTGAGTCCTCCTCGCTGTTCCGGTCGTCAAACTGCTGGGCTTTCGGAGTAAAGTCAGGAGTGGATGTACTGGCCTGTGTGCTGGGAGCCGCGTAGACTGCCTCAACGTCGGTCCATTCTTCCAGCTCTTTCTCTTCAATCTCGTCGTCTGAATAAAACTGTTCTGTGTATGAGGAGACACCGCGTGCTCGCAACACTCTTCGACTTTGTTGTTCTGGTTCGACCATAAGAGAATAGTACAAAATTAGAGCAAAGCCTACTGACAATTTTACAGTAAAGTTTATATCAGTTGAACAAAAACGAAGCCAGTGAGGAGTGGTATACTCATGGAATATTTTTGTGCTAAACCAGGGGAAAATGATTCATTCTTTTGTACCTTCGTCGGTCGAACTTTCTTTTTCTTCCCCAGCTGCTGTACTTTCCTGACTATTGTCTTCGTCTCTTTCAGATTCACGTTTTTGTGCATCAGTGCTTTTGCTTTCACTTTCCTTAGATTCTTGTTGATCGGATTTACTTGGTTCTGTGGACTTGATGTGCTCATCTTCGCAGTTTTCCTGCTTGGCAGAGGAGTTTTTGGCGTCAGTTGGGGATAAGGTAGGCTGCGGTAACGTTTGTAACGTTGCATCTCCGGGTGTTGGCAGTGGACAGCCCTGCGATCCAAGAACCCACCAATTAGAGCCGACACCCTCCCCAGATGAGTCCTGATCCTCCACACTGCTACAACACACAGCAGTTTGTCTGCCATACACACTCGATAAAAACACACAAACGTTACTGGAAAGGCGTGGATAAGGTCCACTAGATTTGTAAGAAACGGATTGTAGCAATTTTGAGAGGTATTCAGGTAAAATGAATTTCAATCTGGGAATATAACTTCCTGTTGCCATTAGCGAAGTTTTTATTCTAGCATATTTATTGGAAATATATATTCTCCTAATTTAACATCGTTATTCCCAGATTGTCTGTTGTCATGAGATGAATAGTGTTCAATAGAATGTTATGTTTTAGGTGTTGTCATGTCATGTGCTTTTATATAAGTAATTAAAAAATGTACCCTTCTTTGAAATTAGTCCACTCTTTGTGGAGTTTCCCCCTGGCCTTTTTCATCGAGTCGTGTAAAACTGATCCCATGTTCTCTAGAGAGGAAAGTAACTCTGTCATCTTTTTGATTAGCTTCACTTCACAAGGGGGCACAGCTTTATCCTAGAAACATTCTGGGAATATAGAAGCAGAAATCATAAACAGTAATTCTTAAATACATACATTGCCCTCAGCATCAGCACTTGAACCACGAGACTTCTCCGAGAAAGTGGTTATGAAGTCCCTGAACGAGCTTACACTGTTAGCTACCAGTTGAAAATTCGAAACACTGAGTTCTGATAGCATCTCGTTAAAATTCTCCACTTCTTGTTTCCACAGATCTGTAGTCGCATTCTTTACATTTCGCAGATTATATCCAATTTCGCTCTCTTCGTCTATGGAGAAGCTATCGTCCATGGCTTCTTTCTGTAATCTGCTTCTCAATTCGCTCAAAGAAATATCCTTATCTTCATCGGATTCTGCTTTATTGTCATCTATACTTTTACTAATTCGTTCCGGTAACGTCATCTTTTTACTTTCGTTATCTAAATTATTTAATTTTTGTTCATCTACGAACTGTCCATTTTTTTTAATCATTTCTTTTCCATTCTTTTTTACTGCAACACTACTGTTGCTCCTTTCTGTTACAATCTGATTGGTCTTAGTTTCATTTAACTTTTCATCGTCAGATTTCGATATGATTGTTATTTGAAATTTACTAGGTATTTTGTCACTATTCTTTAGACATTCCGCGCTGATAATTTCGTTTAACTTTTCATCATCTGTTTTCGAGACATTCGACGAATTATCCACAGCTTCACCTCCATCTATACACTGCTCGTGAGTGTCTACATATTGTCTTGTCGAATTCATTTCTAGTTTACTCTGAGAAGATAAAGATTCATCAACATTGTCCGCCTCCTGTTCCACCGGTTTCGATTTCAGATCACTTAGTATAGTACTAATTATTTCTATATTACATTTGTCTTCACTACCACTCGAGAACCCTTTGAACATTTTTTGAGGTGACCTCGCGTCAGAAACTGTACCCGCTGAACAATTCGTATCGTAACCACTAGACTTTATACTTTTACAATGTGATTTATCAGACTCCATGCTCATGTCCGAACACTTTGATAAACTTCTAGATCGCTTCGCGTTTAGCGTGTCTAGATTAATGTTATTATTATTACTACTGCTATTGTTATTATTGCTACAGGTGCTTGTACTGCTCAGATTTGTGTCCTCGTTTATTAAGGAGCCGGTTGCACTATCACTGGCACATTTGCAATTATTTGCATCCTTTTCATCACACTTGTTCACCTTCTTCTTAGACTTTGGAGGCAAACCATTGCTCCATCGCGATTTCCTTCGTTTCTGCTTAGCTTTCTTTCTCATCAAGTTGTTCTGTTTCGTTGCTTTACTAACCTGGTCTGGCTTCACTTGCGGCTTGACGGGCTGAAGTAGCAAATGAAACGGTAAGTAAGTATATAACACAGTGACGATTCATGATAGCGATAATTTATTTTTGATAAACGATACCTCTGCGGTCGACAGGATTTTATTATCGAGGCAATGCCTGTAAACTCTTAGATCAGTTTTCAGGAATTGTGGAAAGTAAATGTATCTTGCTCCGTAACGATCAGTTCCCAGGACCGTCTCGAATTGGTCCGCCATAGGTTGTTTAGCTACTTCTTCTTGTACAGTTTTCCTAGTATGCTGAAGAGAATATGTAATCCTATGAAGATGAAAAATCTGTCGTTTGCTAAAGCTAGTATAACCTATGCGTAACGTACCATCACTGTATCACAGACTGTTTTTAGAAGCCAGACTTTCTGTCTGAAACTCAACTCTTCGAAGTCCTTGCCATTAAGCAGAGGAGCATCTGGGAAAACGTTCCAGAACTCTGGTTCAACACCAATGGTTTCTAGAACCTAAAAATCTTTGATCACATTTCTTATCACTGCGGTGTACGAGGAGAGTCTACACATAAAAGTTGGTTTATTAGCCGGCGAATTTTAATCCATACTCAATGCAATACAGTTATACACGTAAGATTCAATAATATTGATGGTACTGCTGGTTAAAAGCGCTTACTTTCACTACATCTCTACGTTTTCCTTCGTAGACTTTGAACCACGTTTTCACTTTGTAAGCTAAGACGTTCGTCCAAAACTCATACGGCATTGGTGGTATTTTTCTCAACTTTGCTTTGGTAACCGGAGAGCTGGAATTGAAAAATGTATGATATTGCAACAGTTAATTTTTACTTCAGACATAAATTTTTGTATTTTATAGACTCAGATACTTTGCATAGTTTCTTACCTCAGCAACGACGTCATGATGTTTGCCAACTGTTTTGAAGCTCGTGGTATCAGTAGCATTCGTTCCATTTCATACATAGATAAATGAGGTATATTCAGGGCTTCCTTCGACAGATGAAGAAAATGAAATATATGTGGAATCTAGAACACAAATGATTGCATAAACAATTGTAAAAGCGTCACTGAAAGCCAGCACGAAAATAATTGCATACCTCCCACATAGATTCCATTTCATTTCTGATCTTATTCGGGAAAATGTTCTCCTGCTCCCAGTCGACCATCTGCTGTTCCTCCTCCTCCAACTTTCGCTTTCTGTTTTTCTTCAACATTTTCTGTAAGGTTAAATTTATATAAATAGTTTCTAATAATTAAAAAACCTCGATACATATTGCATAAATCTTAAAGAAAAAATTACATCATTGAATAAATTTACGCGTACGGGAGAATATGTATCATTTACCGTTAAGGTTCTTTAAAGATATTTCCAAGAGTGAATTCACCGTAATTCGAACGCGTGTGAATCTATCATTAATTAAACAGAATCTTGAGCAGTTTAAAAAAAAATTGTTTTCCTTCGCGGTGTGCAATCATTGTCATCTCTTACGGGGCTATTAACATAAAATAAACAATGATGACCCAGTGAAGGTGCACCAGTGTGATGGTAAAGGCCGCGTGTCCCAGCGCATGTACAAACGTACATACAAATTGCTTTTATAGTAATTTAACAATTACACATCGTTTTGTAATTTTTTTCAATTTTCTAAGCATTTCACGCATTTATCTCTTCTGTTCCCAGGTCCTCAAGGTCGTATTTATACAGGGGCTCGATAAAACGAACAAAAATATCTTCAACAGCAAACAATGGCTTGATGAAAAATAACACTTGTACCTCTGCTATACGGATAATTACTGAATACACATTTTGTAACAATTTACAAGCACGCCATCACATATTCGATCCGCATAATTACATCCAAGTCGTATCCTACCACGAAAGTAGAGAAACCCTCTTTGAGTCATCCGGCTAATAATTAAAATAATTAACATCTTAAAAATCATTTAAACTATCCGGTCGGTATTTTATAGCGACCATACTTTTTACATAGTCAACAAAATATTATAAATTCGAGTACTCTTATTCTATTCGAATCATTCAGTCTTCGAGTCTCAAGTCTCCCTTACACTTCTTATGCTTCCTTGAACTTAAGACAGTTCAAATTATATGATCGTGTCGCGTCTACATGCTGTGTTAACATCGATAAGACGGTGTCCAACCGTATGCAACAATGTTACGGGGGTACCATTCGGTCACGAAACGCCTCCGTAGTATGGCCACGTGGCCTCCAGTTAACATTCACAGTGGTCGGGGGTGGGGCGGTAATTGTCGCGTTAGCGAAACGATCCGTCGACTTGCTTATAATTTCTCTTATCGCGTTCAAGGATCGTGAAAAGCCGAGCAGTACATCGAATTGACAGCTTAAACGATGTGTGCTCTCCGATGTCGACCTTGCGGTTTTCTTTCCTTGCGTGGAAGAGTGAGCTTCCTAGAAAATTCCTTCTAATCGGTACCAACGGATCTATTAACAAGTCAAGGCCACAGGGAGCGCTTTGCCGTCAGCGTCGTTCGGCCACGCCTTCGCTCCGCCCCCTTGACCCTTCGCCCCGCCTCTTTCCACAGTACAAGGACACGGGGTTTCATTTAAGTTTCGTTTTCTGATATTAATCGATAAGAATGTGAAAGATGATCTATCTAGACACGTGAATTAACCCCAATAAGTCGACGGTTTTAAAGAGCATTACCGTTTTGAAGTAGCGAAGACTCATTTATAATGACGTATTTAGGTGTACTTCAAGCTTCTCGACCAAGGGTATAGAAACGATCTTCTTCAGAGGGGGTGAACGATAAAAAAAGGCAGCCCGTTTGTGATTATCTGTGTCATCGCGTCGAGCGAGCACGCAGGCTAAGGACACACACGGTCGCCCGGATGTCCAGCGATGTTAAAAGGATGTCGATGCCACTGTCGCCCCGCTAGTCGGCTGACAGACATCGGTCACCGATGGTTTACAAGGGGCCGACACACTTTTCCTAGTCACCCCTAATTGCTGGACAATATTTTCTGACCAAACGAAGAGACTTCGGTGGACCTTCAAGGAGTAACATTCCACCAGGAACGTTATCTGTGTCTCAGGAAAGGTCGTCGAGTAACTAGACCGCGTTAGGCGGCCATTAATTTATGAAATATTTAATGTTTAGTGCCTAGGAGCCTTCGAACACTCATCGAGGATTTCCTGTAATAAATCCCTTCTACCGTTATTCAGACTGCGACATCTTAAATTCAACTGCGTCCTGGTGGACATAAGGAGGTCTAGATAGCAAGAAGAGGATCCAAGGACATCGATGCGATGCCGATCAAATTCTACCATCGGGATTACGCGAATACGGAGCAGGAGGACGAACCAGCGCCGATCGGTAGCTCGTACAAGACAGCTGATAAGGCGACGTTGAGCTACTTGACGAACCACGATCCGAATCTACCGTACTCCATCAATACGGTCCATCTGCAGAATCCTTACAAGCCGCCGCTGCGATTGGAAGGATACGCGACGCGGGAGAATTTCAAAGTCCGACCGGCCTCGTTCAAGGTAGTAATCTCACCTTTTTTTTTTAGCCTTTTGAGTTGTTAAATAAGAGGGAAAATTAAACAATTTTTTTGTATATGCAGAATTATTGTTTATTAAAAATTCAACATATACATCTTATTGTATGTTATTTCCTTAGTAATTTCTGAAAATTTAAGCTATATATCTATCAACAGAAGAAAATGGCTGCCATTGGAAAGCGTTTTACTCGAAATGCAGTTTTCAAAATCGGTACCAGAATGAAGATGTATACGTTGAATTTTTAATAAACAATTTTCCTTCTTATTTAACAGCTCAAAGGTATGTAGACCGTTAAATGAGGGGTTTCCTTCAAAGTCAATTCTCTTCGAAGATCATGTATCGATCGAGGGACTCGACGCTGAGATCGCGAAACAGGAAGAACGCGATATCGAAACGGGACGTTGCAATGGCGCAGCAGAATTTCGAGCAGGAAGACGACAAGACCATAAGGTAAATTCGTTTTTTCCTCGACCCAGTCGGATAGGTACAATGTGTCCGTATATGCTTTATACGAACGAGCTCGGTAATTATAGATGCCTCGGTGTTAGGAAAAACGAGAGGCTTCAGCAGTGCCTGAAAAATGGCAACATCAAGAACGTCCTGAAACAGTACTGCACCAACACCAGCCTCCACGGGCTACGTTACGTCGGCGACACGAATATGACGATCGTCGAAAGGTAAATCATATTTGCATTTCGATTTAAAGTTAAATCGTATTTCGAAACGTAACTTCTGCAGCAGCAGTGATAAAACTTGCGAAAATACATTTTTATTGGCGGTGGAAACGAAAAATCAAAAATACAAAAAGACGGTAAAATTCATGTCAACTCGGTAAATAGAATTATTTAACTCGTGAAATCACGATGAACGCAATTGTATCGGAAGGAATATGGAATACTCAGATATTTCAAGAATTTCGTTATAATTCTGTGTACTTTAAAAGGTAATTTCCGTGTACTTTAACAATATCTCGAAAATGAAGACATGTGGTACGCGGTGTTTTTCCTGACAACCACAGATTTGGCCTTCGAAGGATTTATGATTAGGGTCGTTTGTACGCGCGTGGTCCTCAGAGAGGGTAAAAAAAGGCTGGTGACCGTATTGGGACATCCAGGTTGGCACACGAGTCAAAATAAGAAATGGCAATAAATGGCAGCTCGTTACCGCGTCATAAAAGTAAGGGTACTGTGCCTGAAGGTCCTAACCACGGAGTGGGGAAGGGCATATTTCGGTATAATAAATAAAACTGTATTGGGCCGCGCGCAGAGCTTAGTCCAGAATCGTCTTTCAAATAGACAGTTTCTTCCGTTTCTTCAGTATTATTTTTCTAACGCAGTGGTTCTTAATCGGTGTTTCTCGAATCTGTCCCAAGTATTCCGCGAAATTAGAGTCTTACTAGCTCGGAAACTACGTCTACTAAGGTTTATTAGTGATTTTGGTGTTCGAAAAATTGTTCTTATACGTATAATAAAAAGTGACTTCGAAAAGATTAAGAACTACGGTTCTTACGTACGAGTCTTTGTTATATTCAGAGTTTTCTGGATAATATCGTTCACTCTCGCGGTTCTGACCGCCGGGTATTACATATGGTTCCTGTACCGGAAGTGGGTCTCCACACCGATCATCATCTCGCTGAGCCCCGAATCGGTGTCTTTGAACGAGGTACCGTTTCCCTCTGTCACCATTTGCAACATGAACAACGTGAAGAGGAGCGAGGCGGTGCGCATAAACGCTGGGTAAGATGCTTTCATTTGTTATAGTTCTTTTGACACCCAGGAAGAAACTCTGCTTCCGGTAGGGGAAAATGTGACGTAGGGCCTCCTACCATTTGGTATTTGGAATTACTTAAATTATGCAAAATTAACATTCGGTTTAACATTTGGTATTTGAAATAAATTTACCAAGTGGTAGTAGGCCCTTTTTACCATAGGGAAAGCCGAATTTGCTCGTAAGGATACCTGAAACGCGCTAGTGACACGTGAAGGATATGTGAATTCAGTGGATTCAACGAATGACATCGATGCCTTGATCTAACTTTTTTTTACAACAATTATTTTCGTGCAAAATCGTTTCAATCACCTTCCTTTTATTTCATATAACAATTATTTTCGTGCAAAATAATTGTTATACGAAATAAAAGGAAGGTGATTGAAACGATGGTACTTTATATGTTAGAAAAGACGGCCGGAAGAAGCTATTGTTGGAGGACAGATGCAATTTCGAGACGAACTTCACCGCGTACGATCTCGATGAGAGCGAAATAACTTGGAACAGCATGCTGCATTTTATGATCAACGTATGTAACACATTAGAAACGATTATCGTGATAACGTGTGCGCACTCGTTGTTTGTTCCACGTTCCACGTGTAAAAATGTGTATTGCATTTTTTCTGGACAAAGTGCACCTGACATATACGTATACAATGTAGATAATGTTCTAGTTATCCTAGACGCCCACGGCAGAATATTATGTACAATATATTAAGGTTCCCATATTATAGTAATAATTAGAGTGAAAAGAAATTGAAGGTAGATTCGAACACTTATAAAAAGATTCTATTTCAGGAATATTCTGTGCCAGTAGTTTCATAACGGTTACCCGTTTTATTTATTATAATTACAGGTATCGCAATCGTGCACAGAGATGTTGCATCTGTGCAAATGGCACGGGAACGCAACCGACTGCGAGAAGATATTCAACCCTACGATGACTGACGAGGGGATATGCTGTAACTTTAATTCGGTCCATAAAAAGTACCTGTTCTACAATCCGTGAGTAACACTCGCATGCTTTCAAACTGAGGATAATATTTAGCCGATAAATTTTTACTGGGAGTAATAAGGGACAATTTACGGAGCGAAAGGAAGGGGGCGTGGCCAAACAGCGTAATAAATGCTACCGTCTGAATGCTTAACACTTTCTGTATATTAACACTTAAGGTATTTTAATCCTCGAACTGTGAGGTGAGTTTTAAGGTCGTAAAAAATGTTGTTATCTTGAACTTATATAATAATAGGTATATTTATTAAACATTTACCGAGTAATAAAATATATTTTAAAACTAGGATAATAATAAAAATAAAAAATAGAATGAGGTCCCCGGAAGAGGAACTATACTTGCATCTTACTTGTGCCAAATATGACCCGAACCTTACCTTTCGAGGGTTAATTAACTGCAATATTTCACTATGACAAATACAACAAAAAGACTGGTCACCCATTTCCCATAATAAAAAGTATATTTTCCACTGAAAAATCGTAAGAGAAAAGAAATGTTTGAAACTGATACTATTAAATAAGTGATTTCATTAGCAGTCCAGCGAATACTATTTATTTGCTAAGCCCTGCCCAGAACTCGTTTCGGACTATGTAACGTAGTAGTTTTCTGTAGAAGTAACTCCGGCCAACGTGTGCACGCTCGAACTAGGCGGGGTTAACTTCGCCGGGAAAGTTTCTAGCACCCTTCAATATTCCAGACTGGATTGGTCCGACCTGAACATCACGTTCCCGTTCAATAGCATCGACTGGAACCCCGAGACCGGTTACGACGAAAATGTACTCGCGGATTCCATACCCTGGAGACCGTACGGTGCTGGACAGTTCTATGGTCTGACGTTGGTCCTCGACACAGACATTTCCGAATATTATTGCTCGTCCAGCGCTAGCGTGGGTTTCAAGGTATCGTGCCGTGCACTCGAAGTATTGGCCCACTAATTCAACCCTTTTAGTACCTTAAAGCCGATATATCTGTTTTCCATTTTTAATATAATTGAAAGACATTTATTTTTATAAAATAAGTTTATATAGTGGAACATACGTTTACTGGATAGAAATAATAAAATTGAATAAAAGCGGAAAGATCTTCATTTTTAAGAGAAATATGTTAATTTTGAATACATATCTCAATTTTTCAAAGTATTTTTAGATGGTACCCGGAAAACTTATAAGGTACTATGAGGGTTAAAACCAGATACACGTCGACAATTCACCTAGTCAGAACATCATGGCCTCTGAGGTGCTAGATCGATTTAGCTTACAAGGGCATTACCCAAATTATCCATTTCCCAATTTAAAAATTAGACGGGACGGAAGGTAGTCGAGAGAAAGGAGCGAAACGATATTCATTTACGTCACCACTACCGATTCCCCACTCTGTCCTCTATAGAACTCAACGCAATTTATGTACGTCACAATGGGCTAGTGATAGGCGATACAGTATCGGTATTTCGAATATTAATACTTTTTAATTCAAATACCGATATTTCGAATATCGATATTTAATGTGATGATATATTACAGTATCGATACTTAACCCAATAAATATCGAAATTTCGATACAATCGTTATTCCCGATACACATGTGTATCGATACTCTGGGTATGAAATACGTATCGATACCAAATATCGATACAAATTCAAATGTATCGCCATCACTATAATAGGTCTGCGTTATGTGCCCGTGACAACTGGTTTTCAGATGCTGCTTCACAATCCGGTCGAGACCCCGAAGATCGCCGAATTTGCGTTTACCGTGACCCCCGGCGAGGAGACCAGGATAATCGTGACGCCCCGTATATCGACCGCCAGCAAGTCGATAATCTCGGTTCCCCAGAGAAAGAGGAAGTGCTTCTTTACGTCTGAGCGAAAACTTCGTTACTATAGAACCTACACGCAAAAGAACTGTGTGCTAGAGTGCGAGGCAAATTTCACTCAAAAGATCTGTAACTGCGTCCAATATTACATGCCCAGTGAGTATGGTGAAAAATGTAATCGTCTAAAGCTGCTTCCTAGGTTTTTAACTTCAGATCTTCCCTGAGGGGGCGGGGCCATAGGGAGAAGAGGCGGGGCTAGTTGCCCCGCCACCAAGTGTCTCCGTAATCTTGTCTAGAAGAATTCATTTTTTTTTTCAATAACTTTCTATTCCAGATTCGTTGATTTCAGTGCCTGAGTTGGTGGTTCATGAAGAACTATTAATTGTTTCAATAATTTTCTATTCCAGATTTGGTGATTTCAGTTGGCTGGTGGTTTATGGAGAACGTTATTGTACGATGAACAAGTGGATAAATTATGATTTCGGGTATTCAATTAATATTTTATGTACACACAGAGTCGTCGAACACACCGATCTGTGAAAAGAAGGACGATTTATGCGCAACGAACGCACGTCGGGCAATGGAGATGAAACTTTACGACGATGAGAGCGGCATAACCTCTATAAACGTCTCTGAAACGTGAGTCCCTTCTAACCCTTTCGACCTCATCGACCCACGTAGTCGCGAACACAGGGGCGTTGTAAGTACAAAGTACGTTTGAGTACGTCGATACACGTTACAGACCGAGCTGTAACTGCTATCCCGGTTGCTACGAGATCAATTATAACGCTGAGGTATCGCAGAGCAAACTGGTACCCACGTTCTCTATTGCGAATGACTTCGTGAAGAAGGACCGGAATTATTTCTCGTAATGTTTCTTCAATTATCTACTTGGAAATATTAAAAATAATGCTTTAGAATTGTTTGCACAAAATTATGATTAACATTTTTTCTTCTTTCAATAGCGAAAATATGGCAGTGGTTCATTTATTCTTCGTCGAGTCTCAGTTCACTAAGTACGTGAAGAATGAGCTCTTCGGATTCACGGAATTTCTCTGTAAGTTCGGATATAAGTTCTTCCGTGACGCGCTTAGCTCCACCTCCCGGTTCTTTGCCTCGCCCACACTGTTCTGTTTGACTACACCCATTCTGTACCGTATCCCTGTTGGTCGGGATAAGAATACACCAACAGTACCCCCTGCTTGTCGTAAGAGGCGACTAAAAGGGGACACGCGGGACGTCTTCCCACCCCCAACGGGGTGGAACGACGTCAATAAAACTGGGAGTCAAATCGGTGACCGGTCATCTTCCCCGAAGTCGTGTTAACACAGTGCCAGAGAAGATGCTGTGGGTTAGGATGGAGGGTTAAAAAAAAGCTCTCTACCGTGTGGTTACTCCCACCTCGCGGTTTCTCCTACTTTCCCCTCCTCTAAGTTCTTTAGCTCCGCCCCCTATTATACTGTTTGGCTGTTTTCACTGCTCCAAGCCTCTGCTATTTATTCCACCCCCACAATGACATATGCACACGTAATCACTCTTCGATTACTGCCATCTTTTCGCTTCTAATTCTTAAAAGGAAATTTTTCTAATATACAATTTGTTTGTCACAGCAAGCACGGGTGGTTTGTTGGGACTCTTCATGGGCTTCAGTTTCCTTTCATTGGTGGAAATCTTCTATTTTCTAACACTGCGAGTATGGTGTCGCATATATAAAAATAGGGACGCCCCTCGTAACGTTCTACAAGTGCACCCATTGGACCCGAGTCATAATGTCGTTTATCCGTTCGTACAGTGACATATTCTAACTTTCTTTCGAGATAGATGTTTGTTCTTAAACGACGAAATACTTTCAATATATTTGCCAGACATAATGAAGTTGAACTGTACTTTATTTAGTATCTAATTTTTCCCGATTATTTGATTATTTCAGGAGTTGATCTTGTTACTGGTATTTTATGGTAAGCAAATTTTTGTTAGAGGATACAACAGGTAGAAAAATGATACGTATTTTATCCCCACTGCTTGGTTAGAAGTTACAACGCTACGGACGTGCAGTCAATAGAAAATACTACGCGTTATCGTGGTCGACTAACTTTTCGCGCGGAATGTACGGACGATCTATAAGGTATATACGTTGTAACAATGTACTATCACGTTACACGATATTTCCAGTACAAACTACAAGGTCTTTAAAATTGGCATTCTCGGCTTCGAAATATTAGAAATGCAAATATTTTTCGACAGAAAAAATTTATGTAGCGAATCAATTAAATATGGTAAATTTGACACATTTCAATTTGCATAGTTCAATGTAACGGTATTGTTTATTACACCCTACAATACATTTCTTTTTATTATACTTTACAACGAATATTTTAATAAATTTATCTGGAAGGAGATAATTTGAACGCATACCGAACCTATAATTACGCACTATTTATAAACTGGTACAGAAGACGCGAACAGCATACACTTGCAGTATCGTATCGTTTAATTAGTAGAATTTAGAATAGTTATGTAATTAATAAAAAGAAAAACTCTTAAATCAGTAAAACAACGTTTTATTAGCATTTCGGTACGACTGCGGTACAACGCTATAGGATACACCAGACAACACTATGTCATGCGATAAACAATTACAACCTGTCGTCGCGATAGAAAGATTAAGCACACCAACGAATCGTAATGGAATTAATTGTTATTTCCAATTAATTGTTTTTATTTACTTGTTAGCTTTTCGAGTGATAGCAACGTGACACTCCAAAACACGAGTACACTGTCTCAAGAGTAGTGTACTATCGTGAATTCACTTACCTTTGGCGTGAGACCTCAGGTGAAACGGTTAACCGTAGTCGGGTAACATCCTCAGGAACATCTGGATAGGGCAACGAATCTTTATGATGATTCGGGAATCGGAGAAATCGGAAAAAAACTCGCTTGTCCAGGAACTAAACACAATTCACTGTTCCCCACGGCGCCATGTTTATTCTCGAATGGCACGGGTGTGACAGATATATAACTCACGTTGTTGTAACGAGTATTACAGCGCCAATAGTGGCGACTAACAACTAAGTACGTTAGTGGGAAAATTTGAATTTACGTGGAATAGAATATCTGTATTTTCGTTTTGTTGAATCGATTTCTTTCAATAATAGTTGATGCTTCTACCGTTTCTATTAATAGTTAACTTCTTTGCACGTAATGATTAAAGTCTGTGGTTGTTCATGCCAATTTCCATTCCTAGTCACGAAAGTCAAATTTTAGTAATTTCGGCTAAATCTTCTTCCTTCATAGGATTTTTATACGATAGTACATTCTATAAATAATTGGAGGGTTCAGAAGGCAACCAGTGTAAGTCAACCTTTCATTAAAAATGACTTATGCCTTGTAAATACACCTTCATTGTTTATTTTATACGCAACCAGTTTCATATGTATGTATCCTATACACATGAATTATTTTTTATTTGTTGAAAGCATATATTACTTTTTACAGTCCATTTTCGAAACAATTATCTCTGTTAATTTACTTTTTGACTTACATTAATTGGCTTCTGTGCCCTCCAATCAAAGAAATGTAGTCAACACACCCGTGGTGCCATCTACGGCAAGACGCCCAAACTGGTAGCCAATTAATACTACACTTTTTCACTAGGTGGTGCTAATAGACACTGTTGAGCATCTGTTTTTATTTTTAAAAAATCAAAGATCGAGTAAAAAACACATCAAGTAATAAATATTATTGAATGCATATGACATATGATATAAAAGACGTCAGTCGATTATTTGACACCAACGAAATACATTTTACATCTATCTCAATATGACTCCTGTTTTTCAGTTAAACAGAATGTTTGACACTCTGAATCTTCACGAATTTATTCAATAACAACTGATAGCCCGGCGATTAAAATTTTTTATTTCCAGTATAGCTCTCTAAAAAACTTGAGTAAACGAATCCACGATCATTAGAAACAATTTCTGGCAACAGTTCAGGCTATTCAGTACTTTTAGTATCACAGATTTTCACGCGAAATTAGAAGTATCTCGAATTTTCAAACGACGCATTCATCTTTCGCAACTCAAGAAATATTCAAAAGAGCTCGCAAATTATTTATAAACGTTCCACATTCACTGGGCATTTCTGTAAAAGTGAACAAGGACATAAAAATAAAATGTGCTCGCCGGATCGTGGGCGATCGTCGATTTTCAGTCAGTCGAATAAAATTCAACGCTGGGATCTTCAAAAATGAAAATGTCCCGTGGACATCATTTATTATTATACCTAATGTCTGATATAATCGTGCGCTAACCTTTAAATCGGTACGGGTTCCTTATCTAGGCAATAATCAGTATGATACATGATACATTCAAAATTATAATTCTAGTTATATTGACAGCAGACTAATCTAAAGTGACAATCGTCACCACCATTCGCGACTGGTTCATACAAAAAGGTTTTGTGTTGTACACACGCATCGAGAACGAATCGTCGGCCAGTGGCTCGATCATCCCCCCCGTCGTGCTTGTTCCAGCTCCGTTTCGCAAATAAATTCATTTTTCTCGAAGCGAGAAACCCGCGGAAGTCGAAGCCCAGAGGAGAACGGAAGATTGAAACTGAACATGGTTGAGAAAAGAAAAAGAATAAAAGGGCTTGTATCGTGGAATACATTCGTTTCGTTTTACATCGCGTTACATACGATAAAAGAAAACCGTTTCTTTTAAATTCCCTTTTTCGTGTAACAGCATCCTTCGTGAAACGTCCTCGTCCTCAACATTATCATATACCCCCACGAGGAAACTCTGCTTCCGCTGGGGAAAAATGGCGTTAGGTAAGAACGTCCTACCACTTGGTCTCAGGTGTTACTGAAATTTTTGTCAAATTAATATTTATATTGATACTTGAAATAATTTGACCAAAGACCTAGCACTTTTTCCCCTAGCGGAAGCCGAGTTCCCTCGTGGAGAGCAACACGTTTCCGGTATACACTAAAATGGCGTCTCGGACCACGAGAATACCTATACATATACGAACCGTTCGGGTCCTTACGGCCGGAGAACGAAAATAATCGATCACACTTTTCCTTTCTTCGTCGTACAATTTCATTCTCCTTCCTCACGATTATGTATAACTTTACAATTCTACTAGTACAGCTTATTAGAAAAGTGCGTTAAATCTCCAGAAACCGTTTCTCTTTACAATTGGCGAAATGAAAAAATATCTCGACGGATATATATATAAGTACCCTGGAAATAAATCACGTTAAATGTACATACAGTCTCGCGTTCGCCAAAAATGTTGTTGCTCGTCGTCACGAATAGAAAAAATTTCCTATACTTCGATCGTTTCGTTTATTATCAGATTCACGCCTTTCTTCTTCGATCTCGCAAGTAGTGTGTAACGGATGTCTCGGTTGCTGCTTATCTTACAAAGAGGCCATTTTGTTCCCTCCTGAAATTCCCTTACTTAACTTCCCTTGCGTGTCAATCGCGCGCAAGAAAGAAAGTTTTCGGTTTCTCGCTCCCCCATCTGTCCCGTCTCTAAATTCGGAGACAATCGTCTTTCTAATCGCTTCGAAGACTTAACAATTATACGAGAACGAACAGATAATTTAATAGGAACGTGTTCTTTTATTATCAAAAATTCGTATGACCAGCAATTATTGCCCATACAACGTGTTTGCGCGCGCGCGCGCACATGTGTTGTGTGTATACGTAAAAATTAATCTATGTATCGTCGCGACAGGACTGCATATTTTGTTTTTTCTTTTCTCCCGCTTTGTCTTCTCGTACTTCCGTTTTAATAAAATCATCACCCCTTCCCCATTATTTCGTTCGTTTTAAACGAAGAAACTCCAGTAAAATTGCACGTTATGTATGTCTAAGGTCTATTCATGGTTTTCCTTTTCTTCTACACCTTTGTTAAGTTTCTTTACGAAATACGTTTCTAAATTACGTTGGTATCCCGTGAGTACCGTATACAGTGTGTGTGCGTGTACATACACTTCTTCACATTTCGTTTCCCGTTCCGATGAGATGATCGGTGTCATTGTTGAAAAAAAACACAAAGAACAGCAAGGAAGGAAAAACGTAAGATTCGATCTCCGTTTTTATCTTACGGAGCTACGCATATTCGACATGTGCCGACAAACGTGTCCTAGTTTGAGATGTTTTCCTTCTCCATTCAAGGTAAACTTTTTAATATTCAAAGTAGTGTATATTAATCGAACGATCCTATTGATTTATTTAAAATAGATGAAAAGATCGGATTTTTTGTTCTAGCGGTATTTTGATATTTCTTTTATAAGTAAAAGTAAGGTTTTCATAAATAAAAATAATGAGAGTTCTTGTAATGAAATGTATCAATTTCGAACGGCTGCCATTTTGTGGAAAGTAAATATCTCGACGACTGGGTTTCGTGATCTACCTGATAACGATATCACGGATACACCTGAAACTACAAAAATCCTCGTCTGGAAAGTGTAGAAATTTCTTTTCAACAAGATTCACTTCCATTAGAAACAAAATCTCAAAGGTTCGATGCGTTTCTCGGCGGTTCGAACGTGTGCGTCGCTCCAATTAAATCCATGGAGCCATGTCTGCGGCGACGAAGAAAGTTTTGTACAAAAGACTCTGTTTTTTTTCTTTGTTGTCTATTATTCTTCTTCGAGCACGGACGAAAAATCTGTACACGTTTAAGACTTATACAATACTTATACAAAGGTTACGTATTAATTCGCCTCGATACGATCGGAATTAATCCTCATCTGGATACGACGGAATTTTTAATCACACCTCGACTGAAAGTGTACAGTGTGCTTTTCCGAATCCTTTGGGAGATTCGTGTGTTAAAACACTACGGGAGCCATTTTGGAAGGGCCATCGGGTCCGATGGATCCAGACGAAGATTAAATCGGTTGCAAAATGGCGGTCGCGGTTAAGCCATCAGTCCTCCGTGATCAATGTCCAGAAAAAGGGTCGAACGGCTTTAAGGACACTGAACGCGTGATTTATCGGTCCAGGAAAAGTAAAAAAAAACCGTTGTTTCTCGACTCCAACGAAGACGGTTCTTTCATCATGTTATAATATTGTAAAATCATTTCGGCCCATGTAATATGACCCTGAAACCTCGACCCTTGGAATTCGAATAAGTGCCTTTATTATCGTCTGATTTCAGATACACAACGCAAACAATTTTAATTGTCGTTCTTCGCTGAGATATTACGCTCGCGCGCGTCTCTATGTACAATCAAAGTTTTCAAGAAAGAAAAAAAAAGATCGAACGGACCGGTACGCAAGTTTCACTCCGTGCGAGACTCCAGGAAGACGCTTCCACCGTGGTTTTTTGATTAAAATGGAAGCTCCGAATTTGTTCGCCCGCTTAGAGTACATTTCACCCTACTCTACGGTCGTGGTGAAATTACAAGATGAGTCACGTGACCGCGCGCGTACAATGATATTTTTTTTCTTTTTTTCTTTTACAGCGAAATGGTAATTCGGTTTTGGAATTACGAAAGAGTTCTCCGGCGAATTCGTACGATATAATTTCTTATGCTTCTCAAAGGTGTGGGAGGTTTTCGTATTTCTTCTGTAAAAAATGCAAACGTGTTATCCATGATAATGGGGTTGTCTCGTGAATGGTCTTGCACCTCCTTCGGCAATTCCAACAACACGGTTCCTAAAATTACTTATGTGTCTAATACTTCGTACTTACAATCCCCGTCGACTCACCCGCCATTTCGGCGGGTCGATTAACATAGGTACAATATATAAAAGTGTTTCTTTCTCTGACCATCGAAGAAAAGGGCTCGACATCCTTTCTCGTATAAAAAGATTCGACGTAGTAATCATCCCTAAAAAATATTATGCCGCTCGAAACAATTTGATCACATTTACAGGTGCGGTTTGCGTAATTAAATTAGAAAAAAATTTAGCGCATAATTATCAAGCCTAACGAATTGCTTGTACAGTTTCGCTATAATCGCGTTAAATTTGCTTTCTTTCAAGGTCACTTTACTGCCCTTTTCGATGGTCTTGAAAAACCAGTTGAATTTGTTCCGATTATAGCCGAAAGCTTTTGATGAACAATTTATAAATTCCCGAGCAATAGCGACAACTGCACTTTTTTGAACTTGAAATTTTAGTCATATACATATAACCTTTTTTTTGTTAAAAAAATGTATAAAAATCGGGGTTTATCGATAGCATGCATTGGAATAATAAAAGATTCAAAAGAAGAATAATAAGCCTTATTTATAAGGAATCGGAATTTTCAAAGTTACGCACACCTCGCCATGCGTCGAAATCATCCACAAATGAGCATAATGCTAATTGTAACGAACGGCGTATCAACTAACTACAATTTCGAAATTATAATCAATGTAACTGACGTTACATTTTTACATGCTTTTAGTCGTCTGAATAGTCTAATCGTCTAATCGAACGAAAGCGAGTCGGTTTGGTAAAAACAAAAGAAAATAACAGAAAAACGCAACGATCGGAGCCCTCCTCTTCGACCTAGGGGATATATCGTATAATTAATAATATTTACAAACTTCATCGAAAAATGCCGTCAAGCGAAACAAAGAGAGGCGAAGATCGTGCGTGTCGGACACCGCCCGACCCACTTAGAGCGTCATCTAAAGTATACACAACGTTTTGCTACATCGAAATCGTACTTAAAAGAAAAGTCGCTAAACTCGTGAAAACACGGCGAAAAACACAAACGTGTTCCGCGTCGCTACGATGCTTAACATTCGTCGCAATCCAGGGGAAAAACAATTGCACTGGGACAGGCTGAGGACAAGCGTCGCTCAGTCTCTTGGAACCGTGTACAGAGAAACAGACAGATAAAGAATGTGACAGAGAGAAGAAAAAGAAAGGAAAATTAGCTTTTTTTTTTGCGCGCGTTTATTCGTCGCGTCGAAACGCTGCGAACGTGATCGGGGAACACCGAAAGAAAAAGAAAAAATAGATCTCTAGTCTAATTGAAAAAATACTGTAGCAGGTATTATGACCACATTAAAAGTAAATTAAACGTAATTATCATATCTTTATTTTTACAAGTTATATCGATAAAAACAGAGAAATTCCCCCCTCCAAAAAAAAAAAATGATTCCAGATTCTCGGCGGAAATCCTCGAGGAAACTGATTATCAAATGATTGCAGGCTCGATCACTATGTGATCACGTGCGCGTCGATGGCGTTTTCTCGTGCTGTTAACGGTTTCGCGATCTCAATCGAGGGGGGAGGAGGAGGAGTTAGAACGCTGTATAAAAGAATCGTTTGGGACATATTGTCTCTGTCCCCCGTGTCTTAGGGTAATTTATTGTTAACGGTGGTTTCATTTCGTGTGTCCTCTGTATTCTTCAGGCCGGCAAAGTTGACGCGCGCGAACAGATTCAGACGGACATAATCCCAAGTTTTCTGTGGTGTCGTTTCGAACGCTTTTCTTCGGCGAATTCTATGCAACGATTCTATATATTTAACGATACGGTAAACGTGGCAATGAAGATTCGATGATGGAAAAAGAAAAAAAAAAAATATAATCATAAGTGGCTGATATCCGATCGCGAAAAAGAACAGTTCAGACGGCAATGATATCCGAGGAACAACAATTCTTGTGATCGAAATGGCATGATTGCATCCTTGACCATCGCGGATACCACACAATTTTACCGACCAGTCGGTGCTGTGAGGGATCGTTTGATCTTTTCTTCTTTTTTGTTTTCTCGTATTTCATCATTGTTTCATTCATTACAATCGAATCTCCGATCAATGATTCACCTCTGCCTTCTTCTTCATTTCACTCGTTTCGAATTATCATTTTTTTTTCCCGTATTTATTCAGTTTCTTTGTATTTTTATTCAAAGTAGATTCCAGCGACGCGTCGTCGCTCCTAACAAGTGGGGATATAAAAATTAATCGTATGTATAATTGTATAGATAATCTAGCCAGCTAATTGCCGTTTACAAACTAGCAACTATTTTTAGTTAACTGATATTCAATATAGTTCACGGCCTTAAAATTATAAAACAGATTAGTCTGCCCGTCGATATTCACTATTAATTATTGCAGCTCCGGTGAGATATAAATCTTCGTCGTGTGGCCGTCACTCCTGCCTGTCGTCGTTAATTCATTTTTTTTTTCACTTCTTTTTTTAAAACCTCTTTATACGCTCCTCCCTATTATCGTGGTCGTTGCAATAAACGCAATCTCCGTTCTGTTTCGTACATCTGATCCCGAATGACTGGACGGAAGAGGGCTCGTTCGAATAGCGATATCGTTTCCCGCGCGTCGCGACTTCCGCTTTTCGAACTGTCGAGAACGTGAGAGCAAAGACAAGACGCGCTGCTCCAATTAACGATAACCACCATCCACGGTTCTTTTTCTCTTCGATCGTTAATGCCAATCACCAAACATATAAGAGACAGAAAAACAAGGAAGGCGACGATCGGAAAATATTTTACGTGTAAATTAATACTAATTGCGGACCTTCGTTTCATTCTCTGCTTAGGTTAGGTTTCGAAAGGGCCGAGGTTCAGACACGCCTTCGACGGTGAAATTCGTCTTCTCAGATTCGCTCAGGAACTTCCGCGACGAGCGTTTATGTATCCGTTAAACATACCGTATATACAGTGGACCTCTTGACATATTGCAGCATGCTATATTGCCGCGCGAGGCATTTCCCCTGCACATGTACTTTTACGCTAACGCAAATTTGCTCTCCCACCACGTTGCGTACGTCGTCGGCACCAGCACGATCCTAGCTCTCGATATGTCGCCGTTTCCGAGAATTTTACTACTCTCCTACAGCCCCGGTAATATATCAAGAGAGTCCACTCTACGATCCGCATCATAGCGAACTGGTTACCGCGTTTCCTGTCTATAGATCTACCACTACTACCCCTTCTCGGCCATTCGTAACTCCATGGAATTCGATTCAAACGAGTCACAAGTACCTCGACGATATATACGTCCACTGCCATTATATTTCTTCTCTTCGGGGACGAGCCGCACACACCGTGAATACAAAAAAAGAACAAAAAAAAAATATACAGAAACACTGATGATTTCTATCAACTCGACCGGTGCAAATCAATTGGAAGAAACTACTAAATTCATGTTAGACAAAACGAGACTGGTCGACCAATCCGATGTCAGCGTTGCCTAAGTAATTGAACGTGTCTATATCGAGTGAGAAAATATATAAAGCCGGATTCCCCCTGTCTCCAACACATCGTGTGTCACAGAAAAACAAATGAACATTATTGTGGTCGGCAGGGTGTTCCGATTGTTTTTTACGAGCCCGTACTCTTCCGAGTCACGTGTGTTCCATGTTTTTTTTTTTATAGATTACTCACTCGCGGAAAATATCGCTAAGTCTCTGTTTGATATACCCTTTTTCTCTCTCTCGATGCGTTTGAAATTTCAGTGGTATGTATACACATATAATATAATCGACTGTGTGTTTGTGTGTATGCCACACACCCCAATTATATATATATATATATATATATATATTCTTTCCATCAGAACCTGAATATCTCTTCACGAAATTCGTGTCTCGATGGACGGCTCTGGAAACTCGCCACGAGCACACGTCACTTCATGTTCTTTACATTTTTTTCGCACGCACACACGAGTGCTGTCTCGTGTTTATCTCAATGTTAATTAGTGATTTTTTTGCTTTTTTCGACGTTATTTCGGTGTGTTTTTGTTTCTCTTAGAAAAAGGTTAAAAACTTAACCCCTTTACCAGCTCCTGAAAGGTATCCTCTAGCTGAATCATTTAGGCTCTGGGAAGGTCACCTGACACTTGTAGACTTCTTCGAGCATTACTGCTTGGCCTTGACCTTGGCTCACGGTGACAGGGGTCGCGGCGTTCACCACGACAACCTGTTGACCTTGTTGCGTCTGCTGGGGTTGTTGTTGCTGTTGTTGTTGTTGATTGCTCGCGTTCGGTTGCTGTGCGTTGCTCGGATTGTTCGCGTTCTGGTTCCGGGCTGTCTGCCCGTACTTTTCATGGATTGCACGGTGACGCTTCAATGCGAAGCGATCGGAAAACCCGATCTCACATATGTCACATCTGAAAAGAATCAAAAAATAAAATAGTATTCGTTCCGAGTAATCTGCTTTGATCCTGTTAGTGGTTGGACAGTGATATTGTTATATTTGTCAAATGTATTCGAAAAACATTTATAGACAATTTGTCAGAATAGGTACTATTAGTGTCAGTGGATAGCAACTGATTCCATCGAAACGGTAACGACTGAGTTGTATTCTAAAGAGTGCATTACCTGTGTGGCTTTTCTCCAGTATGGACCTTCGCGTGATTCTTCAGATGTGTAGCTTGATTAAAGGCCGAGCCACATATACTACATTTGTAAGGTTTTTCACCGGTGTGGATCCTCCTGTGATTCCAAAGGGTCGAATGTCTGGCGAATGTTTTTTCACACACTTCACACTGATAGGGACGTTCACCAGAATGAATTCTTTCGTGGTTCTTTAAATGAGGACTTTGCGAGAACTGCATACCACAGACACTGCATTTGAACGGCTTTTCACCGGTATGCACTCTTCCGTGGTTTTTCAGATAAGCAGCTGCAAAGATAAAATAATACTTTAAGCGTGTACATTTTGCAGTGGGTATCTTGTGTTGTATTATTAGTTTTCTGTTTCACGTCACCTTTTGCAAAAGCTAAGCCGCAAATCTCACACTTGAAAGGTTTGTCCCCAGAATGAAGTCTCTTATGGGACCAGAGCGACGAGTATCGGGAGAATGTTCCATCGCAGACATTACAGTGGAACGGTTTCTCTGCCTGATTCTGACTGTTCTGTTTCCCACCTGCAATTAAAGTAACCGGGTTCTTAGTTTTCCTCGAAGGGCCAGTTCTACAAAATAGATGCGATGATTTGATGAATGCATCGGGTAATGCAAGACAAAGGATTGTGTATGATTTTTGCTTTTCTTGAAAGATTCTTTCATGATACATTGAAAAGAATATTAGACTGCCGATTAGTTTTGAATGATAAATTAAACGTTTCTTTGTTTTTTTAATGAAGATAATGATGACACGAAAATATCTAAACATGCAGGTTGTCAGAGTTAGTGCAGTAAACAGGGAACGAGTAAGTACAGAGTCAAGCCTGAAGATTAAGCTGAGTTAAGAATACGAAAATGATTTCTCCATGGCATGTACAATGAAACAAAAGGTGTACCAAATGGTAAACTGAAATTGAAAAGAACTTTTGAGTATTAAAAATACTAAAGACCAGTAGATTAAGTTTATAAAACTGTCCCTTAGGGGAAATTTTATTCCATGCAACGATTCTTAAATTTAGATACTGATGTGTTTTTACCAAAAAGGAAACAGAATTGTTACAGCAAACTTTAAAATGCACATTAAAACTGTAAAAATAAAGTTAGTAAGTATTCACTAATTTTTGTTCATGTATAACCATGCAAAGAAAAATATTAATTCTTGAAAGAATCTCACTACAGTTTGTTTTTACATGTTTTTAGGATAAAGTGACTAATTTTATTCAATGATTGTATGAATTTCAAGTTTATGAACCAAACAGAAGATGAATGTTATTTAATGATTAATAAGTATTGCTACAAGTCACATAATAAAATATTGATGGTAATTAATCTTCCTTCGAAGAAGTTACGGGAATCTACAAAAATTTTTAACAATTAGAATCCAATCATGAACGTTCATGAAGTACATTCTGTAATAGTAATCCGGTGTTCTTTTTGGCTGTAATTTTTCCGACTTACTTCCTATGATGATGCGACCTGTTGCCTTGCAGGCGCCACACTTTGCGAGGGAACTGATTCCAGAATCTAGTTTATCGTCGTCTTTACCTACCATACACCACCCGATTGACGATCATGATAGCAATGAAATGATGCAAGTAGAGGAGAGATGATTGTGATGTAGGAAGAAAAATGTTTTTTCTTTTGTTTTCTCTCTCTCAAATACATCGAAACTTGTTACAATTGCTATACTTAACAATACCACATCGATTGGAATCAATGTAAAGGTTTTATATTTTGCAGCAAACATTTTTCTTCAGTTTGCATGAAGCGTGACAGTGATGAAATTGTTACTTACCAATAAAAATTATTCCCGTGCCATTACACTTATGACACTTCGTGACACTCGTAACGCCCCTTCGTTTCACAGGATGATGACCAGGTTTAATAGCTGCAAACATAAAGTTAGCAACATCGTTACATTGAATTTTTTATCGACGAAGAAGTTCGGAAACGTACTCTTTTTAATTTTAGTAGGATGATGCTCGCAGGGGTCCTCGCTACCGCAATCTTCGCAAATCTGCACCTTTGGTTTTTGGTGCATATTTGTTTTATGGCTCTTCAATTCTCCTGGTAGTGCAAAGCATGCTCCGCATATATCACAGGTATATGGTCTTTCTGGTGTAGTCGCAACAGTAACTGTTGTCGGTGTTTGCACAACGACCTGTTGCGGTTGCTGCTGAAGATTACTAGGTGTTGTGTTATGAATCCGTTTGTGATGATTCAGTAAGCTCATGTGCCCAAAGACCAGACCACAAATGTCACACTTGAAGGTAGCATTGGTGGCAGCTGCGATGCTCATCTGGTTTAACAGTGTGTTATAACCAACAGGTTGCACATCGAAACGATAGCAACCTTTATCGTCTGTGGTTATTGCACCGATTGTGCCCACGTTTGTTTGAACTTTCTGGAGCATGTTGACATTGTAATAGAATGGGAATTCCGCAGTAGCTGATTGCTGCTGAGATTTGTCCTCCTTCTTGTCTGTCGTGACATACATCTGCTGAGACTGTTGCTGCTGAGACTGTTGACCTTGAGCAGCTTGTTGCTGCTGCATTTGTTGTGGGTCAAACATTGCTGCTTGTTGCTGCAACGTGAAATTCACCTGATAATTCTATGTTATGCAGCGTTTAATGTATTTTGTAAAGAGATAGGTACATGCATTGCTCCTTGAGCAAAGCGAACATGATTCTAGTAACAAATTATCGTAGTAGAGCAGCGTAACAAAAAGTTAAAGTGTATAAGATCATCTTATTTGCATACAGTGGGATTATTTTTAATATTATGTAATATTTTGTATATCTTTTGATCTGTGCTTTCAGGCACACATAGAAGCCTATCTCTGTGGACATTTCAATAATTAACCACCTGTCTCTGATCTCCGTAGCTCGAATTGCTCTGCTCCGTCTGAGTAAAACTATTAGTTTGCTCAGTTTGGGTAAACATGGAACACTTCACTGGCTGCTCAATTGGTTGGCTCTGTTGAACAATAGTTACCATTGTATACAAAGACACCAGTACAATTACATTGAAAAAACGAAAATAATATACTGTAAAGTTTTCCCTTAATCAACGTGCTACGTACGCTGCTATACGTTTCATTTGTATCGAGCATCAGAAAGAAAATAAAACCTAATTTCCTCTTTACATCGTTGCGGTATACAAGGCGCATACCTGTTGTATTTGATCAGGACGGGTTGTGTTCAACCACACCACGTTGTTGCCATTTGATTCCAGGGCCATTGATGTGTTGCCTTTGACCCTGCACAATCAGTAGGCATTCGTTAAGCAGAAATAGAGCCTGAGGAGGTGCCTGCTTCAACTGCCCCCCTGATCAAAGCCACAGCAAGGTAGAGAAAGGAAGGACTTTACCATAAATCAGAAACAAGAATCATCAAGGAGAACCGCGAAGCGTCAACTGAAACTTCTTATAACCACAATGACGATAGAATACTCACATGTGATAGTCTACACAGGCGCCGCGGGTTACATGTCTGGCTGCCAAACGGACGATCTTCTAGTTGCCATGACTGCGGCGCGGAGTGCCGCGCAGCTGGTCGGACTTAATCTTGACGATCGCGATACTTCGGCAACTGGTTTCGGTCTATCGTCCTATACAACATCCGAGAACGGGTTCCTCGTGTCGGTTGGGCCGTGGTCGCGGCGGAAAATCAATGGCGATCGATTTTCAGCTTCGATGTACCTCCTCGGTACGTTCGATCCCGCTAGAAATCAACTCCGGTCACAACACTTCCGATAATCTCGCCCCTTGTGGATGCCGCGAAATCAGCTTCGAGTTACACGCTTGTCAATGGGCAGCGTTGACCCGCGCAGATCATGTCGTCCAAGCGCGGTGGCGGCTACGGCGACCGATGTACGAAGCGCGAGTTTCTCGGGTCACATAAAATTGGCGGTACCTCGCGGGCCACCGCTTCTCTCCCGTTTATTCTGATCAGGTTGGGCCACGTCGCCGCGTATCGTGGCTCAGGCTAGGCCGTAGCGCGAACAAGCAGACCGAGCACCGTCAACAAACTCTGCGGTAGCCATTACACGCGACGAGGATAACAATGGGCGACACGAACGCGCGCTGCCCCGATGCCTTTTTCCGAAGCGTTTTCGGGCGCCTTCCGTGAATGCAGCCAAGCGCCGCCAAGGTCACCACCCGGTGACGCTAACACCCGTTACACCGGGATCCCCCATTGGTCCGCGACCAACTGTCGCCGTCTCCCATTGGGCTTCGTATCCTTCACGTGCGAAACTTGGAAACGATTATTTACCTTTCTCTCTGTAAAAATCATGCAATTTTTTTGTTTCGACACCGTCAGATTACTTTTTAGCTTAGTTTTTGCTATATATTTTTGGTTGGACTTGTTTGAAATAATTTCGAAGATTGTCGTTTCTGGTGGAGACGAATGAAATATTTAAAAGGGTCTATGAAGTACCTAAGTAATCAAAGTAATTGTTATTCGAGGAATAGATAATTAAATTTGTAAATTGAACATTTTTGAATTTACAGTGTCGATTTAAATATGAAGGTACTTTGGATAGAGATAAGAATTGTAGTTGACGTGGAAATCTGGCTTCAGAGTACGCGTCCATGAGTGTTTCAACGATTCGACGTGAGATGGAGCTACTGAATTGATGAAGCTCGTTTGGTTCAAACGGTTATTCGAAGTTTCTATTTACTCGTGCACGATAACGCGTATATTAGCGAAGAAAATACTCGTTGATTTGCAGTTAAATTAGTTTGGATCATATAACGTACGTTAATGACTTTCAGTCGTCTCGGTGATTCATAGAAACGTTAAATAATGAATCTGTACCGGAAAACGTTTCCAAAATATCGTTCGAAGTCAGTTGGCAAACTTCCACTGCTCGTTCCGTCTTTCCACTGAAATTTCTCTTTTTTCTTCACGGCTTTAGTCTTCAGAAATGACAAAATAAAATAAAAAGGTATGAAGGATATGTTTATTTTTTGTGAAGCCACTTTTAACATCTATGATTTTTTTTAATCCAATCTATTATTCAAATAATGAAGTAATCAACGCAATTCGTGGTACTAGATTAGTGTGTATATTAAAGCTACCATACAAGAACAAAATGGCGATAATTTTCGTTACTTTTGTGGTTCTTTATTATATATTCTTTGATCTTTGTGGCAATATTAGCCACTGCATGTGCACATGAACGAAGGTGGAACAATTTATGCGGACATGGAAGTTTCCAAGATACATTTCCATTTCATGAAACCTTCTTGGGGACAAAATTGAAGAAATTTAGGCGAAGAAGGTTTTCGTTGAAAGAGCAGTTACACAAAGAAGAAAAAGGTTCCCCCGGGACGCGCCAGTAATCATCGAGGCGGAGCTGAGAGCTATTCTCGACCCGGAAACTTCTCGTTTTTCCCAACTTTTTCACGAAACAGCATTTTGATTTCGGTATATTTTTTCCATCGTTAAAAATAAACCGTGTCGTCGGCTTGTTTTCTGCTCGACGTTTTCTCGTTCCTTTAGACCAGCGTGATCTAGAAAACAACCCTTTCGCTCTGCAGTAAAGAATATTGTCAGTCGGCCTCGTATCAAAGTACCGAATGAAAGAGTTGCAGCTGCAGTTTGTCGCAATCGCAGACTAAAGTAAATGTACCCATTAGCGACTACATTCCTACTATCTACCAATCGTATGTATTTTTTTTTTAAGAGATAATATTCACTCATTTATGAGAAAATAATTATTTATTAATTTATTTATGATAGATTTGTCATTATATTTAATTACATGCGTCGTTCACAGTAGAGGACCAGTTGAATCGTCATTCATGAGTTGACTATATCCATAAATTATTTTTCATGTATTCATTCGTTTGAGTTGGCTACACAGCCACCAAATCATTGAAAAGTGAGAATACTTTACGATCAATCCAATGTATCGATCAAAGTCAGGTTTGTTATACCGTTGGAAAAATCATCTCACGATTTTTGTTTCTCCGAATACATGAAACCGCGTGGGAAGTCGCGCTGTTGATGACTATTTAACAGCGGTCGCAGGACACTATTCTGAAATTTGTGTGTCATCTTGTTTGTGGTTGGCGTCTGCGAAACGGTCGGCTATTAACTTCAAATGCTAGACGAAAAGCGGCTCGGTTGTCCTCGTAACTTTCCGAAATAAACTGTCAACAGGCTTCTGCGAATAAGGATGATTCTAACACCGCGTCTTGCGTAACGAATATTTCTTCAAAGATTCTGGAAATGTACTTTCCACGGAAGGGACGATCGGAAGCATTGATACAGATTAAATTAGCCCATTCCATGTGAGTTACTTTTTATTTATATATCCTGTTTGTGAAGCCTCTGTGAAAAAATTCCACAAGACTTTCTATTATAATATTCATTAATGTTACATGATTATTTGTCAAATCTTTGATGGCATATTGCCAAAAATTTATTTAGATATGTTCACCTAATATAAAGAAAAGACAACGAAGACTTTATTTGTGGTAGAGAATCAGGAAAAGTGTAGAAAAAGTTGAAATTTATAGTAAAATATTAGATCGAATCTTCACAAATTTCTATTAAAATTGGTATAAATTCACTGTACTAGAAACAAAATTTCTCCGAAGAGGTTCTAATTGTAGGTAAAAATATTCCCCAGAATACTTCAATGTCCCTAACAATTGGCTATCGTCTCAGGGTTCCCGTTGTTCCTGTTTCGTCAACTCAACCGAAGTCTGAACGAATTCTACCAGACGACTATACGGCCCTGGAAATCGTAGCGCCCGTTTCAAAACGCCTCGGCGGCGCCCGGCACCAGTCGAGCTCAGTCAGTTGGCGTCGCGACGCCACCGCCAGTGGTTTTCGAGAGACGCACCTAACGGTGCTAGTCCCGAGAGTTCCCTTTTGCTGACAGAGGCCGAATATAATTATTCAAAAAGACGCAGTGCACGCGATCAGTGAACGTCGACACGAATCCTCGTCATTGATCTTCAGCAAGCACTTGATCGGTGTATATCAATCTGTCGAACGAAAAATCCTATATAGAAGCAATAACAATAGCGGTTCTAGAACAAAAATAAGAAAAACTACCGTGCAAACATGCAAACTGTCCACGGAGAAGAGGACATTCGAAATCGATTAAACGGTCCAGAATTGCGAATGTGATGACAATTGTGTCAGTGCCGCGCACTATCGATGACCCAGGAGATCTATAATTTCCCATCGACTGATTGCCCTCTGTGCTTCGTTCGAGCGTGATAAACCTAGTTAAGGGAACGGTGTTCTTGGTCCAGATGATGCACAGGATGACGGAAGGGGTCACGAGCGACGTGATCTTGGCACGTATCAGAATTATATGACACACGAGGCTCGTAAGTCCTTCGATCATTAGACAGACGAAGTGATAAATATCCGATTAATGCGGATCGATTTCATGGAGGTTGAGTGGACAGAAGAAAAAGGAGATCACGCAGGATTGATTTGACAGTTTCAAATCTCCAAGAAAAATAAGACTTTGTAAATCAAATTCATGTCGAGACACTCGAAGTTTGATCCCTAAATCTTCGAAGTTAGAAGACAGTCGATGCAGTAAACTTACATCCTCGAAAGGTCGATTGAGAAGAAACGTTCGAGGCCAAGGGAATTCGAGGTGACCTCGAAAGGGTTCCGTTTCACGGGAAACTAAAACTCTTCATCGATCCCTAAAACTTCCCGCTGGGAGAGGAACCAGAGGAGCGGAGGCCCTCGAGGAAGCGTCGATTTGCATCGTTAAAGTGGAAACCCGGGGCTTATTTATTCGCCGGCGGACTTTAACTGGTTCATCGAGGAAAGAAAAAACCGTGAACGAGCTTGGGAACATTTGGTTTGATCGATCGTTCCTAGTTTGGAAACTGTCTCTCGCGGAAATGTCGTTGCGGGTGTACTAGCATAGTCGCGTTTGAAAAAAAGATTTTCTTTGAAATTGTAAATTCTTAATCGAGCCTCTGCACAGATACCTTTTGTTCACTTTCCATTTGCTTTTGTATACGGTGGGAGGAATACTCGAGTGACCAATCTCGAAACTCGTCGACACGTTCGCGCACGGTCGATCTATTTATTACTAAGATGCATCCGGGGTCACCGACCAGCTGGATGTCACTCGAATAATTTTAGACGGGCTTGAAATCGGAAATCACGGCTGGACCAAGTTCGAGATCATAGAAAGGGGGGATAGTCAAGATCGCCGATTCTTTGTGATCTTTAACACGCATGCTTCACTTCCATCTGCTCGGTGATAACATCATTTCTTGCTTAATCGTATGATCTTGCCGCAACGGAATCTTCCTGGACCGTGAATAATGCTTTTTATGTCATTGAAATAGGGGATCATATCGAACACGACTCCAGTGCTCCGATGACGGATGTCCTGAACTTATAAAATTCCGTTTACCGGCACCTGCTCGCTTGGTCCGGATCATCCGACGTCTGTTCACCGCGTGATAAATTGACGGCCATCGCGAAGCGTGACTGATCGCCCGGCGATCCGATTTCCTCGCGACAAAATTCCGCGCGGGGAATTTCGGTTCGGATCCGCCGGCCGTTCGCCACCTATTTATATGTGTTCGCAAATATTCGCGGATCCACGAAACCGTGTGTGAAAAATAGAATCTTTTTTTCTGCCCAGACTCCTCGTCTCGTTGAGAATATACCGAGATATTGTGAAATATTTGCGCACACTTAGTGTTAAATACGAGAATACGATATTGTCATTGTGATCTGACTTTGCTCGAATGAAGAAAGAAGTGCATAGGACAAAAGTGTCCCGTGATCTTGATTCCATGGGAACTCATCATCTCTCCAGATGAATATGTAAAGCATATGTATATTATGTAAAACATAAGAAGAAATTCTAATGCATCTAGTTAAGTGAGACATACGTAGAAGAGAGTATTAGTTCTTCTAAAGGACAAAATTAATCGTAACAGTGAGTTTATAATTGAATACTAGTCATTTTCATCTCTCCAGAAACAAACATATTTCCGTGTGATCTCTGTATCCATCGTAAATGAAACCTGAAGAGGCAAATTGTGACGGTTTCGATGGACTAGAACATACACAGAAAGAACAATAATCCATCCAAGGAACAGAGTCTTCGAGCAGAAAACAAAGGGTAGATTTCATCTACTCACTTCCTCAGACTTTCATCGTTAATGAAGTGATACTATCGATCAAGCGAGCCCACTGACCAGATAAGTTTTCATTCAAGAATTTCAATTTCCACGAGGATTGCGTGAATTTGTGTGATCGAAAAGAAAGTCCGCAGCGAAGATGTCGAGTTCACCGGGTGCCCGAAAGGCGCCTCCAAGGCCGAAGATTCAGCTTCCGTTACCGGGACAATATTATCCGCAAACGTATGTGCCGACACCGTACGGTCAGACCCCCATACCGATGACGCCCGTTTCCGGTCAGCCTCAGGTGATCTACTCGAATCGGGCCAGCGAGTTTGTCTTTAGCCAATTCAAGGGTATCAAGGACCTGACCAAATCTGGATTGAGCGTCGGGGAGAAGAGCGCGTTCTGGCTGTACGAGAAGGTCCGCCGATAATAATTCTTATATGGATCATTTCACATGAAATCAGGGACTTCTACCGAAATTTAAATTACCCGTATTATACCGGTATTTTCGTTTGTACCTTCGCCCTATATAATTCTATATACGCCCTACCCTTATAGAAATCGAAAAAATACCGGTATTTATTTCGGTTCTCGGTAATATATCGATTTTGGTGTAGCTTTGATGGCATAATACCGGTATCAAAATCATACCGGTTTAAGTCCCTGCATGAAATCGGACACTTTTTGGAGTAACATATCAACCAAGTTTCATCGAAATTCAACATGTTACTGCAAAAGGTGTCCCGTTGCGTATAATAATAATAATAATAATAATAATAATAATAATAATAATAATTAATATTTTCTTTATATTATAATTTATCCGTAAATCTCGTAAAATCGCTGACGCGTTCACGACTTTTTCTGCGTAGGTCAGTTCCTGGAGCAAACGGTGGTTCACGCACATTTTCTTATTTGTTGTCGTGCTTTTGTACAGTATCGGGGGCGCGATGATCTTCGTCACGATCGAGGGAACGCACGAGGACGCGGCGCACACGAACATAAGACGCGAGAGGTGGGTGTTGAATTTAAATTAATTTCTACACTGCCCGGTTGAAAGTTTCTCACTCAAGAAATTCGAGTAGCTCTGATTAGGAAACTTTTCGTCGGCCAATTGAACGTGTTTCGTGATGGTTGACGATGGTAATGGAGTGTTGAACTTAATTAATTTCTGCATTGCCGGTTGTAAGTTTCGGATTTCACTCGGTGAAAATCAAAGGCTATGAAGATTGTTTAACCAATAAACTCGAGTAGTGGTAATTAGGAAACTTTTGAACGGCCAATTGAATGTGTGGTGGTTGACGATGTTGGTGAGGAATATCGAATTTTTCTTTGGTAAAAGTGGATTTCGAGGATCAGAGAGGATCATAGAAAATTAGAATTTTCTGATTGTTTATCGAAGGAAGTAAAATACAAGGGGAAATTTAATTTTCTTAGATCAATGTGCTAGGTTCACTTGAGATCGTGTTCAGAAAAGGTTAGTAACGATTCGTTAGGTTTGATACGAAGTATATAGGAGAAGTTATCTTCTCATTGGTCAGTCCATTGGCGATTCAATTTCACTCGATGGGAGATATTATTGGTTTATTCTTTCCATCAGTGGGCAGTCACGATATCGCGCGTTTCTGACCTTCGTCTCAAGGAAAATTGCTTTCGAAGGGTAGGTACAAACACGGCCGCTGAATATTACATCGGTCGTGTGCGCGGGGCAGATCAACACCGGGTGGAAAATGTGGGGCAATCGAACGCGTATTAAAACGAACACGGAGATCCAGCGAGTCCTACGATACACACAGAGTTTCACTTGTGCAATTTTCATCAATATGCAATTAACCACGGGACCCTAGTCTATCAATAATATTCGAGAGCTCTGTCTTTTAAAATTAATCAACGATCTCTGTTTTCACGGGCTTTACGTTCATTAATCGTTCGGAATATGAATCGAGCAGTTGTAATTTCTGATTACATATTTGAGAATAGTTAATTCTATCGATTGTCAAGTGTAATATGGGAATTTATTGGAGTGGAAAATTTATTTATCGATTATTCAACTTAAGTTTCAATCAATTTCAACTTATATTTATGTGATACTTGCTAATTATTGGGATTTATTCGTTAAAATTTATTTTAGAATTGTGTGTTATAGTTAGAAGAGTGCTCTGTTCAACTACTTTACTTCATAATTGAAGTGTTCCAATTTGAAAAGCAGTATTGAAACAAATGTTTTTCATTAATTCCGATCGGTCACAAGAGGGATCCGTGTTTACAAGTAGCAATGTGTACGTTCCAACTGCTAACTAGTCAGAATCCTAATCTGATGATGCCGCGGACTTTTTCCGACACGCGAGCCAGTTTCAAGTCGTCGCGATAAAGTTTCACACATAACATCCGGCTTGCTTGTAACTACAGCGTACACGATACTATGCACGTAGGATCGGATATATATTAACAAAAACCTTCGTGAAACCGTGCCACAACCACATACTTATATATACAATAGAAGTACACGTCGAACGTTGTCGCCATTTTGCACGGAAACCGTTGGTCACAGGTTACGCTAGCTTTCCCACATTCCATTCAGTGCAATATAACTATTTTCTTAATTGGACATTAAAAAATATATAAAAACAAAGCCAACGAATAATATAAACAATATAATTTTTGAACTCCGAAATTATGATTGCATATAGTAACACAGAAGTTTGTTCACGAAAGGCAATCGCTTCTATTTGACCAAATTATTTACCAAAATGTAAATTTTATTTCAAAATTAACAAAAATTCATTACAGAAGGATAATAAAAGTTTTGTGAACAAATGTGTGAATCATTGTAGTTCACGAAAAATTCATTAAATAAGTAAAACTTGAAACATATATTACTTCCATCAAGTATTTCTCTTGTAGAGTATATTTTTCATGTAAACTGTAAAATTATACGCCTATTACATACGCGATGACTGTCTCACATGAGAAATCGGTCTGTCAGATAGTTCAAGTGACGCTGGTAGTGGACGCAAGTGTTCCCATTCTCGCGATGAAAAAACAAAGCGCAAATTAATGCTGCCATCAACGTCAACCCTTTCCTTGACTCGCTCCACTGCCGCCGCGATTTCGCTGTTTAAAAGCCGGATCGATTTTTCCGCAATCTTCGCGACTGGATCGATCGACCTTAGGACGAAGGTCAGCAGGGGTTCCACGATTTATCAGAAAATTAGCCGTGTGGCGTGACCGATTCGATAAGAAAGGGTCCACACACGCCCCATGGTCGAGGAACGTTCACCTTGGCAATGAGCGTGCCTCTAATTCACGTGAAATCGTTTTCTCTGCCTCGGGGTACCATAGATCGTGCGCTTTAGCGTCGTTGTAATCGTAAATGGCCGGTGTTAATTGAATAAAAAAGTTGGCACGAGCGTTAGAAGGGTAGCTGAACAGAGAACGATCGAAGTGAAGGAGATTATTCACGTTTGTCCATGGAGGATCAGGGTTCATTCAGATTCAAAATGTATGTTAGGTGTACCAGTGAGAGATTTATTATTTTTTCACGACATTTGTACTGGTGTCTATGGAAGTCAAGGATATAAATTGTACAATATAGATTCTATAATATTATAATTTGATTTTCTACCTTTTTATTATTACGTAGTTGTCTCTTTATAGGGTAGACTGTAGACAGTGTAGACCCATCATTTCCTTGGACAGTCGAGTAGAAATATCTGTAACGAGATCAAACGGAGAACTATATTACAACCGTCGCCGACGGGCGGTCTAGATGGAACCAAGGTCCGTCTGACGACTACCCCATTCCTTCCAATAACTCAAAAGGAGACTCGTTGTCGCGACTGATCTGCAATCCTTTCTCTGTTAACGACCTGAAAAACCGGCAAGGCGAGAACGGATGGAACTGATCGGGTGTATTGCCATGAAATGGGAGAATTGTCTTATATATTTGAAATAGGAGAATTTTTTTATTATATCTTAAATATTTTTACGTAGAAACTTTTCGTCGTGACGATGCTTCCGTTTCGTAGTACCGACAGCAATTACATTAAACATAATTGGGTTCGATCTGGATTAGGGTTCAACATCATCGCAGAATTTTACGAATTGTCGAATATTACTGACTAGGAACTATCGGAAACGGCTAAATTCCAAAAATCAAGATACTTGTTTACCCTGACACAAAGTACAATTGTAATTCGACGATTCGAAGTATAATTGTTTCGAGTTCGAGGATCGATGTTAGGTAATTTAATTTTTGTTCCGTCGCAGGAACGAAACGCTGACGGTAATCAGAGAGCTTTGGAACGACGAGATATTGGCCTCGAATACGGAGCTCTGGGACGGCCGGGCGAGGAACGAATTGATGAAGTACGAGGAACATTTGTACGAGTTTTACAAAAGGGGGGTGACGGATCGGGGACAGAAAGTGTGGACCTTTTGGAACGCTGTATTCTACTGCGGCACCATATACACCACCATAGGTGAGTCAGAAAATTAAAAAACACATTAAAACCACCTTCGAACCCGATTCCAATAACAAATTCAAGGAATCGATATTAACACTTTGCTGGCGAGAGGGTTTTTCTGCTTGCAAATATATAAATTCAGATGTTCGAAAAATATTTAGAAACCACTACTTACAGACTCCTCTCGATTATTGTCCGGCTTGTTTTACACGATTATTGTCCAAGCGTTATCCCCACCACTGTCGCATACTTTGTTGCCCAGGCTCGGTTTCGGGCAAAAAGTAAATTTACGAGGGTCTGAAGCATTTCTTCCTATCAGATTATTGTCCCGGTGCGGACTCGATTTCGGGACGATAATCGAGAAGAATCTGTAACTTTTATATTTGTCAAACTTTACATATAGAAAAAGTTCTTATTTATGAAAGACGCACTACTACATGAATCGCCCTCAGCTTTTGTTTTTGAAAAGACGTATATCAAAGTGTTAATACGTTTAAAAAAAATGTGGTCCAATTCTCAGAATGTTTGGTTCGTCACGAACTATTACAAATTTCGATTGAACTGGGAGAATAGAATTCGAGATCAGAGGCTTGACTCTACGAAGAGGGTGAATTGATTCAAGAAGATCGTGGAAAAGATGATTTCACTTTCAACGGGGGAATCGCGATCCCGTGTGTGCCGATGTATTTTTACTAATCTGACGTCATTCGGTGCCACGATCATCCTCCCCATCATTAAATCACGTAAAACTGCCTCCAGTGGGGTGTAATACGGTGCGAGGGGAGAAAAAAAGAATGAAAGAAAGAGGGAGCTGGGTCGGAACTTCGGTTTATGGCAGATATAAATTCACCGCGAAATCCACTGATTTATTTATCCACATCATCGTGATACATATGCGTTTGTTTTCATTTCCCCACTACCACCGCGCGCTCGCTAATCGATTCCGTGTTAAAGCACGACCGCGAAAGTATTGTTCCGTTTATTTGTCGAAAGCTGCAACGATCGCTAATAGTAGGTAGCTTCACTTGACAGAAACCAGGAAGGATTCGTTGGTCAGTCTGACTTTCTTTAGAGCCTTTTATCACTCCAAGTCCATCAGGAAATCCCATTTTTTCTGAGTAATCCCGAAGGATTATAGTGGATATTTTTAGACCATGACGATATCACACGAGAAAATACAGGAAGATGGCAGTAGTTCGTAGAAAAAATGGATTTATTCTTCTCCGGGATCGAGGGGCGACGGTAATCCGCCATCTTGGATATGCCTCAGTCGCTCTTAACCTCCGTATGTTCCGCCATATTGGTTTCTTAGGAGAAAAATAATATTGCACAGTACCGATTGTAATTGATTTCAGTTCATCTGTTACGGTAAATATTAATTTTTCTTGAAATTCTAATGAAAAATGCCACGCAACGTGATGGGGAAATATGGAATTGTTTCGAATTGGTTCGTATGTTTATACATTTTTCCTGTGTTTATATCGTTTATTTGAGTATCGATAACTGGGAAACGATTTTTATTGTTTTCCTCTTCCATTATTGTTTTCCTATAGCTACAAGCTATCGGTTGATATGTATTTTCTATTTCAACACCTGTACGTGTAAAGTTAAAATGGCGGCAGGCGCCGTGGCACGAGCCGGGGAAATTGATTTATAACCGCGAACGTGCGAATGGAAGCTCGAAATTACCAAACGGATCTGTAATTCATGTGAAATGCATTGTCTACGAATTCGCGAGCACACGTCAATTGGAATTCATGGGAAAATTGCTGGGCGTGCCAAGGGTCGTATTTCTGTGTCTGTCTAGAAATAATGATTCTTATATAACTGCTCCTTATCTTCCATGTGTTTTCAATCAATGTAAAAACCACTGCTATTTATACATTTATTATCCGGTTATACAGGGTGTCCCACCTAACGTAAGCAGTTTCAATATCTCACTTGTTTAATAAGATACAATATTATAGTAATATAACATTTATAAGTATATTTTAATCAAATGCGCCTGAGAAATGAAAGGAATATTTCTTCTTTGGCTTGGGACACCCCGTGGAGGGACAAAGGAAAGGTTAAACAATGGGAAGAATAAATTTCGGTGAATGTTCTAAGAACACTCTGTACACGTGCCAGTCCTCAAATAATTCTTGCAGCTCGGTCCATAAGCTACCTAGAGACACGAACGTTAAGAATCATCCGTGACTCGCTCCAATCGCGACCTAGATAGGGACAAGTGTTCCCGATGAACTGGCGGCTGATCCTTTTCCATGCTTTTCCCTGCTCGTCTGTTTGGATCCATCTCGATGCAACAACGCCTCCCAAAGCTGCAGTTGTTCCCAATACCATTAAGTTGATTTATACAGAGGGGACGAACGTGAAAGCCTGCGGAGGCACTCTGGTATTTACACGAACGGCGTCTCGAAATCACCCCGTGCTTCCCCGATTGGCGGCGGCGCGTAAACCTACCGGGAGTATCGAAGTCGATAAAAGCTGCTGCGGAAACAAACTGCGAGAGAAAAAAAAGGAGGAAGACCTCGAGCGAGACGATTTCACTTTGGTATCGACCGAATGGAATTTCCATTCGCCTCTTTCTTTTTTTTCGTTTTATCGTCACGTATTTACGAGAACGATCTGCTTTTTTTTACGTGAAAACGTTGAACCAAGTTTACGTGCAGTATAATACAACGTTAATTTGTCCTTTTTTTTAGAAGGGAGAGCTTTTTGGATATTTAGCCTTTGTCGAAAGCTAGGGGTTCTGTAAGAATGGCGCTGTCTCGATGATAAAAGGAATTCCAAGCCATCGAGGCGAAGATCCGGGAAATAATCCTGTTTTACGACAATAAAGTCTGATTGCCCGTGGGAATGGATCTTCTTGGTGTAGACGTGTTTCTGCCCGACTGTCGAGAAAATGTGCCCACGCATACTATTTCGAGTGGCAGACATTACGTAACGAAAAGGAGAGGAATCGTGGGTGATGCTCGTGGGTGGATTAGGCGCCATGCTTTTCGAAATCTCGACTATTCACGAAATTCTCAGGATCTTTTTTTTCGGAACACACTTCGGGACCAGAAGCCCACTTCGTTTTTACGAAGCCGTTCTGGAAATACGTTAGACTCATAACAAACATTCGTAGATTCTAAAATTTATAGGCTGTATCTTCGTTCGAAAAAGAGAAATATTTTTCGCTATGGAAATTATCGCAATGACTTCGTGGATGCATTGGTACCTCTAGTACTTCACACTCGTTGAAATCACCAATTTAGATATAGTATTTATAACGACCCATATTCTTCGAGATTGTCGATTATGTTAATCGAGCTTCGTGATGCATTATCCTCGTACTGTTGGCGGTTTGATTCACTACAAAATATTTCTGCCTGTTAATTTAGACGGAATGTTCAATTAGAAACTTCAATGGGACAATGGGACAGTCGTTAGAGCAGCATTGCAGAAACTGGCGACGTTCTATTATTTACGGGAAAGTAGAGCGCAGTAGTAATTAAACCTAACGTTTACTGTATTATAAGACACAATACTAAAAGACGAGGTCTTTATGGCAATATTAGATAATTATTACAGTTATCAATTACTATTGTATATAATTATGACTTGTAAAAGGTGGGACACAGTGATAGGCAGTTATAAAACACAACCCCAAGCGACAGTGTGAAACATAAGTAAGGAAAAGCAAGCAAAAATAAAGTAAACTAAATTGAAGGAAATACAAGTAATAGGAATAAAATACTTAACTCGCCAGATTACGTACCAAACTAGGTATCTTATTTCAAAATTAAGAAATATTTACCATGGAAGCATGGTAAAAAGTAAAAATCACTAGGATACATAAATGGAAATAACATAGAAATTGTTACACTTGATTACAATTTGGAAAGTATATGAATGAACACCTGAGTCACTGTAAAGTTAAGGGAGAGACAGTAGAGCGATCAAGTGGAAAAAGCAAGTATATAAGAAGACAGCACGAACTTTTACCGATTCACAGGATCAACGAATCTATCTACCATATACCAAAGAAATATTCTGAATAATTCACTGTCGGATAAGTGTCATTATAAAAATGAGATATTCCACCACGAACGAATAAAAATGGGATTAATACGGGCTGACATTATTCAGCGAATACATTTCAATGAAAATCACTGAACGTGGTCGCTTTGTTCGTCGCATAAAGATCGACCCTTCGTTAATTGTGTCGGTTCGCGAACGATGAATACCGAGGAAACAACGAGATATGTTCATGGAATGATCGTGGCAGGGTATCACACGACAGAATGATCTTGCTTTGAGTGAATTCAATTACCAAGCAGCCTGTGAAGCGCTTGCCCATCGGCGTCACGTTGTTTCACAGTCGATTCGACCATCTATAACGTGGCGGTGTGATTTATCACGCATTCGCGATTTTCAATCGTCGTTGTTACTACACTGGGAATTTCCTTTATTTACAACATTTGTAACAGTTCGGGTCTATTACAGTTTCTTATTTTAGTTTTCACTGAACAGATTCTTCAGTAGAATTCCACTTTTTCTGTATAGGTTTGTAAAAATCAGGAACTCATCGAGATAGGAGCTAAAATAATTTATTTTTTTTATAAATAAATTAAACAGATCATAGTTTGACTCTAGTTCCGGTAAATTAATCCCGGAAAATCTATATCTACGTAAACATCCGTAGTTTAGTTATGACTCATTATAAAACAATCTTAAGAGGAATAAGAAATATCTGTTGAATTTCTAGTGAAACATTTATTGCATTTTGTACATCGAACTATACTATAAATACATAAAAATCCGTAGTGTACAGTTGTCATATACATTTCATACGACACTCGGAATGAATAAGGTAGCATCGGTATGCCAGAAAAGACTCCCGATGGAATTCAAAATGGCGGACAGTCCGCGCGCGACTGGTCAAACGATATTTAATAATTCTTTGAAGTTTCCGGGTCGAGGATAACAAAGAATTTTTCCTATTTCTTCTCGTGAAAATAGAAACGTTTCGTTTTATTCGTGCTGGCAAAATAATGGACATGTTATTTTTAAGCTGCATCCATATGTAACATTCGAGCGACGAGAATTCATTCTTCGTTCGTCGGTTTTCTACCTGATATTCACAGAGACAACCAGAAAATTATCTCCCAGCCGTGTCAGAAACTTGGACACGAGTAATTTTCGCGAGGAAACGGTAAAGTACCATTTCCCGTCTTAAATTTCATTACGTAAAACCATTCGAACGACAATGTAACCCCGTTTGTTGCAATGAACGCGCGCCGGCTGGATGCTCTAGCGACTGATTGCTGGCAGTGGACGACTGCGGAGCTAAAAATATGTCACCATATGCAAATTCAATTTATGATGCAACGCTGTGGTATATTTTTCGGGACGACGTAATGTATCTTCATGCAGTTCAGTTTTACCCGGTTTATATTACAGTTATGGTTCTCGAAAGTTAAAATTTAATTTTGGTAATGGCCACAGAATCCTCTGAATTGTTTCTGAATAATATGACAGATGTTGTTTCATATGAGTGTAATCAGTATCGAGATTCTCATGGGTTAGAATCGACCTGGGTCACAGATTTGTGTGGTACCGTTACGAACCCAGTTCCTGACCACCTAAGAGTAAATATCGTTTTTTTAACGTATAAGTAGAAATATTAACTAAATCCATAAGATTGTTAAACTGTAATTTAATTTTTAAAGTGAGAAATGCAAAGGGAGCAATTTCTGATTACCTAAATCATATATCTGTATGACACTCTGAACTGTCAAATTTTACGAATAAATGTCGAAATAGTTCATAAATATTTAGTAATTTTTCAGAAAAAACATTTGTATCTATACATGATCTGGAATTTGGTTCTGATCAGAGGTATCTAATTGGGTTCTGATCAGTCATTTGAGGGTCGAACCGTTCAATGTGGAGGATAATGAATCTAATTTAAAGAGAGAATGTAATTACCCATTGACGTGTTTTTTGGACATGCGTTTTGGTAGCTTTCCAAACATCCACGCGTATCTTCATTTTCACGTACGGTAATATGTAATTGCTGATCCAATTTATGTCCCATATGGACGCTTTATTTTACTGTTTAATCAAGACATCATTAAACAACAGAAATAAATTTCATAAACATTTCCGCTGGATTATAAATTCTCTCGTGAAAGCGGGTCGAGGGAATACATTACATACACAGACACAGGGATCCATAATGCGGAAATATCATCACGAGCAGCTTATCAATTAAAAGTACGAACTCCAATAACGATTCGCCCGCAGCGTCCTTTCAATCGTTCGCCATTCCAATCGTCCTTTTCTTTCATATCGTTCCCGTGAAAAATTCCATAAATTGATCGTCGAATACGCCCGACTTCAGTTTTCTGACTCGGAGCGTGTTGCATTCGGGACGTTCTTCTTCATGCATGAAAACCAAGGGTTCATCTTCCAGAAGAACGTCCTCAGGTTTGAAATTCTCAACGTTTCTCGACTGTTCCATTCTAGATTTCAATCTTCGGAGTTTCCACTCGATGCCATCCACAGTTAATTTCGTTGCACAGAAAATTGTCCTCCACCGGAAGTCGACGCAGCAGATTTCAAACCTTTGGCGAGAGAGCGTTAATTCTCGAGTCTCCCTTGTAAATCGCGAAACTTTTCCACCTGGCTGTTTTATCCACGTAGGAACGGATTTAATGAGCCGTTGAATGCTCATTATTGATTTTAGTTTCTTCACTTTGTTTATCACGCGACGAAAGTTCGCCACGACTTCACGGTACTCTCGTAATTCTTGTTTCCCGCTACTAACTTTTCTCCACTTATTTTCCCCACTACACATTTAGTCTTATATTCTTGTTTAGTTCCTTCCGAGAATCGCGTACGACCTGGAATATAAACGAGGAATTCGACGAAGAATGCTTCAGAGCGATTATGCTGCTTCTAGTTTTCGTTCGTTTTGTTTTCTAACCACAGAGCTCGATCACGGGGGGCGGAAAATTGGTAGGAAGAGAAAATTGAAATCGATAAGAACTAACAAGAAAGCACAGCTTTTCGAAAAAGCGGTAAAAAAAGTAGGTAATATTCAGTATTAAAATAAATTATTTTTAAATCACTCTGTACTATTATAAGTGGATTAGCTATGATTGGTATAGAACACGAGTTATGTGATGAAATATCTAAAGAAATTGTAAAACAATTTGCTGAAACAAAATGCAGAAGATTTCTTCTAAAGTTAAAAATGTTTTTAAAACTTTTTTTAATGTATTTTTCGATTTTTATTTTTAAAATAATTGTTTGCAATTAATTGTAAAGGGTGGCAAGAATATTTCTTGAGAAAGAACTAGATCGGGCCCTGTCCAAAGAACGATGTACATATTACCATTTCTCCAGAGCGGAAGTTCGCAACGCTCTACTATGTTCTCGCTCCGGCGGACAGATACATTGTCCGTAAATTGAGAATACGCGTCGCGTGGGTGCAATTTCTAATACAACGAGTCTCGATTCGCCGACCTGGCAATTTCCCTTTGTTTCCATCCTACTCCCCACCGAGCGCATCACTAGGCCGAGATTCTTCTTCGTTTTCAGTCGCTCTGGAACGCTTTGTGACAACTTTCATTGGTCCACAAAAACAAAGGGTTTTCCAGTCGAAAAAAAACGAGTAATATATAACCTGTATCATCTCTGATCGAAATTCTAATCACGCAGAATCTTAAAGTTTTAAGATAAGCAATAGTCGAAATTGGGACATTAATTGATACGTTCTATACGATAAGCCTGTCATATAGTCTAACTAATCTGCCAGCGGCTCAGCGCGATAAATCCTAGACCATACATAATCCGTACCACAGCGACTCAGAGCGTTCAACGCGTTTACACGACAGTGTTACCCCGAGAAATAATAACACCACGAATTCGTTTAATGCTGTTTTATTACACTTGTACAGTAAATCCTTGATGAGTGTTCGGAGACTCCTCGGCACTGAACATTCAATATTTCATAAACTAATGGCCATATACGATTGAAACAAATATCAGTAGCTTCAGAATCCCAACCTCTATCACTCTGTTAAACCAATATACTCCGTTCCACGAGAGTAGGGACCTCTTCTGTACAACATGTCCCAACCGTCCCATCTGTGTTCTCCACAGCGACCTGGTGAATGGGTCAATTGCCAGATAAGGACCCGCCTTACTCCTAGAGGGACCTATTGATAATAGATAAAACCTTGCAAGGTATATACCATATACGTGGGCCTGGGTCAGGTTTAGTTAGGGACCTAATCCAGACCTAGTGAATGGCTCAATTGCCAGATAGGGATCCGCCTTACTCCTAGAGGGACCTATTGATAATAGATAAAACCTTGCAAGGTGTGTATACGTGGGTCCCACTGCATGCAGTGAAGACAGACCCAATCCTTAATGAAAGTAGAAGTCAACTTCGCAAAATCTACGAAGTCCTAACCCTTCTCTCCTAGGTTCAAAGTCCTTTCACCCGTGGAACGGAGTTTAAGCCTGGACTCTCTAGGGAACGGCTGCGACTGCAGGTCCCGCCGACACGGAATACCGTGGCGTAGACGGGGTTGCGGTAGCTGCAGGCGCGTCACCGCGACGCCCCCGAAAGGCCTCTTGGTGCGTGGTGTGTGCGCGCGCGATTCGCTCGATACCCGCTGCGGCAAAACCCATCTGGTGGTCCCTGCTCGTGTTGGTAGCAAGAAAGAGAGGAACTCGGGTGGCGACGACAACGAGAACTGGTGGTGGTGGTGGGAGCAGCCTGTTTTATTTCTGTCTCTCGATGCGCCTCTGCACCGGGGCCAGGAAAGACGACACACCACGCAAATCGTCTCGTGTTCTCCAACCGTCAGCCGTGGCGGCTGATGATCATCGGTTCTTGCCTCGCGTAGAGATCAGTTTTCTCGATTTTTCGGTTCCTATCGGTGACAGAGGTGCGATCGTTGTTCCTTTAAATGGAGGACAGTTACACGGTGCACAGACGCCGTAAGGCGGCTGCGAGGAGACGCGAGAAAACACCTGATCCGTCGTCGAGGAACCAGCTGGTGGAGACCTCGGACGACGACGGGGAGGCGAGACGCGCCAGAATGGAGAAAATGGCGGACGACGCCGAGCAGGAGGAGAAGGAACTGAAGATAAAACGGGACGAGCTGCTGGAAGAGGGGAAAAGGAAAGAGGATGAGGAATTGAAGAGGAAGAGGGAGGAGAAGAGGATATCTACGAATATGGAGAAGGAGAAAAGTCCTGGGAGATTACAAGCACGTGAGAATGACGCTGTTGAAACTGCGACTTCGTCGGTAAGGAAGAACGAAGCTTTAGTTACCGACGAAACATCGAAGGATACGCAACGGGAGACTCTTCCGAGGTCCAAGGAGATTGACACGGAGCAACCGGCGGTGCCGAGGAGGGTGGAACGAAGGCTGAAGAAGAAGTCGAGGGAGAGGGTGGAGAGACACGGTCAGTCGAGCGACTCCAGTGATCTGGACGAGAAGCTGGAGAAACACTCGAGGAGGACCAAGTCACCAGAAGGAAGTAAAGTCAGAGTGAAGAAGCCCAGTGCGAAAAGAAGCTCTGGTGAACCCGAGGCGAAGAAGGACGCCATTGAAAGACCACCCAGGGAGAAGAGGTCCAGTAAACAAATGCTCGAGGAAGCAGAGGGACAGCCCAGGCCGGAGAGGAGGCGTTCCATCAGGCACAGCCAAACGGACGACACCGATGAGGATCCAAAGATGAGGAAAAGTGAGACCTTTCCCAGACAGACGAAAGAGGAGGTGGTTATGAAGAGATCCTCGACGGACGTGAAGAAGCAGATAATACCATTGAGCAACGATTCTTTGATAGAGGACTTCGCGAAGGCTCAGAGGCAATACCTGAAAAGGGAGCAGAGTATTCTTGATCCTGACAACGCCGACGTGTTCGAGGATGCTCAGGAGGAGACGATGCTTAGACGACGGAAGTTCAGTGTGCCTTTGGCTGAAGGTGAACAAGAGGGAATTGAAGAGTCGATAGAGAAGATGAATATGCTAGAGGAGAAGAAATCTTGGTTCTCGTGGTTACCATTCTTCCGTAAGAAGGGGAAAGAGAAGGACGAGAAAAGTGAAGTAATTGAACCGACGAAATCAAAGAAGGTCGAACCGGAAGTGGCTGCACAGATGGCAGAGAAAGTGACCTTCATGGACTTCCTCAGGGCTCTGGGAGACGTGGTCTCCGAGTTCAAGGCGTTTGTGGATCAGAACCCAAAGGAGGTTCGTATAATGAGGGGGCTGCGAAACAGTTGCCTGTCCCAATTGCTTCTCGTGATCATTTACTGCGGTCTCGGCGCGTTCGTCTTCCGGTTCACCGAGGGTGCCTTCGAGACGTTCTACAAGTGCGGCGTGAAGAGGGTGAAGAGAGACTTCTTGGACAGTTTGTGGAACTACAGTCACAATATGAAGGAGGACGACTGGAAGAGCATGGCCAGGAAGAAGCTGATGGAGTTCGAGGAACAATTGCACACCGCCCACGAGGCTGGCCTGCACTCCTATAGCGGGCAGAGAAGCTGGACCTTCCTGAACGCTGTCGTGTATTGTTTGACAGTAATCACGACGATCGGTGAGGGCAAGGATTATTCCAGACCTGGATATTCTTTTGATAAAATCAATTTTCATTGAATTCTCGAACAATAAAATTTAAGAGCGAGAAGATAACGTTTGGTTAGATGGAAATTTTGTACAGGGTTCATAACTTCTGGGGTAGATAGTACTTGTCTAATGATGAAAAAAAAAAATCCTAATAAACATGGGTCGAGGAATTAATATTTTCGAAGTTATAAACAATTTTTTGTTTCGGTTAAAATGACTTTCTCGTTTTTGAGATTAATACTGATATGTAGTGCATTGACGTTGAGTACTGACAGTACTATAGACAGCGTCTGCTTCACATTAGCGTAACTTGTTCGGGGAGAACGCCTATAAATGTTCGGGTACCATCTTCAATACACCTGCACAGACTGAATGCTAACTATACAAAGTTGAAAATCAGAGGAACAAATTCCAAATTTCAACTTTCTGTTGGACACTCTAACAAAAATCTTTCGAAGATAATATTAGAATAATCTAATTCCTCGATCGATGTTTAATGGAACTGACGATATATTTTCAAAAATATATACAGATAATCGTCAGGTTAAAGGTTGGTACTATACGATTCCCTTCGGTTGAAAGTTTTTTACACGCGTTTAACCAGTTAAGTGTGTTTGACGTGTATACACGTCGAACCAAATCTTTATTACGGTGCGTTCGACGTGTATACACGTCGTGAGAAATAAAAAATTACCATTGACTATAAAATCTCTAAATTTTAATGAAATCCAATAAGAATATTATTTGATGGAATGTTTCCTTTATATTACCAATAGAACTGCTGAGTATTTTATACAGAGGGGGTGGTGGGATGATAAATAAAAATGAAGTTCTTCCTCGTTTTTCATAAAACTTATAATAGGACCATTTTGCCCTGCGTTCGACGTGTATACACGTCATAGCCTGATTTTAATTCCGCACACGGTGGAGGGTTTTTAAAACTAAATTCCACGCTTAACTGGTTAAAAACGACATTTCTCTCCTAGGGCCAAACTGGGCGAGGGAAACTTCTCTGACCAGATTGACCGTAGTCAGTTTTTCCGGAGCGATACGTTTGTCAGGAAAAACCGTGTACCAGAGTCCCGTATTGATTTTCTAAAGGGAGGAATATAGTCGCGATACCAGTGTATGGTACCGGTGTCGAAATTTAGTGCGCACGCGTTGTCGAATGCGAGGGAAAATGGGCTGGAAAAATCTGCGATGTTGAACTTATGGTTATTCATCCATAACGAACACTACGAATTCTATGGTGTCGAAGCCTAAAGCTTCCTGGACTCGCCTCATTTTTCAGTGCGTAATGACTGCTGCTAGTCTCTCACACCGATTTTTAAATGCTCGAAATATGGTATTTATGCCGTATAAGTTTCATATAACAGATTTTTAATATTTATTCAGAATTATTATCGAATAAAAAAATTTATTATTTAGATAAATAGTTTCGAATAACAAATAAAAGATACGAAAAAGGTATTTCGTCATTTGCAATTGATTAAAAGTGGTAATTTCAATTTTTATAATAAAATAATATTTCTTTTTGAATGAGTAAACACTTGGCAAAAAGTTATTTAATCTCATGAAGTGTTTAAACGTCAGTATGACAATCTTAGATTAAAATTGTTCCCATCTCTGCTATGGACGCGTGCGAAAAGTGTACACGTGGCTCCTGATGCGAACGTACGAACTATTTACATATGAAACCACAAGAAACGCCAGGGTGGGAGCGTCAACTGTTTGTAACAATCAAATGAATTCCGATTACGTCGGTCTGTAGGACAGACATGCAAGTCTAGGAAGGTTAATATTCAACTTTGGTAGCTCTAGATTCTAGATCCACGTGATATCCTCTTGATCTTTCCTAATTAAGCGCCTTTGACTCCTCTGAAAGCTCCTAATTATCCACTAATTGAATGAGCCACGCAAATCTCATTTCGTAAGGCTTCTTCCTGCTTCGGGACACACTATGGAATATTCAAACGACGTGATTAAATCGTCGATTACTATCAGAAATGAAACAAAACCGGGAACATTGCGACAGATCAAAGGGCTCGCAGTTATTGATCAATCGAGACCGGTAATTCCGTTCGATCGGTCGTTTCAATTACCATAGTTTACGCGACAGGAGCAATTCAATAGTGTTGTTTCGATCAATCGGACGGCCGTAACTCCGTTTGAAAGGAGGACGGGGCCGCTGTACGAGCAAACAACCGCCAAATTATGCCGGTAAAACGGCTAAAGTTAGACCGCGTGCCTCCGCATACTTAGCGACTCGAGGTTTATTTTCAGTCCCATTCAGGTGGAAGTGATCACAGCCCGTTGAAAAATTTACCAATGACTGACGTACGATTTTTTTTTTATCTTGCTTCAGGATACGGACACATATCGCCCAGCACAAACACCGGAAGAGCCATCACAATCGTGTACGCGATTTTCGGGATCCCGATGTTCTTGATTATATTGGCCGACTTCGGTAAATTGTTCACGCGGATCATAAAGTTCCTCTGGGCGTTCGTTAGAAGGCTTTACTACACAGGAAGCTGCCGGAAAGTCAGGCACACCGTGCCTGTACAGGTGAGCCTCGATCTACTGACGCACGAAACGATCGACTTGAATTCAGGATTTAATTTACAAACCATTAGGGATATGGGAATGACAGAATTTAATGGAAAATTTTATGTATTCACATACGAATAGTGAGGAACAATGTTTAATTTAATTTTTCTTTTTCTTTTGCATACACTATCATACATACCTACTTCAACCTTCACATCATTTTGAAAACCTTTTTTATTTTTAATATGTTTTGCAATTCAGGAGATAGTATAAATGCATAAAAAATCGTACTCTAGTCACGTATTTATCGTAAATAAAGTATATCCTGTGTTAAGTCGTGTAAAATTCTCTCGCAGGAAGTAATGAAAGGCGTGCAGCTCGTGTACGATTTCGCGACATTCAAGAGACCGTCGCAAATAAACCCCGAAGACATCGAAGAGATGCAAAAACAAGCCCAGCAATCGCAAACGGTCTTGAATCTAGACGGGAACGCGCCAGATACGCCTGGTACACCGGCGATGTCAACGTTCGCCATCGACGACGAGTTCAATCTACCGATTTCGGTGGCCATCTTCATCCTGTTGGGCTACATCTTCATCGGTGCCACCCTGTTTTGCGTGTCGGAGGGCTGGGGCTTCTTCGAGAGCTTCTACTTCGTCTTCATCTCGATGAGCACTATCGGCTTCGGCGATTACGTGCCAAAGGTGAAACAACCCCCGTAGTAATTTCTCGCAGAGCATCTTGAATTTTCGATTTTTCTCGACTCATATCTATTGGTTATATAAATCGGTATGCAGCAGTAGATCTTGCTGGGTACAATCGGTTTTATTACGAATCGGATGAATGAACTTGAAATATTCATACTGTTGATCACGAAAATAATCGCCCTGTTGTTCAGGAAGATTTGGTAAACACGATTGGAATTCTATCAAATTTTCGGGTGATGAATCGATAGAGGTTAGGGAAATATATGATACTTGATTGTTGGATGATTAGAAACCGACCATAGATTGTTCTTTACGAGTTAGACTTCGAGAAAGAAATTGGAATAATTGTAAGATTACTCTTTTTAAAAATTTCCGCATAAAATTGACGCCTAGGCAGATATTATTCGCGACCAACTGTACATCCATTTCGAACCTTCCGCCATTTTGATTTGCAATTAGCGTTCGCTTTGAGTTTGCTCGAAGCAGAAAAACCGTTGAGGGTCCCCCCCTACCGACGTGACGATTAACTTGTGTATCTTGCTTCTTTTTTCACGGTGGCGTTCAGATGGTAAGCTTTGAAGTATACCAAAAGTTCATCAACAAAACAGACAAAACAAAAACTATACGTAAAAATATACAATCACCGTTGTTATACACTGTATTTCGTACGTGCTTTTCGCATAAGTCTCACTCAGCACAGTTGCACGTGTATTCCTTAGTGAAATTACAAAAAAAAAAAAATTAAAACAACCGCCCCGATGACTGAATGACCCGGTGAAATTAACAGATTGATTGGTTCGTTGATCTAGCATCCCATATACATGATGTGTTCGATAATATACCTGGTGTTCGGGCTGGCTCTGACGTCCATGTGCATCAACGTGGTACAGGTACGCACAAAAAATCCTCCGACGACTGCACTATGTACAGAGTGTTCGAAAATTATATATCATAGCTACCACAGCGTTATTCTACATCTCTGGATCGGTGGAGATTTGCAAACGAAAGTCACCGCAAATTTTAATCATGACTTCAAGGTCAAGGTTAATTTTACAGTGATATTCTTTTGTAAATCTCCACTGATGTGGAGAACAACGCTATGGTAACCGTGACATATAATTTTCGAACACCCTGTACATAAGATTCGATCGAGAAGTACAGGAAGAATGTTTTTATTATCGTGACAGGTGATGCTGTCAGACTCGTTCAGGCAAGCGAGCCAGAAGATCGGCGCGACGATCGGATTCGCGATCGCCGAAGAGGATGGATCCGTGATTCCAGCCATACCACCGGCCGTAGAAGTCGCTGACGTTCACAGCCCCGTGAAAGAGTCCGAAAGCGCGGAGAAAATCGCGCCCAAGGCCAAGCAAGAAGATCTGGACGTGTAACCAATTTAATGCACAAAGTTCCACCGTCGTGCAAACAACAACGGAGAACGAATGATAACGTTTAGGCCTTAAAACGCAATCGTCCCCTCTCGCTTGATGGGCTAGACGTGCCCCAGTAATGGAATCCAGATCAAAAGTAAAAAACCGGACCGTTGTATTCGTAATACTGAAACCGACGCTTCTGAATCCCGACTATACACATATTTTCATAGTGATTTTCCGTCGAGTTACTATGGACGGAAAGATTCAGCTGGCTGCTTGAATTTCTCGCTGCTCGCAAGACACGCGGGAATAGGCTAAAGCTGCGTATATATTGAGACACGTGTAGCTTTTTTTACATTTGCTTTAAAAGAGAGCAAATGAAAGAGCTACCAAACACCGAAGCGGATAATACGACAGTAGACGAAAATTTGGTTTCCAGAAGATTATTCCCTGTTTCAGTAATATGCGCCTTATCGTATACGCAGCTTAAGGCCTCCGTAGCCTTCGTGAGGTCGCTGTAAGCGCGCCTGATACAGTAATTCCTATGGATCCGACGCGTAACCAGCTCTGGAGCGCTTTTCCTTGTCTGAGGTTCGTTCAACGTTTTGTCGATTTGATGTACGATGATTGGAAGCTGGTTGTCAGTTGCATAAGTAAGCTGGTGTCTCCCTGCAGCTCGACGAAGTTTGTACTTTGAAGATTATATGGACATTTCGTCTGAATCAGTCGAGCGAACGGTTCTGCAGAGGAATAATCAATTTGCACCGAGATATGGACTGGTAATCGTATGCTGACAAATCGAAATTCGATCGTTCAAAGTCGGCAATATTAGGAACGCATCAGGTTTGATTTAAACGAGTACCGTTTCTGGTTATTGTACACAAGCGCGGAACTGAACGAACGGTTGCTGTACAGCAGGGGTAACCTCGTGTTTCTTCGTTGTTTTAACGAAAGTGAAGAAATGATTCGTGTCGACGACAAGGAAGAAAGTATCGCGACTTCGCCAATGGCTCTTGCCAAACGCTTGCGGGCCAGACACAACACTTACGGTTTGTTTCTCGTTAGCTTAGTGTCCATCGACAATAAACCCACCGAAACTCGTGTTTTGTATATTTTGTAGATTGTGTCGCTGTCCGGGCCTATCATGTTCAATCTTCTTTTTTAAGTTGTTTTTATATTGTGTATCGTGAAAGCATCGCACAGACACGGCTGTTACGAGTGAATGTCCCACAAAGCTTAGCTTCCGGTCTATACGCCCTGTTTCCCGGAGACTGATAGATATTTTATTCGAATAATAAATAATAAGAACAATATGATAAATTTTTGTTGGGTTAACGTGCCCGAATAATAAGAATTCTAAACGGGGAATGATTGAGTGTTGTGTGATAAGTAGGCTTATTCGTAGTTTGTTAATCGAATGAAATATTAACCGTCTCTGCTCGAATGTTACGGTTCTAAGCGCATGATTTGATAGTTCAAGCGACCCTCCAGTTGCATCCGAGAGACATACGCGACGGGACGTGTATTTCCATAATGTAATACTAGTTAACAAAGTTTAAAAGAGTTTAGTTATTTGATCAATGAAAGATGTAGAGCTGAATGTTCTGTTTAGAAATAAACTGTCTCCTTTCCATCATGGATAAGTGGTCAGGAAGTAATATGATAATACGATTGGAGAAAATCGTAGATAGAAAGAAACGTTCATGGATGAAACTGGAGCGTTGAATGAGATTTCCGCCGCGAAAAGAGGAAGACAACTTGTGCCTTTGTAAGAATGAACTGTGTTAACTATTTAAATTTTATCAGAAATGATAGCGATCCCTTTACGCTGTTAAATTATAATAGAGGGGGAGGAAACCATATGACGCACACTCGTTGCTACTTAAGCAGCAGAAAAACTTCTTTCTTCCTATACTTGAAAGAACAAAAATGGAGAAAAAAAATAAGAAAAAGAGGCAAATTGCTTAGTGTCTATAAAATGTCTTTGCAATTTTACTACACTTTAGGAATTCATGTAAGAAGAATGAAAGACGGTTGAACTATTGATCACCGAAAACTTGTTATTATTACGATCATGATAACGATACTATTGTAAACTTTATTTACGAATAAATGTTTAAGACATGGGGATCCCTTCAATTGAATTCCACGTTTATTTTATGACTGGTAAAAGCTATTTTTACTTACATTCATCTTTTAAATTGAAAAGATGCATATTATTTGTTCCCGCCATAGATAATTAGATATACATACACGTATGTTATATGAACTCTCGATTACCGACAAAACTCATTATGAAACGTTTTCGCGTCTAGTTAAGAGTAATTGCTCATGGATGGCGCCACTTGTGGTTTCCAAAATCAAGAAAATCCTAATGTTTCAAAATTTGTCCCTGAAGACTTTTACCACCGACTAGGTATAGAATACACCTATCGTTCAATGCTTTTTTCTGCCCCACGTTCATAGGGCTACCTAGCCCTGTTACCATTTTAGTATCAATATCCGACGTTACCGATAAAGCATGAATTCTGAGTATTATTAGCACAAATGAAGTGTTATTTATTCCATTCATATTATGTGTATCTATATGATTTCACGAGAATAAAAATATCCGATGCTTCAGTTTAAGGTTAATAATTAATTACTCAAAGTAAATAATTTACTCAAATGTACATAGTAATACATATACATATCCATAAAAACAATATTAAACGCAATAACTTTTTTGTACGCGAAGAAAAACTAATATAGGTCCGTCGGGATTCGAACGCCAACGTCTTTTAAACTTGGGCTGTAGTAGTATCTGCAGAAACTGCCATGGTTGCTGGGGTTATTATCCAATTTGTTCACGGGAACACGCACAAGCGTCAGTCCCAATTCGACAGTTGCACGAGCAACATTCGACCGAGCCCGAGAGTTGTACGAGCAACAGCGATAAAGGATCACCTTTCAAATGTGTACTGACGCAAGCCATTTCAGTACCGTTCATTGTCCCGTAATCCACATGTAATAACAACAGATTGAATCCGGCAGAGGACTACTGCAAATTATTACACACGCCTATCGTATGCCACCGGTAATCAAAATTTCGGCGACAAACTTATGAAACCCTTACGAAGTTTCGAAGACGGTACGGACGATTTGCAAGTTACAGAGGAGGGAATTATTTGCGGCATATAAGTTACAATATTTTGTAAGCCTGAATAATATCTAAGCCTACTTTTTCCGAATTTATATAAATATCATTACAAGTATATTGTAGAATCATATAGATAAGTAGGATTTAAGTAAAATAAGTATCTAAGGGGACTTTTACTGAATCTGTACAAATATTATTATAAATATATTGTAAAATCATATATGTAAGTAGTACTTAAGGCATTGTTGTTAAATTTATAGAAATACTATTGTAAATTGTCCCTCAGGACTTAATGCATCGACCCAATAGTGCAGAACAGCTGAATTAGTAAAATAAGTTAAGTCTGTATTACTGTAGCCCCTTATGAGGCGGCAACCCTAATTGCAAATGATTTCGAACGCATTTACACCGCTAAACGGGCATGGTTCTTCTTCGTTTTGCATTAGAAACACTGCTTAAAGAACGTAAATTACTATTCTCTAACGGCTGGAAACCAGTAACCGCAAGAACATTGTTAAAATCGCATTTGTTTGCAACGGTTGACACTGTATGTCGCCATGCGTACCCCGTTTAGTTCACTTTAAATAGCTCTTCCAACGTTCTATGGACAAGTTACGTCTTGATCAAGCATTCAGTTTGAAGCTAAAAGAACGTAGATTAATCTCCTGTCATTGAAAATAACAATAAAGAACCAGAACACTGTAAAAATAGCATTTAATCGCGGAGTCCCACTATTTTTTCGACCGGTGGCGCCATCCGTGGCGGATCGCTGAAACTGCTAGCCATATAATTGGCTAGTAGTTTCAGGGATTCGCCACGGATGGCGCCACCGGTCCAAAAAATAGTGGTAGTCCGCGATTAAATGCGATTTTAACAGTGTTCTGGTCGTTTATTGTTATTGTCAATGGCAGAGGATTAATCTGCGTTCTTTCAGCTATAAATTGAGTGCTTCATGTAAACGAAAGCTGTCCGTATAACGGTGTAACAGCTGTCTAAAGTGAACTAAACGGGGTACGCATGACGAGATACAGTGTCAACCGTTGCAAATAAATGTGATTTTAACAATGTTCTTATAATTACTGGTTCCCGGCCGTTAGAGAGTATTATTCTACGTTCTTTAAACTTAGAATTTAATGCGTGACGAGGAAAACTGATGCTCGTTTAGCAGTGTAAATCCGATCGAAATATGTGACAATTACATAACCACTAAACAGGCAACACTTTTCTTCGTCATGCATTACATTCGAAGTTTAAAGAATGTAGATTAGTACCCTATAACGGCTGATTCGTCTTGACCAAGCACTCGACTTGTAGCTGAAAGAACGAAGATTAATCTCCTGTCAGTGGTAGTAACAATAAACGACCAGAACACTGTTAAAATCGCACTTTATTTGCAACGGTTGACACTGTATCTTGTCATGCGTACCCCGGTTAGTTCACTTTGTACAGCTCTTAAACCGTTATACGGACAGCTTTCGTTTAGCTGAAGCACTCAATTTGTAGCTGAAAGTACGTAGATTAATCCGTTGTTATTGATAATAACAATCAGCGACCAGAACACTGTTAAAATCGCATTTAATCGCCGGGTAGCACTATTTTTTTGACCGGTGGCGCCATCCGTGGGGAATCACTGAAACTGCTATCCACTTATATGGCTAGCAGTTTCAGCGATTCGCCACGGGTGGCGCCACCGTTCAAGCAAATAGTGTTATACCGCAATTAAATGCGATTTTAACAGTGTTCTGGTCGTTTATTGTTATTTTCAATGACAGGAGTTTATTCTACGTTCTTTCAGCTTCAAACTGAATGCTTGATCAAGACGTAACTTGCCCATAGAACGTTGGAAGAGCTATTTAAAGTGGACTAATCGGGGTACGCATGACAAGATACAGTGTCAACCGTTGCAAATAAAGTGCGATGTTAACAGTGTTCTGGTTGTTTATTGTTATTGCCACTGACAGGATATTAATCTACGTTCTTTCAGCTACAAGTTGAGTGCTTGGTCCAGACGAATCAGCCGTTATACGGTACTAATCTACATTCTTTAAACTTCGAATGTAATGCAT